GGGTCACACCACACCACACCACACCACACCATACCACACCACACCAGTCAAGCGTGTCTAGCTCCTCCCCCCACCTTCCCCCTACCCCCCCTACCACCTCCCAAATCTCTCTCTCTACCTCTCTCGGCCCCCCCCCCACACACGCACCTTCCCCAGCGCCACCGACGCCGCAGTGCCCCCCAGCGAGTACACCAGCAGGGCCGCGAACAGGGGCGGATAGATGGAGAACAGGATGCCGGAGAAGGACACCAGGTCGATTCCCGCATTGAGCAGTGTCAGGGACAAGCCCATGGCGGTGTCCGTGAAGGTCCTGTGGGGGGGAGTAAGGGGGGGTAAGGGGGGGCAGGTGGGGACCCGGAGGGGGGGAGGAGGGGGAGGGCGATGGAATGTGAACAGTACGCCCCAATCCTCCACAGCCACCCCCCTCACCCCGGCCCCTCCCCCCCCCAGTCCCCACTCACGCCACGTCGGAGGATATGCGCTGGTCGGGGTTGTCCACCTCCCCGCTCTGCTGCAGTCCGTAGAAGGTGCGGTCGGCCAGGTAGTCGGTCAGCAGCCGCTCCGTCATCCACTGCCGCCACTCCAGAGCCAGCTTGCTCTGCAGGAGAGACAAGGGGGAGTGAGTGGGGGGAGTGAGTGGGGGGGGAGTCGGTCGGCGATTTGGTTGGTTAAGGGAGATAGGGGTGAAACAAGAGCGCACGCCTCCTTGTGTGCGACAGTGTGATTCACGGCTACATATTCCGACCTGACCCCAAGCGCGGAGCGGACCTCAAGGCCCCTAGGGAGAAGGCAACTTCTGAGCGAGAGAGGGCGGCCCGCGCGGAGAGGAAACAAACAAGCTCCGGGGCTGAATACACAACAAACATACAGGGCATGTTCGCTCCTCCTACGTCCCAAAACCCGCTCCCCGTCCTCCCCCGCTCCCCCCTCCCCTCCCCTCCCTCCTCCCCCTCCCCTCCCTCGCTCCCCCCCTCCCCCTCCCGCCCCGACCCCCCACCTGGTAGTAGCTCTTGAACACGAACACGGGTATCCCCAGAGCGAAGCCCCCCAGGTACTTGACCAGCTGGTACTTGAACTGCACCTCGTCCTTCTCGGACAGCGCGGTGAAGAAGTCTCGACCCAGGAAGTTGAACACCACACTGCAGTGGTGGGGGGCCCCCGGAGGAAGGGAGCGGAGGGGAGGAGGGGAGTCATGCGTGTAAGTGTGTGTGTGTGTCATCCTCGCCACTGACTACTTGCAGCTACGTTTCTTATAGCACACACACGCACATACATACATACACACACGCTTCCATGTCCCTACGTATCGCCACATAAACACATAACACCCCCCCCACACACACACACACCACACCAGTCCAGCGGCAGCTCGTGGACATCCCTGTGCTCCGCCTCCCCCTTCCCCGCACCGCTCCACCTGGCCCTAACAAACAGGCTCCACCTCCCGACCCCACGCTTCCCCAGCCTCAGTAGCTGTCACCGCCTGCCGCGTCAAGTCGACACACCGCACACGGGGTCCCCTTCCATGGCAGGACTGCGGACTGCCGCCACGTCAGCACCGCTTCCACACCCTTCCCCTCGGGGCCCTTCGCTGATGTGGCTCTCTGAGCCCAGGTAGCGCTTCGCGCTTCGGTTAGTCGGTGATCTCGTGATCTCCCTTCCTCCAAGTCTGTCTCTTCCTCTCTCTGTCCCTCCCGAGCCGGCCCGACATCTACCTTACAGCTGTAGTTGCAAGCGTAAGGCCCACGACGCCGGCAAGTTTCCAGCGCGCGGAGCTCTCCGACTGCCAGTAGGGCAGACCCAACTGCAGATGCAAGAATATGCGAGTACGGGGCCGACGGTTTTGGTTTATGGGGACGATCAGAAATCCAGGTTTTGGTCCCGGGTTGAACCGTTGATAGGATGTGCGATCTTGGAAAATCGCTGGCGGTGAGTGGCTAAGCGTTTGGGGGCCACACATGCGGAAATCGCGAGCGACCTGCCTTAACCAAGCGGTCTAGAATGACGCGCAAGTCTGTGCTGGGTCCGTCTTCTCGCTTGGGAGTTACTGCCAAGGTTGCATCGCTCCTTTGTGGCTGCGCGACTCGCGGCAGGCCACGCCAGGCAGTCGGCAGCCGGCGAAACGCTGGTGGCCATGAGCGTCGGCCGCAAAATTGTGGTCGAATTAATTGTAGCATAGGCACCAAGTTGTTGGGGTGGAAAGAGCAAGCAGGCTTGCGTCACTGTGATATTATTATCGGTTTGCGTTAGGGGTTCCCACGCATGATGGAAATGGGATAGGCAGCTACGTACAGCTGACTACTAATGATATGGTAAGCCAACTTAATACTCGATGTCAAGCCGGTTGCTATTTCCTGGGTTTGCAACATGCGTACGTATAACTCGCGGTTCATTTTGACCTCCCGTCCATATTGGCAAAGTTGTAGAAATTCTTTCCATAAGCTGTAGGTATATATATACATTTAGTCACGTCATCTTATGCTTTCTAGTATGCAGTATTATAACTCCTAATACGTTTGTGTTGCACCCAAGGCTTATACCTGGGAAAACTTTGTCCTTTTTGCAATTGTTTAAAGACCTGTAAAGCATATCACATTCCTGCGTATGGATCTGAAAGGTTTAAACTTGTTCCAAGCATGCTGAAGCAACACCTGTGTTGGTCAGGCCTCCTGTCCCGGCAGCGATAATCCAAACGAGTCTTAGCTTGGTGTTGGGCCGTACAGTGAAGGTCCTGTTGTCGTCAGCTTAGCGTTGAATGGATTCGGCCGGGACCAGTAGCTATGGGCGGGCGGCCGAAGCACTCAGCAGGACTTTTTCAAATAATCCTGAGATTTTCAACGTGTCCTTGGTGAGAGGGTGTCTCGTTGGGCCGACTTCGAGTACCGCCTGTGCGTAACCAACGTCCTGCTGCCGTTGCTGCAGCGGAGTATGCCAAGCTTGCAGCCTCGCTCACCTCCTGTGTATTCGCCGGATACAAGAGTTTTTGACACACCAGAGCAGAGCAGTCACTTGCCCACTCGAGATGAGGGTCTGTTCACGCTGCACCGCGGAACCACGCGCCCCGAGCCGGAGCATGCGTTTCATGAACAGATGGACCAGTATTCTCGGGAGCAGCTTGCCAAAGAGTGGGATGCCCTTTTCCTCGGTGACGGGTCCGATGACGTCCACAACGGCGCAGATGTTTACCGGCAGCTCCGGAAGGACCTGAGGACCCTTTCATGCTCGTTAAAGCAAAGCTTTGAACTTCTCCTGGAGAGTCGCCGCTACTCGTTGCCTGGGACGGGCCCCAGCAGCGGAGTACAACAGGTGCAGGCTTGCATATCAGAGCTCAAGAGCGTGGCCAAGGTGTGTATACGCACAGATCATTATTCTCAGAGCCCCCCGATGATCCCGGCCCTGTCTCACGGCCTCCCATGGGAATCTTGGGCCTCCCGACCTGAAGCGCTCGCTCTCGACTCTTTCTCCCCACCGCGTCCTTCAGATACTCCCACTTCATCAAACTGCATGGTACATATACACGCCTCCGCTCACCTTCTTCGCCCATAAAGGGGTGAATTGCTTCGACCACCAACGGGGTTGTCTCTGCGTATGCCAGCCTTTGGGCTTGGCCATCTCTGGGCCATTATCGGTCCGCCTCGTCATTGACAGAATCTGTGTGTCGAAACTTCGGGGTTTTGAGATGACCCTCCCGGACTTGCCGTTCAGCCTTAGGGTGTTTACGCCGCATGTGGCTGCGCGTGTCTCGCACACTTCTCCCCGTATGCTATATCGATGCGTCCGGCTTTCCGTCTTCGACTCGTCGGGGGCGTTACATTCGTTACTTGCATGTTTCCACCCATCATGTTTTTACTGTGCACCCTTATTGTTTCAGACTTCCCTTACACCATCCCCTATGGGCGCGCGGCCTACATGAAGCGCCGCTTTGTCGGTTTAGGGGTCGAGTGTGGCACATCCGAAGACCGCCATCGGTGCTGTCCCTTGCTTTGGTCCTGTCCAACTGTTTCTGCCCTCAATTCCCCGCTTTCCCCCTTTCTTCCCACAACTCACAACCCAGGAGATGGCCAGCGCCACCCGCATGGCTAATGACAATTACAACCTACAGGTCGAGCTGACGCTGCAGAAGCACGCCAGTCAGCACCTGTTATCGCAGCTGCATGAGGCGCAGCTGGCGAGAATGGCCATGGAGGAAGAGCTTAATGTGAGTGGGCAGCGAGGGGGAGAAGGGGGATTATGTGTGGGGAAATCGTTGCGATATGGGGTGGGGAGGGGAAGTAATGTGCACGAATGCAAGTGCTCGCGGACTATGGACGGCCTCATGGACTGGCGGTGTGTACGGGAAATGGTCCAGGGCGGGAGGAAAGGGCCCAGGGGCATTGGCGAACATTGATTTATGAAGACGCCATATCAGCGAACGGGGAGGGTTGCTTTGAAAGCCGTAACTTGGATCGGGTGAGGGGATGAAGGACGAGACGGCCAAAGATTGGGGGACGAAGCGAGGTGACGGAGTGGAGTTGTTCCGAAGGGAAGCTGCGGGTACCAGAAGGAAAGCGGGCGGGAGGGGCCCTGCGGTGTGGTGGGGTCGCTACCTCGGAAAGTGAAAAGGAGAGGCGTTGTATGTCTGGGGCACGGGACCCTGTGGGGGCGGAGACTGAGGTCTGCGAAGGCAGGGGAATGTATGCGACCAGGCGGGGGGGGGGCCGGTCACGAAACACTGCAACGAGGGAAAAGGGCGGCGGCGCTGCCCTCTTGCTGGCCGTTGACCTGCCCGGAATCTGCGCACTACACATCTTCCAAATCCCCATTCTGCAATCCCTTAACTTCAACTTTGGGCGCGCCATCCGCTATCCTTACATCAGGGATGTAGCCCTGATCTACAGTGCACCCCCTTCTATCCTCTAACCCTCCACGCCCCTCAACACGAAATGCGCTCACTCCCTTGCCGCTGCTCCTGTTTCCGGTCCTCCTCTCCGGTCTACCGCTACCCACAGGTCCTTCGGAATAAGGCCCAGCAGGCAGCAGCCACTGAGGCCACCGTCGTGCACCTGAGGCAGCTGAACGACGCGCTCCAGGCGGAGTCCCAGCAGGCCAGTGGGGAGCTGCAGGAGCTGCGCAGGCGGCTGCGAGAGCAGGAGGAGAAGCTGGAGGCAACCACCTTGCAGGCGGAGCATTTGGCCGAGCGGCTGAGGGAAATTGAGGTGCGTGGGTGGGTTGGAAGAGTTGGCGTGGTTCTTACCCTGGCTTCAGCTCTTCTGAACTCGCAAATATTGAAATCCAGCTGACCCTACCTGTCCGCTCTCTGTCGTCATGCATGTGCACTGGGCTTGCTACTCTATTAGGCAGGGTGGGTAAGTCCCTCACCCTTACCTCGCTGCCATCTCTGTCCCGCAGCTTTTCGAGGATTTGGGCGGCAGCCACGTCCTTTTCCGGGACCTCTGCGGCTCCTCGGATGGGGGCGCCTCGGAGAGCGGCGGTGTTGGTGCTGGTACTGGTGCCGGTGCTGCCGGTGGGGTAGGGCTGGGGTCTGCAACGGCAGGCCCCACCGGCAGCCTGTTGCCTCATCACCACTACCACCATCACCACCACCAACAACACGGAGCAGATCACGGTAGCTGCGGCCGGTCTATGGCGGCAGCAGCAGCTGCTACGGCTGCTGGCAATGGAGGGCCAACAGGGGAGAGCTGCTCTGTGGACGGTTCATATCATGGCCCTGGGGGCCGCAGCCAGGAACATGCGCGAGATGTGAGTCGATTAAGGACGGGGTCAGTGTTGGGGGACGTGGTTACGTGGGATGAATTGAACCTTATGCGACGGTGGAGGGGGACGGGAGGGCGGAGGCTTTGTAGAGATTGGTAATAAAGAAAAAAAGATTGATAGAAATTATTATCAAGGAAAATTTGTTTCGGGCTGCCATGCTGCAAGGTCTAGTCCGTGTCGTGTTCTAGTCGCTTGGAACTCTTAGCGTTCACTGGTCAGTCGTAATATTTTGACTCATGCGCGTGTTTCATGCCTTCTGATTCTGTACTTGTACTATATTTGCCATGCAGTTGCCTCCGGAGCTGCGGCGCGTTCTGGGCAAGCTGCTCCGCCGTCGTGACTCGGACGCCGCCAAGCTCCGGGAGGAGAACACACACCTGGCGGAGGAGGTGGCCAGGCTGCGGGAGCTGCTGGCGGCTGCCATGGCCTCAGCGGCCGCGGCAGCTGTGCCGCCGCCTGCGCCGGAAGGTCGTCGACCAGCAGCTCCCAGTACTGCCTCGGGCCCGACGCGCCCCTCCTCTGCCTCGACACAGGGACAACAACAACCAATGCAGTCGCAACAAGAGCCCCGTCCGGCGACCCCCTGGCGGAGCAGCTCCGATTCTTGGCACACGGATGACGACTTTGACTGGGCCACACGGCCTGTAACGCGCCTGGCGGACCTGCATCCACACACGCCTCCTTGCCCGCAGAACGGAGGCGAGAGCCCCCAGCAGCAGGCCCAGCGGCAGCAGCACCTCCCTCACGGTCCGCGCCAAGCACAACATCGGCCGTCGCGTCCACACAGCCGCCAGCAGCACCAGAAACCCGTATGCCAGAGCCGAGAGGCTGCTGCTGAGCAGCATGACCCGCAGCAGGAGGCGGCTTCGGTGGAACTCGAGGCGGCGAAGGAGGCCATTGCGCGCCTCACGGCGGAGCTGGCGGAGGCGCAAGAGCGGTTAAGGGTGCAGCAGGTGGAGGTAGTGACCGCCGCCGAGGCGGCAGCCGCGGCCCTGCAGCAGTGCCAGGAGGAGGTCCGCACAGCGGAGGCGCAGGTTGCACAGGGCGCAGCAGCGCTGGCGGAGGTGGAGCAGGCCGGACTTCAACTACGCGGGAAGCTGCAAGCAGCCCAGGCGGCTCTAGTGGAAACGGAGACCTCCCGCACGAAGATGCGCACGGCAATGGAGGCGGCGCGGAAGGGACGAGGGGAAGCGCAGGCAGTGGTGGCGGCACAGGATAAGTTCCTATGCGTGTTGCTGATTGTGCTACAGCAGGCGGTCGCGGGGAGAGACACTCTGACGGTAGAGCTGCTGGAGGCTCGGCATCTGGCGGAGGCCAAGGCGGCGGTCGACGCTACCAACGCGCACGCCGCCAGCTCCGATGCAGCTCGCCTGGTTTCGGAGAATGACCGAATGGCAGCGGAGTTGGCGGAGGCGGGCCAAAACATCGCCTCCCTGGAGTCACAGCTGGCTGCCATGACCACCGCTAACGCAGAGCTGCAGGGGCGTCTCGGTGACATGGAGCAACGGGAGCGGAAGGCGCGTGAGGGCCTGACCAAAGACCTGGAGACTGCGCGGCAACGTATCGCGCGTCTGCAGTCGGATTTGCGCGAGTACCGCTCGGAGGCTCAGGTGGCGCGCGGCGAAGCGACGGCGGCGTCGCGCGACGTCAAGGCGGCCAATAGCGAGAAACTCAAAGCGCAACGGGAGATGGAGGACGCCGTGGAACGGTTGCGGCAGGTGGAGTCGGAGCGCGACACGCTGGCGGCGGCGCTGGCAGCCGCTGTCGTGTTGCCTGACGCAGAGGCACAGGCAGAGACCAACGCCACTGCGCGCGGGACCGTGGGCGAGCAGGAGCCAGCAACGGCAGCTGACGTAGAGGAGGAAATGCTTTCGGAGCTCGAGGCAGGGCGTCGTGAGCTGGCGGCGGCAGGGCAGCTGCTCTCGCAGGAGGGGGGGGTTTCAGAGCAGGAAGCCGAGAGGCTAGGGGCCCAGCTGAAAGCACTTCATTCGGAGCTGGAGGCTGTGAAGACGGAGCTGGCGGAGGCGGAGGCGCGATTGGCGCAGTCGGAGTCCAAGGCTGCGGCGGCCCAGGAGCACCATGTATCAGAGACGTTGCGGCTGCAGAGCTCCTTGGCGGAAGCGCAACAGCGGGTGACGGAGTTGGAAGAGCAGCTAGCAATATTGCAGCGAGCTGCAGAGAAGGATGTCGCCGCTGCTGCCACTGTTGGGGCGACGAGCACAGAGGCGCGCTTGCAGGACCTGTCGAAAGCCGAGGCGCGGCTGCGGCAGCTTGAAGAGCAACTGCAGGCAGCGGAGGCGGCGCAGCGGCTTGCAGAAAAGCGGTACGATGAAGAGCTCAACGAGCTGCGGGCGCAGCTGGTGGGGTCGGCGGCGGCAGTCGCGACAGCGAAGCCGTTTCACGGCTGTAGTACCAGCAGCAGCGATGCGGGTACCAGCGGGGGAGCCTCACCGGAGCGCTTGAAGGAGGCGGCGGCAGCAGGGGCAATCGCGCTTCAGAGCCCTGCTGACGGGTCTCCTCAGGAGCCAGCCATGGCCGAGGACGACGATGATGACGACGAGCTGGAGGACCTGCTGATGCTGCGGGCGCGGTGTCGGGTGCTGCGGGGTGAGCTGGCGTCGGCTCGGTCCCGGTTAGCGGCCCTGATAAAGGTGTCGGAGGCGGCGGCGCAGAGCCGGCTGGCGGAGGCTGTGGCGGAGGCGCAGGCCGCTGCAGCGGCCGGGCGGGTTAAAAGCGACGAGGAGTTTTGGGCGCACAATGAAGAGGTGAGAATGCCGGGGGACATGCGGCAAGAAACCTGCTGGCAGCTGCGCTTGAAGGATGACCCCCGTACATGGGGGTTTGTTGGGGGGTTGCAGATTGCAGTCAGGAACCTTCAGCTTTGCAGTTCCCCGCCGCCGTCCTCTCGTGCGCCTGGCAAAGAGCAGCGAGAACCCCCAACAGCAAGCGCCTCCCGGACAGAAAACAAGTATGTCTAGTATATTCGATTGGCCCCTGGTTGCAAGATCCCAGGCTACTGAACGTTGATGATCCTCATAGCAATCCCCATCCTTGCCCATCCTTGCTCGATCTTCCTGAAACCGCACGCCCATTCTAGCCCGTCATACCTATTCGGCCTCCTGCCCGTGCAATGGACAGGTGCACTCGCTCCACGCACTCGTGACCGCGCTACGCGCCACCTGCCTCTATGCCGGGGCCGCCGGGGCGCACGCCAGCTACGGCGACACACGCGCGGACGGTGCCGGGAGCGTCGTTGCGGCAAGTACCAGTCAGCTGGCTTCCTCCCGGCGACGCCAACTCTTGCTGCAGTACCGGGATCGATGCGGACAACTGGCGGAGCTGCTGTCAGAGGCGGAGGCGTTGACACGGCTGCCGACTCCGCCACCGTCCACGCAATATCAACAACAGTACCAGCACCAGCTGTTGCAAGTCGACGGGCTGGACATGCGCTCAGCGGGCCGGGGGCAATCCAGCTCGTCCTCCCACCGCGGCAGCGACGACGGGCACCACCTCCAAGCTCAAGACAGGCGCACAGGTTACAGGCAATGCGGAAATGGCAGTGGAATTGCTGCTATCGCCGGCGGAGGCGCCGGCACCACGGGATCTTCCCTGCCGGAGGCGCCGGCGCGGGCGGCGTCTAGAGCTCCAGCGGGGGTAACAGGAGTAGAGGCCTGGGAAGATTCGTCTCCGCCGCTGCTTCGGTTGGGGCTGCTCAGCTCAGAAGGCTTCGCCGTGGGAAGCGGCGGCCGCGTCTTGGTAGAAGCTGATGCTGCGCAGTACGGGATGTACGGTAAGTTCGCCGTGTGTCACGCAATAATGTTGCTTTGTCCTGTGCCGTGTTAAAGCGCAGTCATCTGATGATCACAGTCCATGTGTTAAAACGAATCCCGCTCTTAATGCGCCACGTCTCCCTCCCTCCCTTCACTCCACCCTGCACCGCGAGCCCCGCTTGTAAGGGAAACATTCCCGCCTTTGTCCTTTGCAACTGCGCGCAGAGCCGGATCCCATTGTTGTCTTCAAAACCACCGAAGCTGACAGCACCGGCGGTACCACCCGGCGTTCCTATCTAAGCAATGGCACAGGGCAGGGCCAAGGGCATGATTATGGCACCAGCGCCATCACGGACACGGTAATCCCTCCACCACCTCCGGCTCCAATGCCCAGTAGCAGTTTCACTTCAGATACGGGCAGCAGCCTGGCGGATGATGACCTGACTAGTCTCAGTCATCTGTACGAGATCCCGCCCATGGCCTCGCCACCCAAGTTTGACCTAAGCGACTTGGATTTCGGGAACCTGGCCCTGTGAAAGGATGCGACGTGAATGCGTTTTGGGCGACGCGATGTGTTATGGAAGGCCAACGATAGCCGAGGCTGCCGTTCCTTGATTACGAAAAGGCACGGACGATGCCGGTTGTATGGGGTGTGTCATGCATGTCGTGTGGCTCGATGTTTGGTGCAATGGCGTGCGGTGTGATGGCATCCGGGATGGGTGCCGGCGCGCTTCGTTGGTCGCAGTTTGGTGTGGGCTTTGATTGGAACGGCTGCTCGGCCGCGCCTGCTTTAATCCCGTAGTGGCGCAGAGTGCAACGGACAATAGCAGTTTAACAGCAGCTTGAAGGGAGCAAGGACTTGTCGAGTATTTGAGGTGTTCACTGTAAAGGGGTTTTAGGTGGGGAGCTAGGTGGGAAGGATGGTGGTGACGATGACTTTGGTGTAGTCGGTGTAGTGCCTCCGGGCCTCGTAGCCCGAGGACCGGATAGCGGAGCGACCGCAAGCGGGTCAAAGAGGGCGCCGATCAGCTGGAAGGGGGAGGGGCTGAGCTGAGAGTGATTGGCGGTATTACAGGGATTCCAAAGTGGTCCTTGGGATGCTATGGCGCTGCCGAGCCGGCTAAAGGTGCGTTTAGCGACGGCACGAAGAATGGACTGCCGTTCCGAAATTTTGGCTGACCAAGGTTTCGGGTGAAGGGAGGTGAAACCAAACGGTGACGCGGGCGATTACGCCTTTGGGGCGATATCAGTTTTCGGACACGGAGAAGCCGCCAGGATGTCGGGTCAAGAGGGAGGAGCGTATGTAGAGCGCTCTTTTGTCTCGGCGATAGTTGGCTTCTGAACATTAGACAGGGCCTAAATATACAGACATGTGCAGTCGGAGGAGCGCACTCTTGCTTGCAACGGCAAGGTCATTTCAGCAGGGCAGACGCAGAAACTTGAGGGAAGGCCGGACGTTGTTGTACGCCTAACCGGTTGAATGGGTGCATTCTTGCATGTTAAGATTAGTTTTACTCGCTGGCAGACTGATATGGGGCCGTCGGCCGCTTCCGCTGTAGTTCAGACGAAGGTCGTTTGCAGCTCGCCCGGCCCTCTTCTGACATGTGTTTACTTGTGGTACTTGTTTTCTTGTAAACACATTCTTGCCAAAAACAGAAGGTTTTCAAAGACTTCGGAGCTGACATTGCCATTGCTGCGACTGCCGCTTCATCAGCGGTGGTTGGTATTAGTACGAGCATTGTTTTGTACGGAATAAATTTATTTAGCCCTTTGCCTTACTCACTTAGATAGAGCCGTATAACAACTGGGAGCGTCCTTATACACACATATCTCCGAATAAATTGCACCATCTCACCACAAGCTCTGAGGCTGTATCAGACCTTTGAACTTTTCTGAAAGTGGTAGGCCATTGGCTAGACTAAACTACCCAAAAATGATGCCGAAATCGCGACATGCAAGCATTTTCGACAGGCTGACGGATTCTTCATGTAAGTCTTCCTTTACCAGGATGCGAAGTGCTGGTGTGCTTCGTCCAGGTTCCTCGCGAGTCGGATGTCTTACTAAAGTCCTCGACACTATCCCCATTCCGCGTAAAAGCACCTAAGCTTCGTCACTATCCCTAAATCTCAAGGCGATACGTCTCGTCAGCCAGCGGCTGGGTGTAGCACCTGCCGCGAGCATTCAACATGTCGCTACTTTTCTCACGCCCCTCAGGATCCGCTATGCCGCAATATGCTCTTGCTGCTGTCTGTCAGCACCACGACCTTAGTTATCCCGATAAACAATTCGCCGGTAAAACTCTTTGCCTTACGCAGTGTACACCGGCACACACAAGCACCGTTTTGATGAAAACGGCAACGGCCGCGGACTTTCAGGTAAATTTTAAACCTGCGCTTTGCAAATATCTAACTACTCTGTTCCATCTGCGTTAATTAACTACCTGCCCTTCCGTCGTCCGATTGCACAGGTCGCGACCGTATCTCCAAAGGCTCAGGCTTCATCGCGGGTGCCCCAGGCAGTGCAGTGGCAGACCTGAGCCAGATCACCCGACCCAACCTCCATGTCGCCTCAGGGACAGGTGCGCTGCGTACCGTACCAGGGCTTATCGGAATTTACTTCCGATACGGCTCTTGACCCATCCTCGTGCACCTGGAGCGCGGGTCTGCAACCATTCATTGAAGCATCCAAGTTAGATGGTGGCCCATGCGCCATGCCTTAGCCCAGAGTCATGCTCTCGAGCCCCGACCGCTCCAACCCCACTCCATGTTCTTCTCCCGGATTGTTGCCGTACCTTCACACACCATCAACCTCCAAATTGGCCTCCCACACCCAGCCCCTCCACGTCACTGGAAGGCCCTCCCCCGTGGACTGTGAGGACGTCCTGTAAAAGTCCAATTGAACAGATCTCATGACCACGTCTGCTCTCGTGCCCGCTTTACACTCCTGCCGCCGTCGTCGCCGCCGCCGCCCTGTTGTTCTTGCAACCGCAATCGCGATTAGGTTACCGATCAGGCCGCGGCGCATCGCTGGTGCTCTATCATCGCAGTCCGAGTAATGACGGTGGTTCTGGAGCCGCACCGCTGTCCTCTCCCGGCGCTTCGTCACCTCAAGGCCCCGCGCTCAGCGTGTCCTCGCCTGGGGCGCCACCCGCGCCCAGCACGCCCTCTCCGCGCCCCTCCTCCGTGGGCCGCGGGGCGATGCGATCCTCAGCCTCCGGAGCCCCTGCCGCCCACTCCAGCGGAAACAACTCCCAGCCGCGACCGGGGCGCGCAAGTGAGGTTGGGGACCGGCGGAGCATCTTTGACCGCCTGAATGACCCATCGTAAGTAAAGTACGGCAACGGTGCATCCCACGTGTTGTATTCCGATGGGCAGGGTTTTCCTTGTTGTCCGTAGCCATACGGAGGTCCAAAGCTGCAAACCTGCTGCACTCTGTTGTGTCGTACTGCTGCAGGACATACACAGGGATGCACAGGCAGCGCTTCTCGTCGGACGGACGCGGGCTGGGCGCGGCTGGCCGTACGATGCCCAACGCGTACGTCAGCCCAATGGACCTTTGCCGGTGATCATTTAACATTTTTCGTTGTTATTTTTTATTATCAATGATCTATATTTTATTATACAGCATTTGCAGCTGCTGGCGTGGCTTGCGGGTTGCGGTGAGCACATCCGCAGCAAAGCAGGGATTGGGCGCCGTCGTCTCGGGCATGCGGAGCCCACGCAACCCGTGCAGGGATGTGTACATAGCGATTTGCAGTTGCATGCGCTCAATTTTTCTGGTTGTATGTTATACCACCATTTGACAAAAAGCGCGTGTCTAATGTTACATGCGGCATGTAATGTAATGTAATGTAATGTTACAGAGTGGGAGGCTTCTGGGCCGCTTTATCACATTGTCAGTTCTACGATCATTTATCACCTTATAGCACCATCCACCACTACCACACTGTCTTCGCCATACGAACTGTAAGTCCAAGGCGGCGGATCCAGCCTTCAGGGACCCCTCCTCATCCATTCACCCGAACACCCGGAGAGACGGAGGGTTCGGCAATCGCCACCAATCCAGCGTGCGAATCTGGTCCATCAACTGTGACCTCAACTCCACATCTCAGCAGCTAGCCATAATCTCGCGCTCCCGACTAATTCGGGGGTCTCGCCAGGAATCGAACCCAGGACCTTAAACCGCTAATTGCAGTAGTGTCAACCCAGACCAGACATGCGGCATGTGGATAGAAGCGCTTTGATGGTGATTAGTGAAGCAGTCGGGGCGGTTTTACGCGTAGCGCGACCAAGGATCATTTCTTATACTGATGCTGTGTCATAATATAAGGTCTCGGAACCAGGTAGAGACATGGACAAATTTGCGGCAGACCAACACTAGCGGAACAGTGTTTGGGTCGCTGTGAAAAGGCCCCGCTTCACTTCACTGCTCATGTTTGGCATAGAGGCGGGACGAAGATGGTGATGGTGGGGGAGAGCCGACACCTCCACCCGTTCAGATGAAGGTGTTGTGGCGGGTTCGGCTCATGCGCGTGTCTCTCGACCTGACCTAACCTGACCTCTGTGCGGTGTGAGGAGTACATGAGCCTCATGAGGAAAGAGACGGAGGGCAGGTTCTTCAATTTTTGAGCCAAGTCGAATTCTTCTTTGGCTGTGAAGCGTGGTTAAGAGTCAGGGCGAAACCAAGTTAAGAGTCAAGGCATCAGGCGCAGTACGACTGTAGGGATGCCGTACGCGGCGATGTGAAGGGTACCCGTACCGTTGGGACTTGGCGGGAACGTTTTAGGCGACCGACAGACAGGAAGTCAGACAGACAGACATGCAGGTAAACTATCCAGAGGAACGGAAAGAGGAACGCACTTCGGGATCTTGGGATTGCGTTTGTGACATGGCGTTGTGGATTTACTGTTGTGCAAATGATGTACAAAATGAAATGAAGCGGAAATCCATTTAATCAGACCCCGATGGGGAAGCTTCTGCGGCTTCGGTCTCCGTTGTGGGCTCTGCAGCGCCCGTGATCCATCCGCATTTCCTGTGTCTATTAGCACGTCATATGACGTGACATCCCGCCCATTGGACGGCAGGAACTTGACCTAAACGGAATTTGTACGTGGGACACGCGTTCAGTACATATGCCCTATCTGGCTCGAGTCTCCACATTGCTTGCACTGTACCTGAAGCTTAACAAGAGTTTAGTACTAGCAGATAAACACACACACACGGGGTATCTGTCCACATGCCTCTTAAGGCGTACGCATGGTGGTACTAGATTTGATCACCTAGTTGTGTGGTTTGCTGCTTCCAAAGAAAGCTTCAGGCAATGCGCAAAAGCCAGCTTTCATGCATGCAAGGGCAAAAGAGGGTGTCAGCTTCGTCGATGCTCAACTCTTAAAGTATTTGTTATAATAGTGAGTTTCGCGTTCCGTCAGTCCATAACCCTCCAGTCACCCGGGCCACACCCGAGCCACATCACACCCCTGCGACGAGGGGACCCAACCCTTCAACCACCTCAAGACCTCTACGTCCGTGACAACACCTCCACCCGAAAGGCCGTCACACCCGGATGGGTGATTCAATGCGTCACTCGACGACAACACCCGCACCCGGACCCCGTCCCACACCGCCACGAAACTCCCGCTCCTACTCGGCCGCTACATCTGCCAGCCAGGTAGCACAGTAGTGATCATGAAGCAGCCAGGGGCGCCGCCACCGACGGCAGCGCTGCCGTCTGCTCGTACACATGCGCAAGCTGCAACAGTCCTACTTCGTCAAACGCCCGACCTATGAGCTGCATCCCGATGGGCAGCTGCACACCACATTCCCCGCCAGCGCCCGCCGACACAAAGCCAGCTGGCAGCACCACCGCCGGTAACCCCGCCAGGTTGACATTGACAGTCATGAGGTCGCCCTTGTACATGGCCAGGGGGTCGGAGCTCTTCTCCCCCAGCCGGTAGGCCGGGCTGGGGGCGGTGGGGGTCAGCAGCGCATCGAAGGAGGCCAGCGTGGCGGCCATCTCCCGCTGCACCAGCGTGCGGACCTGAGGGATGCGGGATGAGGGATGCGACAACGAAAGGGCACACCATGAAGGCGCAAGTAGGGCGGGGCAGCAGCGGGCAAGGAGGAGGGGCCGAGGAAGGGGCGCCGCAGTGTCAGACAAAGAATAACGAGGCCCGAAAGAAGGGCGGGGTGGTTAGGGTCGGGGGCGAAGAGGGGATTAGGAAGGTACCAATCAAGCTGGGTGAGAGAGGCAAGGTAGAGGGTGCGGGTCCCCCCTCCCCAAAACACGCCCACGCGCCTGCGCACCCCCAGAGCCCCCCTCCCCCCCAGCGGCCCACCTGCTGCGCCCGCTTGTAGTAGGCGTCGTAGTACCCCGCCGACAGAGCGTATGTGCCCATGAGGATGCGCCGCTTCACCTCGGGGCCCAGACCCTCACCACGAGAGCCGCAGAACAGGGATGGCAGGTCGGACGCACCAGCGGTGCGTGCGCCGTACCTTACGCCATCGTACCGTGATAAATTGGACGAGGCCTCCGAAAGGGCGAGTACGTAGTAGGCGGGCAGCCCCAGACCGAAAGTGGGCAGGGACACCTGCGGACAGGGGGGAGAGAAGTCAGGGAGGGAAGACAGCCTCAACACGCGAGGAAACACACCGCCCTAAGTCCCGCCACAGCTAAAGGTTTTTTGCAAACCTTTAGCTGTGCCCCTCCTCCCTTCCATTCCCTCCTTCCTCTATCCCCCCCTGGCCCCCGCACCTCCTCCACAACGGCCCCCAGGGACTCCAGGTGCCGGGCCGCCGCACGGATGGTGGCGTCAATCTCCGGCGCCACCCCCTCACCCAGCGTCTCCGCCACCAGACCGATGCGGCGGCCCGTCAGGGGCCGACTGCCCCCGGCCAGGGACTCAGCCGGCAGCAGCCCCGCGGCGAAGTCCGTCCCGGGCTGTCCGCTCGAGGTGGCGTCGTGCGAGTCGCCGCCTGCGACACCAAACCGGCCATGTAGCCGCACAGGCACACAAACACAAACGCGCGCATGCAGAGTGTGCGCGAAGAGGGAAAGGTAAAATAAAAGGCCGTAATGTGCATCGTCCGCAAATGATATATATTTCTCGGACATACAGCCTTCGGCCCCCGCTGCAGGTATGTATGTATGTACATATATATGAATGTATGGGGCCCCCGTGTTAATGGGGCACCTTTGGAGGGCGACGCGGTGATTCCAGGAGGTGTACCACAGCACATACACACACAAACACATCACCACCACCATGATGATCACACACGCATAAAAAGTCTGGCACAGGGGCGCGCGCGTGTACTTCCACCACCAGCGGTGCTCTGGACCTCCACCCGGGCCCCTCCCCTCGGCCCACTCTCAATGTGCCCTGCCGTCCGCCGTACTCGCCGACACACAGCCGCATACATACATACATACATACATACACACACCAGGGCATGCAGCCCATGCGGTACTACCTCACAGCCTAGTCCCGCCCGAGGTACTCCACCCCCCGTTCTTATTAAGGAAACTGCGCTCGTGGCCGGAGGTAGCGGGGCGGGAGGAGGAAGGCCCCAGCAACTGCCGCAGATGTCCGCACAGCTGCTAAACAGGCGGACATGTCCTCCATGTCCCATCACCCCAACCAGCTGCAGGCTATAGGGGAGAGGTTCCCGAGCCCTACATGTGCATGTACAAAACATGCCGCCGCCTCCGAAATGCTGGATGGCCCCGTAGTTGCCCCTCCCCGCCCCCGGGCCCACCCGCAATGACGTTGAGCAGCAGTGCGGCGTCCTCCACCGTGTGCGCCATGGGCCCGATGACATCCAGCGAAGAAGCGTACGAGATCAGGCCGTACCGCGACACCCTGCCGTACGTGGGCTTCAGACCCACAATGCCACAGAAGTGCGCGGGCTGCCGAATGCTCCCGCCTGCGTGTTCGGAGCAGTCACGTGCAGCGTCATGCGGGCCGGTCATCTGAAACGACTCCACCAACCTGCCGTGCTTTTGTTGCAAATGTGTGTATATGGGGGCATACGCGACTGTCTGTCAGACAAAAGTGCAAAGCGCCCACTCCGGCGGGAAATCAGGAACGCTCCGAAACCCTGGTGCGGTTCAAGCATGTACACTTGACATGCCTGTTACATACATATGTACAGACGTACACACGTACCTGTGTCAGAGCCCAATGCGGCCGCGCACTCCCGGGCCGCCACCGCAGCCGCCGACCCCCCGGATGACCCCCCCGGCACCCGCTCCGGGTCCCAGGGGTTGCGAGTGGGCTACACCGGCAAACATGGAGACGAACAAACAAGCAAAAGAGCAGCAGGAAGGGCAGGAAGACGATAAAGAAACAGTCAGGCAGCTGCCAGACAGACGGACAGACATGCTTGCAGGTTGGCAGGATAATGAAGGTTAGGTAGGCATGCCAGCCTCGTTCTCCTTCCTTTGACAGCCTGGATGCCTCGCTGCGCGGACCCCGCCAAGCTGACATCATTCTTGGATTATTCCACGTAGCTGCCCTCCCCCCTTGGCCCATAGCGCAGATGCGCTCTCGTCTCCAGCACAGGAAGCATCACCACTAGGTGAGCCCCTCCTGGCCGCCCCTGCAGCCCACTGGGGCCCCAGTAGTTGCCCTGCCCCGGGCAAAGGGTCCCTCCGGGGGCCCTCAGCGACCCCAGCACTCGGGGAGGGCCCCGGGGGACTGGACACACAAAGGGCCCTTCACCCTCCGGTGCCCTCAGGTCCTTCACCCCCACCTTCCAGTACTCGTGTGGTGTTCATTTGGTTTTGCCAGGCCCGGGATGAGGACACCGGCCGGTGCCAGCTGCCGGCTGGCCGGCCGGGGTGCAGTTCGGCAAATACTGCAGTGGCTCTCTCTCTCGCCTTAGCTGCTCGTTCAGCTCATGCCCCAGGGAGAGGCGATACCACCCGATGCCCCAGCACCCAGGTCTACAGTACGAGACCGTACCTGGTATGAGGAGTTCTCCGTAGAGCTACCCATGCCAAATTCGTCCATGTTGGTTTTCCCTAGGAACACCGCACCCGCCGCGCGCAGCTTGCTGACAGCGGTGGCGTCAAAGGTAGGCACGTAGTCCCGCAGGATCTGGGACCCGGCTGTCGTGCGGACACCCTGGGTGCAGATGTTGTCCTGAGGGGAGTACGCGGAATCGTGACGGGATGTGCGATGAACGAGGAGGACAAGCAGGGCAACGCCGTCGTACGCTCGCCAGAGGTTGGGATGAAGACGAGCTTATTAGCGAGCTGTGCTATGGACTCTCCTCCTTGTCATTATTACCTTGATCGCGAGCGGGACGCCGCTCATCACTCCAAGATCCTCGGTGCCATGACTGGCTATATGTGCATCGACGGCACGAGCCTGCGCCAAAAGCCGCCGGGAATTGCAGCTTTGCTTCCAGCGGGAAACGACATATGCAACAGCTACCTGTGCGAGTGCTTGCTCCGCATCCACCGTGATAAAGCTGAAGACTTTGGGGTCTGTCTTGATGATTGCGTCCAGGTACTGCTGAGTTACCTCCACGGCACTGCATTGTTTGCTAGAGATCTTTTCATGTATGTCCCGAATGACCGACGATTTCGTCGCCGACGCTGTGATATGCTTGCTGCGCGCTGTTTTGAAAGCGATGCCCCTAAGCGACCCTGAACGGAGGCTATTATGTAGACATGCTTGCATGTTTATTGGGATGCTTTGCCGGAATAAATAACCAGGGCAACGCATGTACCAACGTAGTCAGATTGGTTGTGGCTGTTCCGTTAAGAAAGGATGCTAATGATAACGATATCGCTAAGCAGTATAGTGACCCTATAACGCAAGCTGACAGTTTGTGTATGACGCATGCCCCACCTAAGATGTGAGTCAACTACTTTCGAGTACGATACGGTTGTCGTTAAGCAACGGTTTGTCGACCTGAAGGTCGAATTGCCAGCGTGCTGTTTACGCAGTAGGAAACTACATCACAAGCTGTCGAGCATCAACACATTACCTGCAATCCCCGGCCGGGCCTCCTTAGTGCCCGGGGACCTCGATTGGTCCTCCCCCACCCTCCACACACCAGCACAGCTTTCATTCACAACAGCTTGCCTTCAAGCAAGCTGACCCTTGGCCTCCCAAAAAGCCATTCACCTTACGTGGCCATAATCTATACAGCTTTACGCGGCCGAACCTAGCCGGGCTACCATGCCCCGCCAGCAGGGTATATATAGCCATCACTCATCAGCATCACTCGACAAGCCCACGACCATCTCCGTACCAACAAGCTTACACACACACACGCTCTTCCATTCCCCCTCTCACGGCCAGCCAGTCCAACCAGCCACGGTGAGGACATTGTCACGCCTGGCGCATCACACATGTAGTGGGAGGCCGCGCGATACAGCAGCAGCCCACAACACAAACCTCTCCCCCCTTCACTTTACACACTTCATTACATCTCGAAAGCATCTAGAAGGGTCATATAATGATTGCCAACTGCGTGACGTCGTGCCCTGCCATCGAACCACAAGGTTCCTGCACGCCCAGTGCTGCGTCCAAGAGGCCCAACGCACATGCAAAGATCCAGGCTGCAACCTGTCTATGAGACGGCTCCATCTGCAACGCGAAGGGCAACGCGCCAGCCAGCCCGCGAAGGGCAACTGATCTTTGCAGCCAAACACCACTTCCCCAACGACTTCATGTTCGCCGTTGCCACTCGCATGCGCCACCTTGTGTGACGGCGCGCCAAGGACCCCGCGCCTCCACAGCCCCCTTACCACAGGACCCAGGGCTTGTTGGTGTCCGACACGAGCGTCTGCAGGGGAAAAGTAACGAGGGAAACGCCACCTGAGCACACAGCCTGGAAACGCGGATGCATTCGTCGGCCTCGTCCGCGACGGCAGTAAATACGCCGTTGCAAGGACAGGTAAGGAAATGCCCTCGGTACTAAACTCTCGCGCACACCTGACACAAAAGGATCGGCGGTGCTGGCATTATAACCTTTCGCACCACCAGCGAGCGCACGTGTAATAACGACAGTGAAGCCCCGGGCCTGCTGGGCCCTTACCTGCTTGTCCTTGGCGCCGGGAAGCATCTTGCGCAGCTTTGCAAGAGGGTTGTCGTACCTATCAGGTCAGCAAAACACACACACACACATGCATTGCAGCACCTCCTCCTCCTCCCTGGCGACTGGCGAAGGTCAGAACCTCACGCGCTTCCCCGAGCTAGCCTGCGCCGCGCACTGCCGACAGCAGTGAACCGCAGCTAGACCGCACACGTACATGCTCATGCGCGTGCGCGAGGGCTTGAAAACCAGTGCCGCCTATTACACCATCATGCCACTCAAAAAGGGTCGGTGCATTCTGCAGGGTCGGTGCATGCCCTATCCCCAGGCCCGATCCATCCATAGGCCCTAGCTTGGCACCCCGGGGCCGAGGCGCACAGCTGCCGTTTATATTCCCGGACGGCTGGACGAATGACGCAATAGCGAGAAGGAACCCTTCGCCCTTGGACAGTAACCCGCCGCCACCACCACCCCAGCGTGTGCCCGAGCGTACTTGCGTTCGAGCAATGGTTAGGTTCGCCTGCCTCTCCCTCCCCCCACCCCTAATCGGTGCGCCATTCCGCCGCCCGCGGCAGCTGGACCTCACCTGCCCAGTATCTCCTCGAATGCGGGGCCCCTCGCGGGCGCCAAGTCGGGGTCCGTCCGCATGGTGTTGTAATCCTCGAACCCTAGGGAGGAACACAGACATAAGCCGGGAGCTGAAAGCACACGGCTCTCAAGGTTTGATCAAGTAAAGTAATAACCTAATCCGGACTGGGATGGGCCCTGGGGACATGGACCCCGCCTGCGCCTTCTTTCCCCCCCTTTTCAGCAGCGAAACATGTGTCCACTGTTGGGGTGGGGAGACTGAAGATGCTTTCTGTAGTGCCCGTATGTTACTGTACGTGTTACTCCCATACTCCCCCTCAGCGTATGTTCCCAGGAGGTGCCGGACCTCCCAGGAGGTGTCGAGGATGACCCACATCCCAGTGCTCAGAAGTAACCCGCTTCTCCCGGGAAACTGTGTTTTCATCCCGCATGCACCCCCGAAGTCTCTGCCTCCCGCCCTCTCCCCTACTAGGGCAACTGCTCCAGTGCCACACGGCGTATTCTCTCTCCTATTTGCACTGAGACCGTTGGAGCTAGGTAAGGCCTGCGCCGTCCTCCTTATGTCCGTCAGAGCACATGTTCGTTCGTGTTGACTGTTCGTTGATTCTCCCCACTCTCCGCCCCTAGAGCCAGGCGGGGCGGCCGCCCCTCAATCCTTTCCAAACCCGGCCCCTCGCACCCCGCTGTCCCAGACCTCCCCACCTCCGTCAAGCACCGCCTCCAAGCAGGTCAGGCAGCTGCTGATCTGACCCAGCTGGGCGTACGAACACGCCATGTTGTACAGAGCCGCCTGCTCCTCAGCGTCTGAGGGGCAGCTGCAGCCGAAAGGAACAAAAAGGGAGTGGTGAATAAGGATGGGTGCGGGCGAAAGGGACAATGCAGCATACATGCTTCACGGGGTTCCCCACACTCGCAGTAACAAGCGCGTGCACACGAGGACAGTGCCGCCGCATATTAGAGCACTGAGCATACGTGGTTGGTCTAATGCCAAGTGCAGCGCAAGCAGGGCAGCACCAGAGTGTTAGCATTGGTAAGCAACACGGGTAGTTGGCGGCTTGTGCGATATTGGGGGGCCAAACAGGGACCCACATAAAGGTACCGGCACTCCTGGCTCACCTGTACTCCCGAGGGCTCCCGGGTAGCCGGTATGCTCCGTTGCCAGGCAGCTCGAGTGCCAGGTTAAACAGGGCAATCGCCTGCAGCATTTAAACCCATGCGTACAGCTTGTGACTCCGCGTGCATGGGGCGTGATAGTGTGTGTCCACCAAGGGGCCCAATGCTCAAGTGTCAGCTGGGTTACAGGAACAGGTTATGCCTAAGCACTATTGTCATAGGCCCTTGGCTGCAAGGCTGTATGCCATGGGGTACAGGATTGCAGGTCCACAACACATAACCCCAGTGGTGGACAAATGCCAGGCCCAAATATTGCATTTCTCTCATGCACACGCTGCCCTACCTGTTCATACTGCTTTTGTTTGAAGAGCTCGAGGCCCTTGTCAATAGCCTCCTTACAGCGCTTCGGCCTGATAGCAGCACCAACGAATCGGCCGGCATTTGGGGAGAGTCCTTTGTGACCGGGGGGAAGCGGAACCCCCCGAGGGTCGCTTTGCAACTCACATGAGAGCGTCAGCTCTGCAAACAAAACCGCTGGCCTGAACCTGAGCCCTAGATTCTTACCTATCTGGAGATTGGTCTGCTTCTTCATTTCTGCAAATGCAAGCGCTTATCGTGTTAAGTCTCTTGTTAAGCGCAAGGAGTTGCTTCTGATTTGAAACCTCACCGTGCACGCCCCTCAGACCGTCGCTGCTGGCGAGATTTTACAATGGGTTGCTGTTTGCTAGTACTTGATTTATTATCAAGCAAGTCCAAATTAACCTTCGGCTGCCTGCAAGACCAGACCACGAGTGTTGCCTTACAGAAGCATCGCAAAGTCGACCCGAGCACATACTAAGTCTCCAAGACTTATACATACTTTCGATCTCTCGCAATGAGATCTTGGACGGAGCCATCGGCCCGAACAACTATGGCTGCCCGGACCCTCCTATTCACAGACACGCCCCGCAGGACGCGAGAATGAAAACTGCTCGTAAGATGCATTCCTAACCTTATCATGCGAAAATGAAAACAATTCTTTGCAAACGCCAATCGCACAAACGCGAATAGTACGATGCCATGGATCCTGCCGTAAGTAAAACAATTGGGCCTATCTAGTCCGCATGGCTCTGCGATCCGTGTCCATATTTTTTTGTCAACCGTCCGTAACTCCGTGTCCATCCCCGCCGTAAGCCACAGAGGTTGCTGCTCCCAGCTGTGCCATGCTGTCGTACGCTGACAAGACACTACTGCGGTAGTAAGCAGCTCGGTCTTCGCCACCGTCCTGCGTGGGAATATTCAAGACGTTGGCCAAACACCAGGCAGCTCACACATCTACATGGGCGCGTAGTTTCTAGATTGTCTTTGCAACCCAGTTCTGTGAATTTGCGAAGTTAAACCCTATGCACCCAGATTATTGCTTTGCGCATATGCACGGGTATACTTACCAGCTGGTTGTCAGCCGGTTGTGCCGAGGCATCCTCAACGCAGTCCTCCTGCTGCCTAGCGCTCAGCAGCATGGCCAACTGAGCGCGCAGGAACTCCGCCTTTGCGCAGAGGAAAAAGCGCATAGTCACAGGGGGTGGGGCATGCTGATTAGATCACGCATGCGTACGTTTAACCAAATGGGTTTAGTTATTGAACTGTTTGTCGCAGGGGCAGCTGTCTGGTAACGGAAAAAAAGGTGGATTTTGTCCTCCGTGCCTCACCTCGTTCCGCCATTGCGCGGCCTCCTCGCTCTTCTGTGCCACCTCTTCCTCTTTTTGTGCTAGCCGGTTCTTAAACTCCGCTTGCGCCTGTTGTGGAATTGTTGGAACGGGTGGGTAGGTTCATCGCCGCGCGTGTTTCGGCATCGATGGCTCAAGCTCACTCATGTGTGCTACAAGCAGCCGTATGTCCAAGGCACTGGTATACACCGGGACAGTCCATGGGGCCTGGTCACCGCCTGCACCCCATCCCCGCGTGCACAGTCGTGTCTTGCCCTTCGCCGCAGATCTTGTTTGCATTTGCTGTTTCTTCCACGCCCTCGTCTCAAATTCACAGTGTCCACAGAATCCCGAATGCCACCTGGCTTTCTCCATGCCCCGTACTCACCTGGTCGAGGAGGCGGTGGCCCCGGAAACACATTTGTTCGCAATTTTGCCGCGCCTGTAACAACATAAGAAACGAATGTCGCCCTATCGTGAGTTTTCCGTAGAGAAAGTGCATTCACAATCGGCGGCCCGTAGAAAACGTATCCGGAAGGCTGTCCGGTAATCTACATCTGAATCAATTGCATTTGCAATTGACTTGGCGTTTTCCCAGGGCCTAGTGTTTGTTGGTGCTGTAGGAAGAGTTAACCGAAGACCACGCATGTCCAGCCGCTCCTTCGCCGCCTTACCTCGACCATCTTGCTAAATAGATCCGTAATTGCCACCTGCTGCTTTTTCGGCATGATACGGCATATCTCCTCAATCCGCTTCTTCTCCTGTGTGCAGTGGAAGGGGTGCTGATGATTACCATGTCCAGCGCTGATAGTTACCATGTTCTACACATGTCCACCTTACCTGCGGGTTAACCTTGGGGTACCTGCGCACGAACACCGTATAGGCCACAACATCCGACGGCGAATCTTTAGGAGAGGTGCATGATCACATGCAGGTTGCTTTGGGTAAAATTCCTCAAGATCAATCTTTGCAAATTTCGATAGTGCGCCCTTCAGAGTTGCCAGGTGATCCGATGCAACACTACGGCCGCCAGTGCACATAATTTCTCGGCGAACAAGGGCCGATATCCCAGGATAGGGTGCTGCGAGGCAGCTCCTCCCACAGCGCAGCACAGCGCTTGCCGAAATGCACTTACAAATAGAAATGCTCCGCAGGCTCCTCCTTCGCGCTAGTCTGCCGCGATCCAGACTTGCGCTTGTCCGCCTGGGATGGGTGGGCCGAAGAACCTGAAGGCTGTGGTGGGTCTTCGGTGGACGCTGCCACCATGAACACCGGCTCCGAGGCCTGCTCCTCCGCCCGCCGCTGCAAGATGCCCCCAAGATCAAGTTTAGGGACCGGTGGCCTGCACCGTCCCAGGGCATGCGGCTTGGCAACTGTTGGGGGGGAACAGTGATAATGAGGGCCCCAAACGCACACAGACCCCTACCCTAGGTACCCATGTGGATGCAAGCATTCATCATCTGCACATCTGACCCTTCGCGCAGCTTATCGGGACATGCTAGTGCTTAAGAATGATTTCGTGGATCACATTAGGAGCAAGCTCGTATGGATAACCACAAGCCTTACCCCAAATCTTCCGGCGAGGGGCTAGCGCAGGGATCTAGCGGCGGCATCGACGAGACAGACGTCGCCGTCTGTGACTTGAGCGCCGCGAGGTTGAGCGAGAGCATGGGTCGCAGAGGACCAGCGGGCCTGCAATGTCAGAAGCTACTGTGAGTAACGGCAACAAGCGTAATGTACTGCATGGAAGCTGCCCTATCTCTTCAATGCAACAGGGCAGGAACAGAGACAGGGCAGGGCGCTGCTAGGGGAGGGGTCTAGTTCGGCCCAGCATACGTACTTTGGTGCCGAGTTTACGGAGGCGCTTAGTTGAGCAATTGGCCTTGCTGGACCCTCCGTAATCGTTGTTAGCGTCGACTTGCAGCTGCTGGCCATCGACAGATCGCTCTTGCCTGATGCAGCGCTAAGCGGCCGCAGGCGCCCTGCAGAGGTGTCCCGCTTGTCTGGAACCGGGCGGTACGGTGCGCCGACCATCGCCGGCAAACCAACTCGCGCAGCTGCAGCCCGGTTCTTGGCGCCTGTTTGCTGCGGCGGCTGCTCAATTTGGTTTGCCAGGATGCGTCCTTTGCCCACGGACATGGACCGCTGCACCGTACTTGTGCATACGTCACTTGTTGCGGAGAGACGATCGCGGATTGTGCTGACGGAGCGGGACACAGTCTTAGTGCTTGCCGTTACTGGCGGGGCCGCTGCTGGCGTGGGCTTCCCGCTGGGTGAAGTCGAAGGGTATAGAACAGCGGTGCTCTTCAGTAGGAGCCGCCTACCGGCGTCCGTCAAATTTGTCGTTTCCGCCGCAGACACCGGCCTGCGTGGTATGCCATAGTTGACGGCCTTGTCACGAGGATAACTGTCCCTCCGAACGCCGTTGTCTCTCTGCCGAGTGTCGTCCTTGTCGTCGCAGGACTGAGACGAGTTTGGCCGTGATACTGCTTTGCCAAGCTTGCTCGCCGCTGGGGCCGGGACTTGTCGCTGCTTTGTGATGTTCGGGATGGACAGAATCGCTGACGATGTCACGTCCTTCCCGCGGCCATTGGCACCGGCAGCCACACTACGTCGCCGCGGCGATGGGATGCCTGATCTTGCAGAACCTGTCTGCTGCGCTTTCTCAGCTGGTACTGCTGTTGGTGGAACAGGAATCCGTCGGCCTGGTGGTGTCTGCACCGGTCCCCCGTCGCGCTTTTCTGGTGCCATCTGCTGCTGCTGTTACTATGCCGTTGTTATACAGTAACAATACAATTTAGAATGCGATCTTGCTTGAAAGCTGGTCAATTGTGAGCACCACAGCTGCGCGTTGGACCGAAGTTACTGCCCCCGTGTCCTGTACCTGTTGTCACAACTATGTTAATAGAGCCATCTGAGTATGAGCTAAGAGTCAGGTGTTAAGTTTCATTGTAGGTAGAGGAGGGTTGCTAGTGATGCAGAAAGCTGGATCCAAATCCAAGCCAATGATGTTTTATTATTGAACCTCAACGTGGCGTGTGACTGTGGACGCACATCCAAATGGATTAGACTATCTAAAGCCATCATGCACATGCTACCAGGTATTTAGCTGTTGCATGGCAAAGTTGACACACTCGTCTCCCTAATCCTTGGCGTGCTACTGGATACATAGATAGCAGCAGCTTCCTGCCCATGATGTTGTAACCCATGTCGTTGAGGACATTCCAAACCTGAAGTGGAATAATCCCGCGCCTAATAAGGAATTAACACGGCCCTGGGGCAGGCAGCGCTATCAAACGCTACAAGGTGTTGAATCTCCTTTAAGATAGGCTTAAGTGCACCCATCTGTTCTCAAGCAGCTTTTAAGGCACGTTTGGAGAGACATCGCGCGTTCATGGCACTTCAAAGTATGACACCTTGAAGTCCCTTTCAACAGTATGATAAGTAATCATATTCCTCGCATAAGAGTAATCAAGGATCCTACGGCCTGACTGTCGTTTTCCCGGGATTTAACCCGGGTTGCGACGCTGTTGCAGAGGGTATGACTCTGCACGATACGGCCTACTTGGTTACGCCACGCCCATGTTGTGTCAGGACGTGAATTCCATTGACAAGAGCTTTCAGGGAGAGCGAGAGGAGTCATCGTGCCAGGAAGTATGGGTACTCGCTGAGTACCAGGGGCCCGAGTACCGTGAGAAAGATTGCTCCCTAGATTAAGACCCAGTTGCTCTCTTACTGTTCATTACATACATCTAGCAAAACATCCTAATATTACGTGTCCAGTGCTTGTAAATGAGGGGTTCCGTAACATATAACCTGGATACCCGAGGCTCGAACTCCATGGGTTGTGGCACTGGGGTTTCAGGCAATCCTATCGCCCACCCTAGAGGCCAATCGATATGCGGGAGCCGTCGTAAGAGAATACCCTACTCTATTAGCCAATAGTTGTGATGCCAGGCAGATTGGGGGCTGTCAGCAGTTACGATCAGTGCCTTATGTAATTCAAGCGAAGGGCGGCTAATGGTTTTCCCAACTACTGCAAGTGTAGCTGGGCCGGGACCGGGCTGCAGCATCAGGGACCAGCTTCCGAACAGCACTGAATTTCAAAGGATTGCAGGATCACTCGACTCATTCAGCCCAACCGATGCCAATTTAGGAAGTGCGAATACGGCGGAAGGGTCTAACGCTTCTTGATCAACAGCGCTCACCCTTGGGACAGGTTTTCATATAAGCCAACCAGAGCAACGATCCATGAGCGGTGGTGGTAATCGCCCTGAGGAACTACGACGCATCATCCATCAGAGCATCCTCGGCCCTTGCGAAATACCGCTCTTGCACCACGTCGTCCTCAGTGGTGGTGTTTTGGTCACGGGTTGCCTTTCATCGCGGCGTATGGGCTTGCCTAAAAGCATCTAAGTTTTAGCAACACATTGCATGGCACACACGGCATGGGCAATGTGGGCGATCATCAGTCCAGGGACTGGCTCCGCCTAAATGTCAGAAGGCTGGCACTTGCCTGCACGTGGGACAGGGCACAACCGCCTGGCAAGCACCTAAACATTTTCATGCAGTGCAATTCAGGCTTGCGTAATTGCTGTGCCACATCAAGGAAGCCCAGTTTAGGCAGGACGCATGGGGCGCTGTGGGGCCCCTATAGCCTAGGGACTTCCTACACATCGTACATTACATTACAGCAGGCCAATCACAGCAGGTTCGCAACAACGACGACTCGTAAGTTCCCATAGTATCACTGCATCATGTTAAGGTGTGGGGTCCAGCTGGGACTTTCGTCCCACCGAGATATGTTGTCAAATCAAATAAATTGTCATTCTAGTTCCCTGTCCATTCAACATCTGACTTGAACAGTGCTAGCATGTAGCCCATGCAGGGCGAGCTGGCCGTTGCAAATGTTGAAGGCTTGCGCGGTACAACCTGACGCTCCTTAGCAAGCTGCCCACTCACCTTCCCGCTTCCCTGTCCCAGGTTGACGATTTCCGAACAACCTGGTTACGTTGCAGAAGGGGGACATTTCACCCTTCACATTTCAGCCCTAAACGATAGACCTCGTAATTGTGGTTTAGGGATTTACATGCGTGCAGCCGCCTGCAGCCCCCCAGCGCCCCAAAGACCGCGTCCGGCTGGCAATAGATGACGCGCTGTACACGTGAGTGCACCAGCGCCATGGCACACATGATGCAAGGCTCCCGTACAACGAAGCAGTCGTATCCCGTACACATATATGGCCGTGACCTAGTCGGGGCCTGCTGTGAGTCCTGCGGCCCTGCGCCTAACCTCGGCCTCTTGCACGCCAGCTCGTCACTCGCCGCCTGATCGCCCTTCCCCGCATTTCTTGGCCCTGCATCCTCTCCACAGCCACTCACGTCCCGCCCATGCGGCAGCACACCCTGCCCCGGACTGCTCGCGGACTGTAAATCTGTACCACCCTCAACACCTGCCACGCTGCGGCCAGCCATGACGTCGCTTAAGTCCCCACCGTCGCCACCACCGTTTCTGTCGTATGGGTCCACACTGGCCCGCTCGGCCGGCCATTGCGCGAGGTCTCGCTCCGAAGCTGCCTGCACGGCCGCCATGACCGCGTGCTGCAACGGATGGACTGCACTGTTGTCCGCCGCCTCGGCCACCGGCACCTGAACCGCTGGGTCCACAATGATCGCCGCGTTATCGACGCCCGACCCAGAGGCCAGCTGCAGTGCTGCCCGCATGAGATGCTCAAAGTACCGCTGCATGCATGCGTCGACAGGGGCCTCCTCCGTCACAGGGGTGCCGTTCTCGGGTATGCGCCAGGTAATGGGCCAGAGCTGTGTCCACGCCGCCCACTGCTGCCGATTTTGCGGCGGCGCGGCAGCTGCAGGCAATAAGCGGAGGCGAATACCACCGTATTGGTTATATAGCGTCTGCAGCGGTATTGGAAGGCGGCGTGCATCCGTTGAGTCCCCGCTAGGGCCGTCAGCAGGTGTTGAGTCGGGGGTTGACGAAGCAGGAGCTGGCTCGCTGGCTCCATCGTCAATTAGCACGCATAAGATGGCCTCCAGCAGTGTCCCATCATCTGGTGCTTTGCGGACGCGCTTGAGGTGTTTGAGTTCCGTCAGCGGGGCGACGGCGCCCAACGCCTTCATAAGCAAGTTCCCAACTTTGTTGGGGAACGCTGCCACAGCAAGGGTTATGGTCTCAAGATCGATCTCCCGTTGGCTTGGGACAAGGACGGCTGTCTCAAACTCCACATGTTGGGCATCCATTTGGGGTAAACGCCGCCGTCGTTGAACGCCGTTCGGTTGACCGTTACCGTATTCAGCCACGGTAGATGTAATTATTTAAGACGTAATCATTAGTGCCAAGGTGACCATCGGCCATTCTTGCCGTGAGGCATAACAAGGCTAGGAAAAAGCTTCAGACAAGCAAAAACCGTGATCGCCCTTTCAAAAGTTATTATAAGAAACTCACAAGCTCAAGCTTAAGAAAAGCTTGCTTAAAGGATGGTTGAACAGTTTCAGCAAGGTTACTTTCCATTAATGTACGGCCTAGTACGGTTGAGAAAGCCCTGACTCCTGGGCTCCCGCCGAGGAACATCATCTGTCTCGGGTTATGCACGGAGACAGCTCGCTCCGTTAATTCCCTCCAGGGCTAACCATGGCGACTATCGATAAGCAAATTTTTGACGATGACACTGAGGAAGCGCTGCCGGAGGAGTTCACGTACATGTCCGCTGAAGCAATTCAGCAACGTGTTCGCCTCTTAGACAATGAGCTGCGTGTTCTTAATGACGAGTCCACCCGCCTTACGTTAGAGCAGGAGACCCTGAAAGAGAAGATAAAGGAGAACAAGGAGAAGATCAAGCTAAACAACCAGTTGCCTTATCTCGTCGGTAACATCGTGGAGGTTCTGGACATCAAGCCGGAAGAGGACGAGGAGGAGGACGGCGCGACGGTAGATCTCGATGCGCAGCGTCGCGGGAAATGCGTGGTGCTGAAGACCTCTACACGGCAGACCATCTTCTTGCCAGTAGTGGGCTTGGTAGACCCTAATACGTTGAAGCCCGGTGACCTGGTTGGCGTCAACAAAGACAGCTACCTTGTGTTGGATACCCTGCCCGCGGAGTACGACTCCCGCGTGAAGGCCATGGAAGTGGACGAGAAGCCCACGGAAGACTATTCGGACATCGGTGGGCTGGACAAGCAAATTCAGGAGCTTGTGGAGGCAATTGTCCTACCTATACAGCACAAGGACCGCTTCACCAAGCTTGGTATCAAACCACCGAAGGGCGTGCTACTGTAGGTCGTCAGGAAACGTGACTACATCCACGGGGCATAAGAGGGGTTAGAAACGCGCACCAGGGGTTTTCAACTGCCTAATATTTAGCGGAGATGGTTTTTGCTGTGCAAGCTGTCTACGAGCTGGGAAGAAGAGCCACGGAATAATGTGCATGGGGGGTTGCTTCCATTACGGATGCGCAGCTTAAGGCAATGTGCTGTGAGGACGCTCACGATCCGTTGTGGATGCACGTTGCACCCCGGCAGATGTGTAGCCCCGACTTTCCCTACAGCGGTAGGCGCCCGCCAACAACACAAACAACGTCGATAGGAAAATGTGTTATTGTGAAAGGCTCGTGGTGTGCGCTATCCGGAGCTCGACAAGAACGCCAGCTTTGGCCACCTGAGTCACGTTGCCTTCCTCCCGGGCAGCTTTGAGCGCAACTCCATGTCCCCCTGACCAGCCTGCTTCATCATTTAGCCACCCCTGTTCCCCAAACCTGCTCTCCTTCCTATGCGACTGTCCGTTTGCTTACGGCCAATATCATACCTCCTGTAAACGTCTCCTGTACGGCGTTCTCCCACGTGGTCTGGCTGCTTAGCTTAACGCGAGGCACGGAAACGCGCGTGTTCCGATGCCCTGCCCTCTTCTTTGGCCTCGCTTCCATCCATTGCCCCCCTGCCCTCCCGCGTTGCTTCCGTCCCACCCCCGACCACAGCTACGGTCCGCCGGGCACCGGTAAGACGCTCATTGCGCGTGCCGTGGCGGCACAGACCAACGCCGCTTTCCTCAAGCTGGCGGGTCCTCAGCTTGTCCAAATGTTTATCGGAGATGGTGCCAAGATGGTCCGCGATGCGTTTGCCCTGGCGAAGGAGAAATCGCCATGCATCATCTTTATCGATGAGATTGATGCTATCGGCACCAAGCGCTTTGACTCGGAGCTGTCCGGCGATCGCGAGGTGCAGCGCACCATGCTGGAGCTTCTCAACCAACTGGACGGCTTCAGCAGTAATGACGACGTCAAGGTGATTGCAGCCACCAACCGCGCCGACATCCTGGACCCGGCGCTTATGCGCTCGGGGCGGTTGGACCGCAAGATTGAGTTCCCGCATCCCAACGAGGACGCGCGTGCTAAGATCCTGCGCATCCATTCGCGTAAGATGAACGTCGCGTCGGATGTTAACTACGAGGAGCTGGGCCGCTCTACTGACGATTTCAATGCGGCGCAGCTAAAGGCGGTGTGCGTGGAGGCAGGCATGCTGGCCCTGCGGCGAGACGGCACGGAGGTGACGCACGAGGACTTCGTGGAGGGCATTACGCAAGTACAGGCCAAGAAGAAGACCAACCTCATGTACTACGCATAAGGCTCTTGGGCTAGAGCAGGAGGGCCGGGGGGAGGGGCTGAAAGTGCGGCTTGACAGGGCCATGGCAAGTTCTTGGGTTGTGTAGCTCTGGGGCGACTGGGGAGCAGACGGGTAGGCGGCTTAAGACCGGTGCGCGGGGTGTGGCGAGGGGTAGTTCCGCCACGTACAGTTTTCAATGGAATGATGGTTACGCAGTGTTAGAGATAAGGGGTTACAGACAGAGACGGCAAATGGGGTGGCTGGCGCTATGCCAAGGTCCCTGTGTACTGTAATTTTGTATGTAGATAACGATGGCAGAATCCACCGGGAATTGTAGCCGCGTACTGACTAAGAGCTGTGTAGCGGACCTGAGCCTGGGCTGTGCAGTACGTCTAGGCAGTGCTTCGTTATGTTGGAGTATCTCTGCTGTCAGGTTTTGACGTTTGGGTTGCTGGGCAACCTGGCGCTGTCTGTCGTCATCCTAACGGCTAATGTGCCACGGCACATTAGCCGTGGCAGGAGCCCTTAGGCCCTAATGACAACGCGACGAGGAAATCTGAACCAAGCACTGAAAACCGCATGGACAAATGATGGGGATGCTTTAGGAGGATAAAGTTGACGGATGCGTCTACCCAGGAGTCGGACAGAAGTCCGGATTGTAATTGGAGGCCACCGCATTTGTAATTACACCGAAATCCAGCTACGATTGCCTCATCCGTTCTTTGGCCAACCATCGTCCAAGCACAATACCTCTCTCTGCCCACCCGAACCAGCTTAACAAGGAGAATCGCTTGATTGCACCGCCACCACCTGGCCCCCCCCTCCACGGGCGATAACTACGTGTACGGGCCAGGTGAAAGTGAAGTCCCGCACGTTGCGATCCAGAATTTGCCCCCCCCGAAATACACCCCGCCTGCATGCACACTGCACGGACCCCCTGCATTCACCCGCGATATCATTACATACGACATGACAAAACTCAACTCCGACGCACAGCCACAGCCCCTGGGACGCCCTCAGTCATCGCCAGCATCCTGCTGCGGTTCCAACCTGATTAGGTCGTCGATGCGGAGGATAGTGATCGCGGCCTCCGTTGCGAACTGCGCGAGGGGCAAAACCAAGACCGTACCACCAGCAAGGGGCATCATCAGCATCGCCGAGCGGCATACGCCTGCATGCTGCTCATCAAATAGCCCGTAAGAACCCTTCACGATTCTCTCATTGCGGCAGACAATCCAGGCTTGTGCGGACCCGGGCCCCAGCCCCAACCGACTGCACATGTCCATGCCATAGGTGGTACACCAGGCACAGCCATCCCGGCCGCGCTTCCCTTCCCCCACAGCAGCAGCCTCACCTGGATCATTTTGAGCTTGCTCATGGCTGGCTCCAGCACTCCCGCCTCCACGTTGTTGCGCACCTTGCCCTCCACCAGGTCCAGCCCGTACTGCGCACACACTGCCTGGTCCGGCTGCGTCTGAGCCTTGTAGTGGTAGGCACGGAGAGCCGCCACCTGCGCAGCATCATAAGGGACCGGCCGGGGACCACGGTGACGACACGTCACGGGGCACAGCGCTGCGCGACAGCATTGCCAAGAGTCACGTGCACAGGACGTGTCACCATACATTCCCACCCGTAGATTCCCACTTCTCCACGAAATTGTATGTTTCAAACGTCCCTGGTGGACACACCGCACCATAAGCCCCAACCCGCCATCAACCCCCCAAAGCCCGCCATTCGCGACTCAAGGGGCCCTGCTCCCCGCGGATCACAACAGTCCCCATGTGTGCCTTCCCTCCCTGGTGCTATCCCAGTCATCCCACCCACCAGTTCTGTGGCGTCCTTGGCCGCGTTGACAGCTAGCGTCTTGGGCAGCACCAGTAGCGCGTTGGCAAACTCGCCAATGGCCAGCTGCTCGCGACTGCCCAGCGTGGTCGCGTAGTTCTCCAGGTATATGGACAGCGCCGCCTCAACAGCGCCGCCGCCTGCATACGAAAGCAGCAGCACGCAAAGTCCATCACGTCGTCAACGCAAGACCCATCGGCCTGCTAGACTACCCCGTACGGCCATGACGCTATGAAGCTGATATGAAGTTGCAATGGCTCCGCTCCCAGCCTCGGATCGGATGGGCTTACTTTCTGAAAAAGGAAAGAGCTGCTACGAGCAAGTTGCCGTGGGTCTACACAGCGTTAAGACTTTAGTAACTACTCCCATCCTTACGTCCTACCTAAAAATTCCATTCGGAAGTCAAACAAAAGGCTCAACGGCATTTCCAATAAGATCACCAACAAGATCTATCCAGACTCTTGGCTTCGCACTCCGTCCTGAACCCTCAAGCAGGCGAATAGCCAGGTTTCGCTCCTAACCTATCACGCCAATGCGGCTAATCACCCACCCACCTGGCACGACATTGCCCGACTCAAGCACGCGCTTGACGACGCAGAGCGAGTCGTGGATGGAGCGGTCCATCTCGTCCAGCATGTAGTCATTGGCGCCACGCAGCAGCAACGTAACCGCCTTTGAGAACTTGCAGCCCTATTAGGGTGATGGAGGACCCATCGGGTACGGCAGACAGGCAGGAAGATTGCGGGACGGACGCAGACAGTAGATGTGCTAGGTGGTACCGGAGCAAACCACCTCCCCCTGGGGCAATGGATCCCCCGGTCCAGATTGGGGGACACCTCCACGCTGAGCCTCCCTTGCAAGCCCCGAACCAAGCCATAACCTGCACAACCCACAATCTGCAAATGGGATGCTAAGGACGGCCTCAGGATGGCACAATCTTTACCTTGATCATGATCATGTTGTCATCCGCCACCCGCTCCTCAACCACCTCCTCCGCCGAGCCCAGGTGAGCTGGGTCGAAGGTCTCGTTGCCGTCCATGTCGGCCAAGGTCAGAACCACCGTTGCGCCGGTGGCCTTGGCGATGCGACTGCACAGCAGACGGGTTGAGGCGTTGAGGCCGGGTCAGGAAACGAAACGCAGCACAGCAAACGTAAAGGGATGACGAAATCCACTTCAGGAATGGGGGGGCGGGGGCCAGCCGGGCCAGTGCTGTGCGGGGGAGAGCGGGGCACAAGAGGGGGACCGGGGAAGGCCCAGAGCAGCGGAGGTGAGTTCCGCCAAAGATGCAAGTTCCATCCTATGTAGCAGACTGGCCGGTAGCGTGTTGGCCGGGCACTCGCATGAGCAATGTGTACTGAGGATATAGGATATACCGGGCCCTCGCTAGAATAGCGACACGGTGACGGGAGCAACACCCGTTTGAGACAAGAGAGACAGAGAGACGGAGTTTGAAGAAAGCGGAGTGCTGTATGCAGAATACGTGCCAGAGGGAAGCACCACTGAGATCAAAACATACAGCGCGTGCAGCTGCACCTGGGCGGCGCTTTGCCTCAGCCGTCACCCACCGCAGATCGTCCTTCTCCACCCGGCGGCAAGCAATGGCCCCCGCCTCAACAAAGTACTTGAGGGCCATGTCGTCAATGCCCTGCGCGTGGGCGACGAAAGGTCCAAAGCCACGGCATTACGTGATCATGCAGCCACTAAACGCCGTGGTGTGGTCATAGCACAGACGCACGACATTTTAGCCTTCATAAAGGGCATCACAGATCCCTTTAAGGACGTCGATTAGCATCTCCTTGTCCGCCGGGCCTGGATGCCTGCATCGGGAACTCTCAGTGCTTTATCAAACAGCACAACACGAGAAGGGTTATACCCGCCGGTCCTGCCCTGCTTCAAAGCACTGCCTGGTGTGTGTGTGTGTGTGTGTGTGTGTCGGCTCTCCAACGCAGAAAGCCCCTTTCCCGGGTGCTCGTCGCCCACCTTGGTGGTGAGGATGACCTTGGCTCCCGCGTCAAGGATTTTCTGGATGCGCTCCTTGGTGATGTCCGACTCGCGCTCGCGAATCTTCTCCAGCTCTTTGGGATCGTTCACAAGTACCTGCGCACCCGGGACCCACGTGGACAACCCAATCCCCACTTATCGCAGGTGCGTTCAGAAGCCAGACACTGGTGCGGTGGTGCGGTAATAGCGTGTGTAAACTCCGTCTTGGTACGCAGGAAACACAACCCAACCGCACACAAGGCTCAGTCTTTAACATAAATCACCACGTAGCCCGCAAGGCCAATCGCGTGGGTGTGCGGGGGGGGGGGGGCGCGGTACACGGTGCGGCGTGGGGCTGTGCGGGTCGGGACAGACTAGCCCAATCCAGCTGGGCTGGCTCCGGAGACCGCGTCGTGAGAGAAACATTCCCCCCTTTCCTCAAAAGTGCCTTGAGAGCCTTCAATGCCGTACGAGCTCGTGACCCTCTAGGCATCACGGGGAGTATACGTACACACGCCACAGCTTGTGCCGCACTGCCTATTGAGCTGCTCACATCGTTTTTAGCTCCGCATCCGAAATGTACTTGCTCGTCTGTGGGCACCATCCACCTCTGTTCCCTCTGTTTCCCTCCAAGCACCGCACCCCTGCCCGTGCAGGCCCCGTGTACAGCTCACAATTTACGGAGAGGCATCCGGACCCATTGTTCCGTACCCCACCCCCTGACTGGCCCCCTGCCGCCGCACCGCACCTGCACACCCATCATCATTCGCGCCTTCTGGAGGTTCATGTCCAGGCACGCGATCTTGACGCCACCGGCCAGGCGTTTGGGCATGCCCTGCGCCGCGCGACCGAGATTGAGTGCATAGCCGTTGAGCAGGACTGATTCTCGGGCGCTCTTGCCGTGTGCCTTGAGCACGTTGACGGCCTGCAGGTGGCGCAACGTAGGTGTGGGGTCGGGGAGGTCCGGGCAGACTAAGTCAGAGCGCGATGCGGTCGGCCAAATGAGGCAAGGCGGGAGGCGGGTTGAGACATACGGGGTGCGGGCGTGAGAGGTAGGAGGGCACACCCCGAAGTAGGAGAAGGAGGATAAGCTTCACACAGAAGGCGGCAACCGGGCAATCAGAAAGGGCTAGGGATGCGGGAAATGAACAAGACGAGCGCTGGCAAGAGCCGGGTGATATCATATCACCCCCAACGCGGTCCGAGAGGGCGGGAAGTAAGGTGCTGGGGAGGACCCGAGGTGACGCGAGCTGGCCTGGGCTGCCAAGGTAAGGTCTCGACCTGACCCAGAACCCCACCCGCGCCCACACCGACAACGACTACCGGAAACCTGTCCCCCGGGGAGCGCCCCTCACCCACCTTGACGGGGTACCGGGTACGGCCCGTAATCTCGTCAGTGGTCTTGACCGCGTTCATGGCATCCACAACCATGCGCGCGAAGAAGTCGCCCTCGGCCCCCACAATCTTGGACGACATGGAGGTGCGGGCCGCGTTGAGCAGCGTCTCCGTGCCCAGGTCGTCAGTGCTGGTGGCCATGCGCTCCTCAATGAACTTGCACGCCTGGAGGCCATCAGGAGGTTGCGTGGCCGTGACAGGGTTGGGAAGGGGGTTACAGTGGGTGGGTTACTTGTCGTGACAGAAAAGGATGGTCGATATGGTTTCGAGGCCATGGGAAAGAAGCATCACTGCCGGCTGGGGACCAGACAACACAGCCGCGCAGATGGTGGCCTGTGGATGGCGCTGGAAGCTCGCTGACGTGTTGACCCACTAACGACCAACCAGAATCAGGAATGGAGAAGGTTGGTACGTGGCTTCGGGACCGCGGCGCCGCATCGGGGCGCATCGCCGAAGTCGTACGGGCAGAGACTGCCTTGTAGCTCGATACGGGCATTCCAGTTCTAAGGAGCCCATTGAGTTTCCAGCTGCCACACTTATGTCCCGCCGAGTAATGGAATATCAGGCGTCTGCCACCGGCCGGATCCGCGCTCCGTCGACTGATGGAGGAGAGTACCCGCACCACACCGCACTTAAGACTGTGGGTCGACCAATGTTTCCAGTCGACAGCAACATGCAGAGGTGGGAACCCATCCCATGCAGCGCGGTCATCGCCTCCATCGCCCACCAAGTAATGGACAGCGCCTCGGAACACAACCGTGCGGTGCCCGCGGGCTGCCCTCGCGTGATTCACCCGCAGCTGGCAGCTGCCAATCGGGGGGACATCCATGTTGGCCCAACCGCATCCCACGTCACACGACGTGACGACAATCATAACGGCTGCAATCGGCGCCTGCTCATCGTGGGCAAGTATGAGCATGAGCCGTCCTGGATACAACTCTTCGGCAATCCCTGTATTTAACAATACCACTCCAGTGCAGGACGTCGAGGCAACACCGCGACCTTGCGCGTGCCAGGTGCGCGGCCCACGACACGCTAAGCAGAAGAACCAGGATGAGTTGCTGTTGCTGCCGCGTCCTTCCTCCAACAGACCGCGGCGGCAGTTACGATCCGACCCAGGCCTAAGCAGGATGCCGCAGGGCAGCTGATTCACAAAAGCGACGCTTGCTCACCCATCTGTTAGAAACCAGACGTCCTCTCGTCCATTGATCGCGGGCTGATGCCAAGAGGCTAAGAGGAGCAGCAGCAGCGGCAGGAACCGCAGCCGCAGCCTGCTCAATCAGCAACATCCAGCCAGACTGGAAGCGGCCGTAGGGTCAGCTGCTCCGAAACCTCCCGTCACGGACATTTTGTTGTTTCCACCCATCATGCACGCCGCTCCCCCTCAACAATCTGGGTTGCAGTACCGGTGCACTCAGGTGCGCTCAGGCAGCCGTCCTCCTTCCTCCAGTCATGTTCATCAGTGGACCCACGTGCATGCTACCCAGGTACCCACCCGCCCGCAGCTCCCCAGGGTCCGCCTACGGCTCCGGGGTCTTCTTCCCCAACAGAACCCCCAGCTCCCCAGATCGCAACAGCCCTCCAGTCGCTCCCTTTCGCCAACCCCGGTCTCACCCGCCCACCGCTTACCTCCCGCATGGCCAAGCGGTAGCCAGCAATGATGTTGGTTGGGTGGATTTTGTTGTTCACGAGCTCGTTGGCTCGCTTTAACAACTCCGCAGCCAGGATGACCACCGAGGTGGTGCCGTCACCCACCTCAGCGTCCTGAAGCTCCGCTAGCTCAACCAGAATCTGTAGGGTGGACCAACATAGCAATTCAGGAACCCATTTTCATGCTAACTTTAGCTTCCCGACTGCTTGAGTACTGCGGTGCTGAAAGACTTAGGATTTAATCAGTACTTTCCTCAGCACGGCAGGGGTATTTACGCAGGAGGCGGCAGACCGCAGCAAAGCGTGTCGAGTTGGAGAGTTTCATGGAAGAGCGCAGTTTCATCGTCAGGCAGTGCCAGGGCAAAGTGTTTCCATGCCGTAACTTCGTGAACACCAGTCTCTGCACGAAGGTGTGCCTACACATTTCCGCATGCCTTGCCTGATCCCATCCTATGTGCCCAACCTCTGCCGGCGTTGCCCGTGGTTACAACACGGAGCCAGCGCCGTACCCACGCGCACCTTTGCCGCTGGGTGCTCCACCTCCAGCAGACGTAAGATAGTAGCGCCGTCATTTGTAATTGTCACGTCACCGATGTCATCCACAAGCATCTATGCGGCGATCCAAAGGTTGGACGTAAAGCGCGGGCAATAACATGGACAAAAAAGCCGTTCCAAGGTACCGGGTGCCCTTGCGTACCTTGTCCAAGCCCACTGGCCCCAAGCTACTTTTCACTATGTTCGCCACTGCAGTCACTGCCGTCACGTTCTGAGTACGCACATCTTGGCCGCTTTGCCGCTCTCCCGCAATTTGCAGTCGTTGGCCTAGTGCTGCAGCTGCCATTTTTCAAATAAGTTAGAAAAACAGGCTTGGCTTGCAGTGGTTGTGGCGGCGGCTCAGCTTGTTAGTGATCGGGTAGGAATCTCGAAGGAGACAGGCGGCACAAAAATCAAGGAGTAGCAGTCCAATATCTTATAAGCTACCTGTCTGCAAAGCAAATAGCTGCTAAGGGTTAAAGGACGCGAATGCAATCATATAAAATTATGTCGTTCGCCGTGCATGGGGCGCGTTCCCGCGTTCGGCATGATGAAGAAAGAGTGATAGCTAACGTTAGGGGTTTAGCACTCATACTTGTTGGAAGTTGATTTTTCTTTTCTTGCGTTGCCTTTATCATAGTTAAGCATGTCGGCACGCTATCTGTAAGCAACTCGTTACAAACTTTGCTCAAGTCCGTACTGCTATTGCCTTTCTCCTTGCATTGTCATGAAAACATAGGTTTTCTTGCACCTGTTACAGGTGCATAGGCCGTGTGCCGACGGCCTCCTTGGTTAGAATTAGCCGCTTTCAGGATTCCGGCGGTTTGCTAAGCATTGTGCGTTTATTTTAGATAGCATAGCAATACTGTATCCGCAGCTGTTGGATTCAGCATCTGTGGATCACTCCGAAAGCGACTGGAGTTCATCAGGACGGCTTCCCGGGCCATCCGAATGGGAAGAACTTGACCTGCACAATTCAATTGCTGTCAGATGTCTCTCCAGTCGTATCCAGCACATATGACTGAGCTAAGCGGCGACGCAGCGGGCCCTGGTCCGGGTAGTGTGGTTTATACCGCAGCGCAAAAGAAGCACCAACATCACCACCAGCATCAGCATCATCAGCACCACGATCATGATCCGCTTCGTGCAGAAAAGGTGTTTCTTAGTGGAGGTAGGCTGGGAACCGTTGCACAGCGTAACCTCGGCGGCGCTAGGTGGCCTTGTCACGTTGGCACGAAGTAAAACTGCGAAATTTCCTATGATGTTGACACGGAGCGCCCCTTAACTTGTTGCAACAGCGCTGAGCGGGGCAGTCAGCAGGACAGCGACAGCACCCGTCGACCGGTTGAAGATGCTGTTACAGACGCACGATGGGGCGAAAGGACTGTCCTTGCGGCAAGGCTGGCAAAAGATGATGGCAGAGGGTGCGCAGGGGCTCGGGTGTGGCTTGTGGCGTGTTATAGGTCTTAGTCGTACCGCGTGGGCCCGCCCTACCAGTATGTCTCTTATTGTATGGGCATTGACAGAAGCATTATCAGCTACCAGAATCCCTTCCCGGCTGCTTTGGCACAGCGCCCGAGGTCCCGACCACAAGTGCCGCACGCCTGAAGTCCCCGCCCACCGGCTCTCCCTTCACTGATCAGGGTTCGTGTCCTCTTGTCCGTCCGTCCTGATTCCTAACTGGCCAGCACCGTCTCTGTAATCAGGAGCCCTGCCGCTGCTCTCACTCGAATGCATCAAAAGCTTTGTTGCATTAATAGCAAAAAAATGAAAGCTTTGAGCCGTTCAGACGTGTTCCCAGACGTCACGGACCCCTTCACTCCACGCCTGAACCCCAACACTGCTGTGACCTGCTCAGAACCCGTAACTGATTGACCTCAGTGCCTATGCCCGCCCTTGCCAGGTTCTATCAAGTCGTTCTTCAAGGGTAACGGCGCTAACGTGGTGAAGATTGCGCCGGAGACAGCACTCAAACTGACGCTGAACGACGCAATACGAAGCCTTGTAGCCCAGGACCCGGACCATGTGCGCGTGCGGGAACGGATGGCATCAGGCGGAATTGCGGGCGCAATAGCGCAGGTAATGCTTCGAGACACTGGCGCTGATGTCACGAAGGCGTCTGAGGGACTTGAGAGGCCCAACTCCTGGGGCTGGGGTCCCGGCTTGGTGCTTCTTGGTCGGAGGGTTTTGGAGCCTCAGGGTGGAGCCCGGGACATCGCGGATGGGAGCCCGGTTCATTCAGAGCCAGCAGGTTCAGGATTTCTGCCTTTCAGGAGGGCCACTTGAGCGCAGACGGTGCAACCCGGGCACTGGGTGACTTCAGGGCCTCTTAGTGGGATGGAGCACTGGCGGGCTACTGCTGTCTGCTTGGACGCCTTTTCCTCGGGGTCCCGGTTGCCGGTGCCGATGAACTACGCCAATCCATGTGTCCAGTACAACGTGCAGCCAGGTCCAATTGCTGTTGGCCTAGGGTTCCCTCCCCCTTGTGCTGCAAGCTTGCGCAGCGAAGAGGGCAAACCCCTGGTGGAATTTCCTGTGTCGTGGCGAAGGACAAGGATATTGCAGCTCATGTGCGCAGACCAGCAGACAAGTCAATAGCGTCCCCAGGATGTCCCATTTGGTGTTCCCGTCGCAGGGCCTGTTATATCCCTTGGACACCATCCGGACCCGGCTGGCGGTGTCCCCCCCCGGCACGTACGCGGGCATCCTGCACGCTGCATACCGCATCCGTCGAGACGAGGGCGTCCACGCGTTCTACCGCGGACTGATGCCCTCCATGATTGGGATCCTACCCTTTGCGGGTGTAGACATTGCACTGTTCGAGGTGAGCGGGGTTTGTAACAAGGAGGGCTGCATACTCGGGGCGTTGAAATGAATAATGATGACTCAAATTATGATGACTTGCAGGGTCCAGTGATTGTAAAGCTGTGTCGCTTGTTCAGCAGAAAGGCGTCGGCATGAATCTTCACGGAGTCGACGCAACGCGTTGCGACCTCATGTGTGCCCGGCTTCACCTATCCTGCAGGTTTTCAAGGACCGGTTGTATGAGCAGTACGACGGCCCGCCGCCGCACATGGCCATCGTGGCAGCTGGCATGTTGTCCTCCTCCATTGCCCAGGTGCTTGGGTTACGATGGCCTTATGTGGGACGCTGTTCACAAAAGTACCTGATAAGTCCGAATTTGTGAAGCCAAAACCGTGTGGAAAACCGAGGAAAACCGTGTGATTTGGGTTGGTGGATTTGGTGCCCTCCCTTCACGCCAAGGCCTACGCGAAGTTTTGTTGCTTCGCGTTCCGCGTCTCCCGCCCCTTTTCATTACCTTCCGCGACGTGGTCCTCGTCCGTTACCTCGCATCCTGCCTCCTGCGTCCCGCTGCTCTGTACCACACAGGTGGTGTCGTACCCCCTGGCACTCATCCGTACACGGCTACAGGCGCAGGCGGTCCACCAGCGGCGTCCTGACGGCTCGCTGGTGCTGGGGGAAATCAAGTACCGGGGCATGATGGACGTGTTTCGGAAGACGGTGCAGCACGAGGGTGTGCGGGGGCTGTACAAGGGGCTATTGCCCAACTTATTAAAGTTGGCGCCGGCGGCGGGCATCGGCTGGTTTGTCTTCGAGGAGACAAAACTTGCCTTGGGTGTAGATCCGCGGTCGTGATACCCAACCCCCGCCTACGGAGTGTGTCAGTCGTCCAAGTTGGTGTAAAGAGATGTACTTGTGTGGGGGCTCCGCAGTGTCGGTGCGGCGTGGCGTTGCACGTTAGCAGCCGGCTGCAGAGCGACTGAACGGCTACAGCTTGGACACTTGGCGGTGTGTTGGCCCGACCCCCGGGTCTTTCGCAGGCGGTACTCGGCGTCAGCTTGCGTTGGGGGTCTCTGGGTGCTTGGTGGTGGCTTGAACGCAATTGATGTGAACGGGTGGTCGTTAGTTGGTAAATTGTTGGTGTAGTTAGGGACCGGGGTGAGGTAGGTGCGTGTGCGAAAGTCGTGAAAGGCTCCGGTAAGGGCTGTGCGCGGTGCGGGAATGTCGTGGCCGACTACAAGGTGAGGCATGCATGTGTCGAAGTGGACGGGGGCTCTTTGCTGTTACTGGACCAGCAAAGGCCGTGAGTGGCTAGGTAATGTCCGCGCGGCACCCACGGTCCTGTCCACGGGAAGAGGACAGCGGTGCTCCTTGGGATGTGTCAGCAGCTAACAAGCTGTTGTGGGGGGGGGCCGCAGCAGCTAAACAGCAGGTGGGAGGAACGTGATTGTGGGAGGGCGGTAGGTAGTTAGGTCCAAAGCATTGGCCGAGGGGTCAAGATGGGTGCGGAACAGGAGCGACGCATACACATTGGGCAGCAAAGGTTTTAGGTAATAATGCTGCAACGGGTTGCTTCCTGCCACTTCCGATGTGGGCCCTCTTACTGCTTAGCGCAACCAGCAACATGTGCGAATGTGGCGTTAGGTTGCGCTTGCGCCAACATGCAGCAGCCTGGCACGGCCCCTATAGACAATGGTTTAGCGGGCATGAGATTCGTTGGGTGGTTACTCCGCCCGCTATTTACTCCTTTGCATTTAGATGTACCTTGAGTTGCTCTACCTGGTTGCGGTATGTGAGGGGTGAAGGACCCCTTTGCTGTGGCCGCAGTCTGGGTGGATGCGCGCACGTGGGCATGTCGCACCCTCTTAAGTGTGCATCCCAACACAGGCATTGGTTTTTGCTGTTTGCTGATGTCTCGTCGTGTGTTCTTGGTGTACTATTAATGCTTGATTAGTTAGACATTGTGGCTCGGTCCATCAGTTCCGTTTGTTCTGTGCTCGTGCTCGTACGCACGGGTCTTCTAGCTTAGGGCCTTCAGGTGATGTTAATGTGGTTAAGGTGGGTGACCTGGGTGGTGAAAGCAATATAGGTGTATGACTGCAGAGCTGTCAGGCTCACGACGACTAAGCAGCGGGCCAGATGGCGTGGCGTGCGCGGACATGACAAGCTGGAAAGGAAAGGAAGTAGGCCCGACCGCCGGTTCTTACTTTGGTCAGGTAATGGAGGTGGTGGATCCAAAGCGGACTCCTACCCTTAACGTCCTCGATGGACCAGGGTGCTAGTGATGTGTGCCGCGATCCCTATGTGGGTGAGGATGTGGGTGGGTCTCGACACGCTTCGTTGTGTCCTCATCGTGATCGAGGCTAGCAGGGGATTTGGAAGCATGTCGGACGTGGTGGATATGCTTCGCTCTTTTGCCTGGTGTTTTAATCTTTCTTTTTTCGTCGTAAATAGCTTCCCCAGCTTTTGGCTTAACCGCCTCTCCGGGAATCAGAGCACATCTAGATACTGTTCCCAGGCCAGTACATACTCAAAACGTGAAGTCCTCATTGCGGAGGTATTGCAGCTGAACTTTTCTGTTTATCAGGTCATCGGCGTCAATCCCACGCCCTGAAGTCACAACTCTGGGCACTATGCCAACGACCGTAACCCGCCCCAATGAAGGGGGGCCCGTTACAACATAAGTTTTGTGGGTTTACGAAACCGACTATACACCTCCCTTATGTCCTGGACAATGCCGAGACTATACATATATATGATATATTGCTGCCAGCGTAAAGACTCCGAACCGAACGGCTGCAAGGCACAAACGGTTGAACTGCCGCCTTAGGCTTTTGTTGCTGATACTGTCACGCTCCGGAGCAACAAGCTCTGGAACACCAAGATAGTTCAAATGTTCTCTAGTCGGCAGCAAAAAGCAATAAGAAATCCAGCACCTGCCGCAGCCCACCGACGATGCACCGTGTCCCCTGTGCTGTGGACCCGACTCTGGAGGCCACGTACTGGGTGGCTGCACGCGTAGTTGCAGACACAGCGTGGTAAGGGCTGCAGCGGACGCGGCTAGGGTGCCCACAATTTACAGGTAATGTCGTACCCAACGGTTTTCTCCGCTACAAGCTGAAAAGACCTGCAAGCAATGAACGATAGGCTTCGTGAAAGGGTCGGCACGGGGCACACTACCCCAACACGAAAAAACGAGGCCTATAGACCAACCGCTTCAGGACAATACTCTCAGGTGGCTCCACGCAAAACCCAAAAGAACCAGCATCGTCGCTCACAGCGATACAACACCAGACACACCACTATGCCGTACAAATACCACTCCGAATTCACAGAAAATCTTGGTCTAGGAAACGACCAGGTTAAGTTGTCTCCGCGTGTAGGCATTGACAGAGCGAGATTTTGCTAGGAAATGTTTGCGACGTGTGCGTGTGACAAAACACTTTCGTAAGCCAGGTGGGTGACGGAAATTTGTAATACCAGGTGAGTTATGTGGTTTCTAGCGGTCTCAAGGCTATCGTGTATGCCAAGGACCCAACAGTGCAGGCAGCATTGTGTTGTCTAATTGCCGTGCCACTCTCCACCGGTTGCGCTTTCTGCAGCGCTGGCCGCCGCCGTACCCTGTACAGTGTCTGCTGGATTCCCACGCCCGCGGGAATGATGCTCCCTAAAACCGTCAGGGCAGCTATCACACGCAGCGTTGCTCCCGGTAAGGGTGGCACTGTCCACTCGAGTAAGCTTAGGTAGGCGGCTTTGGCTACTGGAGCTACGATGTGTGCTGTTGTAGTCAACACACTTTCAGTATCAGACTGGCATAGCTGGTAGGTTGGTCTTAGGATTACTTCCCAAGTGCCACGTGTATCCATGCGTGTGATGGTTTGCCGCTGTGGTGCACTCATGTTTCCTGGATGTTTCCTGGGAGCTCCGTATCTGCTGTCCCGGCCCTGGCCATGTCTTCTTCATTAGGCATATGGGCCCCTAGCACGGTTTGACCATCGCAGCTATGTTTTTAGGGTGGTTGCTACATTAGTCAATAACTCGCCGCCTGGCTACCTAGTCTGGCTGGGTACGCGTACCCAATTACTTGCCAATTGGCAGCTCTCTTGGCAGCTCTCTTGGTAGCTCTCTCCGAACCTCAACCCCCTTACTTGGTGCTTTGGACGTCTGCGGCTGGGTTATTGCTTATTTGCATAGAACTTCCCCCACGAAGGGAGCCGCCTAGATGTTCTTCCATTGTTCCTTCCCGCGATTAGAAGGCCAGGTCAGCGATGGCCACTTAGGCTACCACAAGCTCCACTAACTCCTTAAAGCGCTTTCGTAGCAGAATTGCATGACTGCAGCGACGCGGCATGGGGTGCCGCGCGGGCTGCTCTGGGGCCTGTGGAATGTGCATGCTTTAACTAGTACAAGATACGACAGCTGTGCACTTTCCGTTGCATCCTACAGAGATGCACAGCCGCATCTAATGCATGGAATGCCTACGATTACATCCCTGATCATATATTTGGACAAGTCATTGGCAACGAGCATTGCTGCAGCTATAGCTATGAAGATTGCTTGAACCAGTAATGTAAAGAAAGACTTCCCACATGTAACGTAGCGTGCGGCCAAAGTTCAGCAGCTAAAATTGGAAATGGAAAATCTTAACATGTCGCAGCTCAAAGCAATCCTTGAGGACACCCAGGCATCACTAGCTGCAGCCTTGGGCCGCATCGAGGCTTTTCGAATACGGGAAAAACAGCTTATGAATGAGCTATCATTTCTACGTCAGCAGGTGCATGGCAGTGGTAGTCCGGAGGAGCAACAACACACCGTGACACCCTGCGGTGCTAAGCCCGCTGGGGCCATGCCCGCACCTACTCCAGCGGCGCCAGCGCAGCCGGGTGCCGCAAAGCCAGCATTGGAGCCCCAGATGCCTAAAGCGCCCGAGGTCGTGCCGGCATGGACTAGCCCTAGCTCGCAGCCTGTGTATGTCACCAACTGCGGTGGTGACTATCCCATCCACATGATCAGCGGCTTGAAGAAGGCAAGCCACCCGTCAGTGGTTCAAGCGTCGACCATGCATGCATGCAACCTCCACCTCCCCGGCGACCTATTGGCGCCGTTACCTACTGCTATACAATGGCCCTAGGAGCATGCACACCCATCAGCACGGGAACGTGGCCAGCGACGTGCTGGCGACATCGCGGAGACTGCGTTCGTGGCCGTGCGACTCACAATCCAGTACCTCCTCGCGCTTTTTGCTTTGTACTCCTGTTTTTTTTGTAACAATTGCGACCTATCGTGGCACCTGCATCTTTCTGCTGTTGAGCAGGTACCTGGCAGTCTGCTTGTGACGCCTGAGTACCTGGACTTCGTGGAGGTAAAGGCCCGGGTACGGCAAGAGGAGTTCGTGGGCATCAGCACCGTGAAAGCTGACGTCATGGGCAAGGTAGGAACAATGGAACCATTACTCTGGTAGTGGTGGTTTGAGCAACGATAGCCTGATCCGGTTTGGGTCGATACCGTTGCGGCTGCGCTGGCTACCGGGCTGGGTTAGCTTCGTAATCTCGATCAGAGTGGCATTCGCAGACCACTCGCAGCTAGGAAGCTTTGGACAGCATCCAAACACTTCACATTTCCCAACCAGCTTTGTGCAGCAAAGGCTATTGCATTGCGCCCAGGTTGGTCAAGTCCAGCAACTGAGCATGCAGCCCGCGCGTTCTCGCGACGCATTAGCACAGGTCACAGGTTTGGTGATCGGCTCCAACCGCGACAATACCAGCCGCGTGCAATGTTAAGGTAATAGTAGGGCGTGCGCGCGACCCAGCAGCCGCCGTCGCCGCCGCCGCCACACCTGTTCGTTGCAGAGGCGTGGCTTGTTCTTTTGTTGTGGTGCACCGCCGACCCCCGAGGCTCCTGCCTTCAGTGACCTGATGGGTGCTGCGGGCCCCTATGGTGGTGGTGGTGGTGGTGGTGATGGTTGCAAGGATGATGGCGAAGCTCGCGACGGCCAGGGCGCCGCGTCGACGAGCGGAGGTGGGACGGGCGTCTGGCAGATCCTGTGGAGCAAGAACGGCATCCCGCAGCGACAAGCGTTCGAGGCATCAAGGGCCACGTGAGTCGTGGGTCGGGAGCTGTGGTGAGAGTGGAGAGGCGTTTGGCGACGGGTGATGTTGGGCGACTCGACTGCGACGCGTGAGGTGATTTGTGTTAATGGAGCGGCTTCTTTTTTGTCTTTTTAACCCCCAGTCGATCTGATCTCCCCGTGAGCCTTCCCCCCTGTGGTCCTATCCTTGGGGCGCCTTCACAGATGGGTCCTGATGGGCACTGCACCCCGGCCTGGCCCCCTAGATAACAGCAGCAGCATGTGTGCATCAGCAGGTGGCAGCTGCCGAACCTGCTGCCCTTGCTGTCCTCTCCCTTCCTGAGATCCGAGGTGCGCCTCTCTGACCGTCTGGTTTGGCCCGCTCTGCAGGCGGGAGGCGCTGCATCGACACACGCAACGATGGCTGGGGGAGGTGGATGCCGGAGGGCCGTCGGAGGATCCGACCTCGGAGGCGGGGTGAGGCCGCCTCGTGGGTGTCTGCGGGTCATGTGCACCTTAGGGTTTGACCCACGTGTTGATACCGCTTCAAACGGCATTCTTGCCATTCCTTTTGCGTTTAACAGAGTCCGGATCCTGTTCTCCCTCTAGATCGGGGCCCTGAGCCCTTAACTCCCCTCTGTTCTCGCGTCCCTTGTGCGGCCTCATTGGGTCCTGTTGTCGTACCAGGGAGCTTCAGATTGCTGTGCCCCGTAACCTGATGGTGGGGGACACCACGATGCGTTTTGTTGGGGAGCCCTCCGTCATCCTCAATGACCTGCAAATGCGCGCGCTGGCGTCCGCCGTCCCTCCTCTCGAGCGCATGAAGGACTGGGTGCTGTCGTATAGTACGGCAAAGCACGGGATCAGCCTTCAGACGCTGTACCGCCGAGCTGTCGGCGGTATGCCCACCATCTTGCTGGTCCGGGACTTTGGAGGTACGGATCAGCTTTGGAGTGTTGCTCGGTAACAAACTTAGTAGCAGCAACAACAGGGCGCGGTATCGTGTGGAGAGCTCCTGGTTAGTGTACTTGGCGGGTAGACTTGTTGGCTGAGCGCAGCAGACCGCGCTTCAGGCCGCACTTTTCACATGCACCACGCGTATATCCCGTAGGTGTATTCCATGCCTCGCCATTCAACGCTCCCTTACTTCTTGCCGCTATTCAGCGATCAACCCCCGCCCATGCAACACTACTCCACACTGTCCGATGCAGGCTTCGTCTTTGGATGCTTCACCCCGGACAGCTGGCGGGTGGCTCCCCGGTACTACGGCTCGGGGGAGACGTTCGTGTTCCAGCTTGAGGTGAGCAGCGCCAGGGAGGGGTTGGGGAAAGCTCGGGAAAGAGGTGGGGAGACCTACTCCGCAGGATCCGGCTCTGCTGGGCCCGAGTCGGGCGGGGAATGGGCTGCGGGGTCGGCGGGAGGAGGAGTAGGAAGTAAGCTTTGGCGGTGGGTTCGTCCCCAAAAGGCTGTGGTGCCGTTCCCACTTGTCCGGTTCTGCGGCTCAGGTCAGGAAGGCTGCAGTGTGTACGGACCGGGGAAACTTAGAGGTTTCTTGGGGTGTGTGGGCTTGTCGAAGTGGCTCGGCGCTGCGGCCACTTGCTCCAAGGTGTGAATTTGCAAAGAGGGAAAATAGTTAACAATAATCAAATGTGTGAGGCGCAAGGCCCATAGCACGGGCTTGACTGGGGGGTAGCTAGGCAAGTGCCTGCCCCATTCCTGGTCCGCCCCCATCGCCCGGTCTCCTCATCCTGTAAACCCCCCACGCAACCCCCCCCCACGCTCTTATGCCCGCAGCCACACCGCGTGGCCTATCCCTGGCGCTCCATGAGCAAAACCAAGAATGACCTCTTTCAGTACGGCACTCCGGAGTGTCTCGCGGTGGGCGGTGTTGGCCACTTCGCTATCTGGCTGGATGCCGAGTTGTTGTCGGGGTCCTCGGGCATATGTGGCACCTTCGGCAGCCCCTGCCTGGCGAACGGAGAGGAATTCAGGGTGCAGCACTTGGAGGTGTGGCAGACCACGCAGTGAGCGAGTCGCTGCTGGCACCTAGCACAGGCGATGTGGGGCGAGTGTTGGCACGCGGCGTGGTGTGGGAGGGCGGGAAGGTGAAAGTGGAGCCGTGGGGGTGGAGGCCGAGGAAGCGTCGCCGGCGGAGGGCGGGGGAATATGCGATTGTGAACGATGTCTATGGACGATGAGGAGAAGCTTACAGCATGTCGCTCTCAATCGTCGGTATTGGCGACAGGATGCGCAAGGCGTGTGGCCGTTTTGCAGCACAGATATTGCGCGCTCCCAAGCATATCTGCATGTTCTTTTCTTTAACTTGGATGATCTGCTGAGGGAGGGCGGATGGGGGCGACGTACATGTGCGTCATGGTGCAGAGGTGGGCCTAGCGATGGTGGCGAGATGGGCCTTTGCGAGCATCGGGTTGAAGCTGGAGGGCAGTGCGCTTCCTAGCGGGGCCGGATATGCTGCAAGCAAATGATTTAATACGTTTTTGCGGTGGCTGACGCGCCGGTCACGGTAATCTAGGTTTATCTGGCCTCGCCTGTCAGGTTGCACTTTGGTTGGCTTTCGGGGTGCAGGGGTTGCTTTCTGCTTTACTTGAGGAGCTGTACTGGCAGTTGCAGGCGGTGCAATGGGATTGCATTGCGTTGTGTGCAGTTGAGTACAACAGCTTAAAGGGAGTAACCCCTGGGAAACTGTTGGGTTGATTGTTTTGGTGTGCCCGGATAGGACGCCTTCTATGCGGCACTGGACGAGTAATTACATGATCTCGCCACTTTGCAAAACAGTGGCTATGGATTCCCATCTCCGTCTTGAATGAATGAGGTTACAGTGGACACTGTTAACAATCCCTGCCTCATTACAACCGGAAAACCGGTCGCCGGAACAAGGGTGCGGAACCACAACCCGTTACTTGAAGATAGGTGCTTATGGCTAAGGTTAGTTCTTATATCCGTGACGTTCGCAAGCCATTGGGCGTGAGGCATGTAAAACGTCAAAACGTCGTCGGTCGTAGCAAGCACTCACAATGGAGCAGTTGAGTGCAAACCTGCGTTGATTCCTCCACCGTCCTTCATGTAAATGCTAAACAGTAGTTTGGCACAGAGAACCGCTAAAGCTGGCGGTACACGAAAACTCAACTGCACGGCGAAGAAGAATGTTAACAAAAACAATCCGCAAACACAACATTTGCGCAAATCCGACCACCACGAAACGCGTAACAACTGCATGTAAAATAGGCTAACAAATGATGTTGAGATGCTGTGCAAATACCCCGGTGGCACGATCCGCAATGCCACCACAGCTGCCACTCTACTGGTCCTTCTTGCCTTCGTTGCGCAGGTCCGTGAACTCGGGCGCCCCGGGCGCACCTGTCCAGCAAGGATGTGGGCAGTCGGTATAACCGCAACAACCAGCTTCCCGGGTGGATGGTGGACAAGGGATGCGCGGCCCGAAAGGAAGCAACCGATATAACAAGGACGACGCGCCAAGCTGCAGTATGTAACCAGTCCAACATCTAAGTCCCATATCAATCGCAATGGCATGCTACATCGCAAGCAGCAGCATGCCTTATGAAAAGCGAGCTTTGGAGTGCCAGAAACAGTTGAGCTACATGGGGTTGTGTGCGCAAACCTAAGGAAATAGCCGGCATTGCCGTCCGCCGTGGGAATGGCCAGGGTCTCATCCACCCCACATCTTCCAGTCCCCTACCCACCTGCTAGGGGCCGTCTCGTCAGCCCAACCTCCTGCGCTTGCCGCTGCTGCCGCCCACCCGCCACCGCATACGCCGCCGCCCGCGCCTCCTCCTGCTCCTCCCCCACCCCAAACATGCCCATGACCACAGTCTGCGATTTCCGGACCACCTGTGGCCCGGTGCACACCACGGACGAAGGACTCGTACGCCGAGGTTGTAATCAATGCAGCAAGGAGGAACAGGAACCAAGGAAAAGAAACCGCAGTCCGTTGTTCGTCAATCATGCGCTGTCCGCTATGCACGCAGCTAATATACTCGACCTGAATCAGGGAATGGACAAGCCAGCCCCACCGTGTTTCTCCAACCCTACGGAGTGAACGAATCCTCGTGGTAACCATCCCGGCACAACCCCACGAATATCAGTCGTACAATCGCTGCATCGCATAATTGGAGTAACACCACAACAACAGGCACTGCCAAGCGAACCCCAGTGGATTTGCGTGTCCAGATGAGATACCAGGACACTGTAGCGCATTGAGCTCAAGCAACCCTGCTGCTTCTGCGAGTCTTCCTCCTCCGCCGCCGCCGCCGCTTATCATTGCGCACTTACCGACTTGCACGCGGGCAGGAATTTGCTCGACAGCCTCAGTGCACCAGGCAGCGGCCCCGCCGCCATCTCCCGCTCAACGTCCAGCTCCAAATACAAACTGCAGCAGTGCGAAGCAAAGGGGCGAGCCTTTGATAGGCTGCGACCTCAACCGCGCTGCACGTCCAGCAAAGTGTAGTAGCTGGCCGCTGAAACGGCCTCTCGAGATGCCGGTGAAGCGCTTAGGGGGTATTTGTAGTTGTTCAAGGTGCCGTGCTGTGTACCGGCTACTACACAACGGGCCACAGCATAGCTAGTTGAAGGTGGGCCTAGTGGGAAGCGACAATCCCACCTAACATTTCCATGTCTGCGCCCAACATGATCCCCAGCCCACCTGCGCAGGAACAGCAACGCCACGACCACCACGAGCAGGTACAGCGGATTGAACAGTATCGCCATGGCCTCATTCCAACCCAAAACCAGCATCGCCGCCAGAGCCCACAGCGGCGGCAGACGGTTGTTCGCAAGACGATTGGCCTGCTGGGTTGACAATGCCTGCTGCACGACCACATTGCTATACGACATGAACTCCCGCCATGTTGTACGGACGTCGTGTGGTTGTAGCAGCACGCGTGATGCATCTACGCCGGGCCAGGTGGCCGCGCTAAGCAAGTCCAGGCCAGAGTTGGACCTGGAGGCGGTGATGGTGGGCCCAGTGGTGGTGGTGCTACTGCTCCCACGTGCGCTTGCGGCAGCAGCGGTACCGTTGTCCGTGTTGGAGGTTGAGGCCGAGGTGCCCCGCGCGAGATGCAGCACAGCGGCGTCAATGGTCTCCCCTACAATCACCAAAAACAATTCAAGTTCTGACGACTTAAGCACATGTTTGCGCAACCCAACACGACCCAAACAGACGCAGCACGTCTTGGTTCCTGGTCTCAGTCCCCACAGCCCTCCGGTGCACCGCACCTTGTCCATTGGCCTGGTCATCAGGTGCGCGAATCACGGCCAGCTGTGAGAGCACGTTGGCGGCCGCCAGCCGGGCCCTCTGCGCAATGGCGGGGATGTCGTCACCCGCACCCCACATGCGAGGGGCCTTCTTGTCGTCCAAAGAGAACATGTCCGTGAACCTTCCACAATGGTTGGTATAGGGACATTCGAGCATGGGGGACACATACAGACTGGGCCAAAGGATAGAGAGAGAAGAGGGAAGAGGAAGGGCGAGACGTGCTATGTCACACGCTTGACGTTGCGCACATGGGATGCGCGACAACGACATCCCTTTAATTCAGTGCAGCTCAATGGACTTCTCTTAAGGGCTTTCGATATGCAACAGAAGCTAAACGACGCCCGCTCGCCAACGCAATAGTTGACACGCTGCTGGATATAAATACAGGAAGGGCAGGGCAAGAAACAATAGCGCAACTGCGCTCAACCTTCATTCACCCACCGCCGTACCTATCCTTCATCCTGCTTAGCCTCGTCAGTGCCGCCTCCCGCACATGGTTTTGCATGTTGTTGGAGGCCTTTTGCTGCAGCCGCTGGCTAAGACCCTCAGCCTCCTTCCTCTCCAGCTCGTAACCTGCGAGGGCCTGGCAGGTGGCAAGTGGCAGGTGGAGGGGGGAAGTGGAGATGTGCACGAGTACAGAACAGTGCGCAGAACGCCGTGCGTCGCGGAGGTATACAAGGCCTTTTTTGGGCACCAATGATCGGGTGCACCTCCCAGCTGAAATCCGAAGCGCCAGTGCCACGCTGCCCTGTTCAACACACACATGCGACGTTCCTCACCTGCGCACCCTTGGCGCGCCATACGGTTGGTGGAAGCCCTGCAGCAAGAACCCATCCACCCACTCACCTGCATGAGCTCCTTGTCCACCGTGGATGCTGCCTCTCCACACACCGCATACAGTCGGGGCCACACGCCCGGCTCGCACGTCTCCAGCAGCCCAATGACGGGCCCACTCAGCAGCGAGGCTAACTGCTGCTCGGCGCGTTCCGTAGCCAACAGGATCTGGCGGTTGCGGACCTCGGCAATGCGGCCGTCCAGGGCCTCCGCCAGCGCCGCACTTTCTTCTGCACCATCCCATGGAGTGCCTGGAAGCGCGGTACGCAGCCGGGTTAGGTCGCAGATATTCTTTCTGAGCCCTCTGGGAACGTGGCGCAATGTTACAAGCTAATGTGCATACGGAATGCAAGGCAGTGAAGTGTGACAGCGATGATGTTGAACACAGTGTCACCCTGCGGACCTTTGAACGACTTTCCTGTCCAACCCCCCCTCCCGTCCGCCATCATGGCAACCCCGGCCGGCTGCCGCGAGCCAAGCAAGACACCCCACGTAACTTACCTTCAATTTGCAGGTGTTGAACAAACGCCGTATCGAACGTCTGCACAGCCTCCGTGCGGCAGGCAGCCGCCGCTGCCATAAAGCTGCCGCGGCGGCCCCCACCCTCCACCACTGCCAGTTTCAAATCCTTGTCGAATGCCGCCAGCACTGCCGCTTGTTGGGCAGCGACCTGAGACTGATAGACCGGCTGTAGGGCAGCCAGCAGCCGCTGCTGCAGCTCCGCCAGCTTGGCCTCTCGCACGTGCGTATCGAAATAGCGAGCCTCAGCCTGGTACCTGGGGGTGGGAGCACACCCACGGGTCAATCCGTGAAAGGGCAGGTGCCCCGAGCTGAACAGCACCGAGCTGAAGGTCAACAATGCGCTGTCGATGGCGAAATGAAAGCATGTGTCGATGGCCGCTACACTTTCATTGATCCAGCTGCAGCAAATCATGGTTCTTCAACCTTTATGCTACTCCGTGACCCCTGACGTATCCCAATACCAAGGCTTTACATAACCGGGCATAACACCCATCCAGCAACCCGACCCTTGACACCCCGCTCACCCCACGACGCAGCTATCGATAAGGCTGTGCGCCCGACGTCCGAAGCCCTCCACGACACAGCAGCTGCTTGCCTCCTGGAGCATCGTCCATGCCTGGTCCTCCGCAAATGCCTTCAGCTGGTCCTCAAGAATCTCCTGGCACCGAATGTTCGCCACCATCACCTGAAAGATGGGCAGGCAAAAGAGGAAGTTTATGAATGCATTTGCAACCAAACTGCCTAGGCCTAGATGCCAGTACGCCATGGGTCCCAGAGGAGAACATGCAGGGGCTGCCGAGGAACCCCGGGAACATCTGGCAAGAGAAAGACTTGGTGCCTGCTATCAAGATGTGAGCAGAAGTTAGGATCTGCAACTATGCAACCATCGGCCTCCATCACGGGAGCCTTACCTTGTGGGCTGGCAGGTTGAGGTCTTTCTGTGCGCGAATCACATCCCAGATGTTGCGGATGCTCAGTGCAAATGCGTCCCCCGGCAGCTTCTCATCTCCCCGGATCAGCGATTCTTCGCCTGTCCAATTCAAGAATGGGATGCTTTAACATGCAGGCAGGGAAAAATAACGGGCCTGCGGCAGCTAGAACTCGTCTGCCATTTCGACGGCATTTACCCAGGACGCGCAGGAAAACGTTGCCCATGCGTCCATCAAACATCTCTAGCAGCTACTGCTGCTGCTGCTTACCGTCTGGCGAGAAGCGACGGCGCAGGTGCACAGCATCCGCCTGGAAGTCCTCATAGCGCTCCTCAAAGTGGGACAGAGCTGCATATTGGACCTGCACAGGAGGAAGAGTGGAAATGGCGAGAAAACAGCGACAGTGAAGGTACATAAATTCCAACTGATACAGTACCATAACACAACACAGCAAATGCACAAAGCTAGAGCGCCGGCTCACCTCAAAAAAGTCCGTGAGCTTCGAGCCTTCGTACTTTTGTGGCTTAGCAATTGCGTCCCACATACGGTCCAGATCCGCCTCCAGCACCTCCACTAACTTGGGCAGGGGCGTCCGGGTCTTGTCGCGTATAACGAACAGCAGCACGGAACGCTTGCGGTCCGGCTCTGGGGCGAAAAGCTTTAGGTTAACCTGCAGTGTGGTGGCCGAGGCAACGGCGGCAGCGACGGCGGTGAATGCCCAACGTGCTGATGAGCCACCGGTAAAACCTGACCCTCCTCATGGCCGAATGCAATTCAGGCGAGGATGCTTGGAAAGTGCCGTCTGAAGAAGAATGCAAGCTTGACGGAAAACGTAAGCAGTGCAGGTACAGGCGTGCGCCAGGGGCCCGGCGTATATGGACAAAAGTCTGATGCACAAATCCCAGCATCGAAGAAGCCACCCGGGACTACAGAGGGCTCGTGGCCGCCAGGTGTGGCATGAGGATGCCCCATCGAGGTGACGGTTGTCAATCAGACGCAATGAACTTGGACAATTCACCCGATGCACTGGGGGCAGAGCGGCGCACATACTCTCCAAGTTCGCCAGTCCTAAGCCATACGTTGTCCCCCGCTGCTCGAGTTTATCGAAGGTTGACATCTAAATATAGTTGATGTAACAGTCAATATTTTTTGTTCAATGCTAAGGAGGGATATACCCAGCCCACGTGTTCCCGCCCGCTGCCGGGTTAAGGAGGTATCGGGTTTTAGCCCTGGTCGTAACCGCACCGTATGTGAGCGCGAGGCTCGCCATGTTGTTTCCCACCTGGAATATGGTTTTCAGCAGTGGCTTGCCGGATCCATGCTCACGGCCGATATCGTGACACCAAATGTTGACGAGCAGCACATCGGCCACGGACAAAGCAAAAAGTGCACTCTGACGTTCGAAATTCGTATCATCCTCTCCGCGCTCCCTGCCGTCGCTGCCTTCTAGGTCCATTACCAACACCGTGGTCTCTGTCACCTTAGGGGATTTCGACATCCAAATCCCTTTTGTGGTTTGCCCACGTCCCGCCATAGCATCCATCATTGTAAAATTTGTTCCAAACTGCGTGCAGGGAGTCGAGCGTACTAGGACACCGGCAACTCGTAGATTAGCAGTTGTCACGCGCGCGAAAACGCACCACATAGTTTAAGAGCGTGCTCTTGCCCGAGCTTTGGGGTCCCATAATGGCGACCACTTGATAATTGGTCTTGCACGCAGCCAGATCATTGGCCTCGACAAACTGTTGAACGGACGCCTCCTCAAATTGGCCTTCGCCATTAATTACCTGAACAATGTCCGCCATTGTTTCTAGTGATCACTCGGTGTCAGTGATACAGACTCAGAGTGATTCGCACGTTTTAGCTTGATGAACTTGCTCGTCATACTGTCGTACGTTTGTATGTTCAGCTAACCGAAGCATCATGGCTTGTAGAGCGCTTACAGATCACAGGGTTACCCTGGCAATGAAGGTAACCGTAACTCCGTACCTCGGGTTAAGTTGAGAACTTTATGATCAACATAGATGGACAGTTCCCTTCTGCCGGTTAAGCCGAAATAATGCCTTAGAGCGGCATATCCAGCATTAATCATGTCAGACACAGCAGCACTCCGCCCACAGCCCCTGCATATGACGCAGGGGCAGGTGGTAACAGCCGTGAAGCCTGTAGGGCAGGTGCTGAAGCCACAAACATCAGGCGGGCACCAACAACGGCAGGGTGATGTCATGTACATGTCAGAGCTGCTGTCTTATAGCCTGGAGCGCTTACGCAAGGTGAAATCGCTAGAGCGCTTGCGCCATCAGGCGTCGCCTAGTCATACCGCTGTCCACGAAGGCTTTACCTCTTCAGTCCTAGTGCAGGAGCCGGAGGTTCTGAAAGCTGAAAAAGAGCAGTTGGAGCGGAACCTTCAGACTACAGCCGTGTCGCAGTACACAGCATTCCTGGACGCGGCCAACTGCCTAACCAGCGTCAGCAATGAGCTGTCGGCAGTTTGTGAGCACCTGGACTCGCTATTGCAGGTCAGCGCATGAAGGCTTTGGGAAATGGGGTGGTGATGGGGTCGTCACCTCCTCATACCTGCCCCTGAAGGCAGGAGGGAAAAGCGGACGGGCAGTCCTAAAGGATCTGTGTCCTTGCTTCCAGCCTAACCACTGTTTAGCATTGGGGGCTGCTGGACGAATGGTGTTCCGCACAGGTGTGCGCACCTCGGGTGTTGTGGAGGGGAACGGAGTACGGGCTGCCCGGCTTCCCCCATGTAGCTCAACCCCCATCCTCGGGTGTCGCGGCCACTGCGCTCTTCATCTTCACGCGGCAGCCGCAGGGTAGCACCAACAGCAGCAGCGACAAAGCTCCGCTGAAATGTGGTCACGATGGTGGTTCGAAATCCCTAGGGCATCCAGTCTTGCAGCCAGCTACCCCGAGTGGGGCTGTTACCTGCCTTTCCCCTCCACTTCGCACCGCATCAGCCATCGGTTCTGGCTCAAGGTGTAAGATGGAAAACCCTCATGTCTACAATAATGGATGCAGCGACAGCGACAACAGCGAGACCACAATACGAGCAGCAGCAGCAGCGGGAGCGTAGGGCGTCGCTGTGGAAGCCACACATGCCATTCCATACCCAGTTGTCTGGGGGGCCGTACCTCAGCACCTACCGGCCTCCACCGAGGCCCCTCTTCCAGGCCTGGGTCGTCGGGAACCGCAGATGCCGCTGGCGTCTCCGCACAAAAGTTCTTAAGGCCCGTAATGCTCCGGAATGCGTGGCAGCACGGCCAAGTCCCTTCCGCCAGGCGAAGCTCATGCCGCCCTATTGCAGGCATGCCATCAATAATGCGGCAGCAATATGGAAGGATCAAGTTATTGTGTTTCCTCTGTATCTCCTGTTCGTTCGGAAGCTTTTGGCCCCTTTTTTGCAGCTTCGATCGTAATGGTTGGCGTCTCCTCCCCTCACCCACTCATCCGCCCTTCTTGTGCAACTCACCTCCAGCTGTCTCCTAAGCCCGTACCTTACACCGACGTTCCACCAATTCACCGCACCCGTGTTCCCAACCCTTCTTCCGCCGCCTCGCTCTCCCCCCCTGCCGCCCCGCCACCAGGCTACACCGGAGCTCGCCACCGCCTGCGAGTCCTTTGCGTCCAACTCCGCGGCGGTACAGGAGCAGTTTGCACACAACAAGCAGCTCGCAAGTGCGTGGGTGCTGAGATGCCGGGGTTAGCCGGATCTGTGTGTCATAGCGGACGGGGATGCAACAAACATTAAACGGAGGAGGGACGGTCCGTGAGATAGAGGAATATCGTTTGGCTGCTGATGCACACTTGTGGCAAATTACTGCCACAGCTATCGGCTATGGTTCCTAGGTGCCGGAACGACCTGGTCTGCACTTAGGAGCAAGAGCGTCCAGGTGGATATGGAGGTGTGTGTGGAGGGGTCTAGGAAGGAGATAGCGGCCTCCAAGTACCGCCCTTCCAAGGGAAGGTGGTGCTTGGAAGCTGCTATCCCATCTCAGTCCCATGGTGCACCACATTGCCAGCTCCCCACCTGCCTGACCCTGCATTAGATCGCACGTCACACAGGTTCTGCTCCCTGTCCTACAACCCTGCCTCCACATTCCATTTCAGTCAGCATCAGCCCTCTCCAGCTCTTGGCCCCCGCCCCACAACCCCTCAAACTCCCGCCACCCAGTCAGCCAATCCACTATAATGGAGCTGTTGGAGGTGCCTCAACTGATGGACACATGTGTACGGAATGGGGTTTATGACGAGGCTTTGGACCTGCAGTCCTTTATCAGCCGGGTGGGGCTGCTGCACCCGGATGTGCCGGTCGTGAAACTGCTGCTGAGACAGGTAAGGGGACAGGGGACGGTGTCAGGAAGGTGGACGCAAGACGGGAGAAAACCGGGGTTGAGTTGAGTTGGATTGGCAGTTTTTTTGCGGCGGTTTTCTTCTTACATCCCCAGCTTCGGACCTTCCCCATTCTCCTCCCCGCAGGTTGCCGAGGTGGGCCGCAGCATGCTTCAGCAGCTACTGGGCCGTCTGCGCACCAACATCCAATTGCCCGAATGCCTGCGGGTCATGGGCTACCTGCGCCGCATTGGGGCCTTCTCCGAAGCGGAGCTGCGGCTGCAGTTCCTGCAGTGCCGAGACGAATGGATCTCCAGCCTGCTGTCGGATCTGGACGACAGCGACTCGTACGAGTACGTCAAGCACCTTACGGACGTACACCGCTTGCACCTATTCGACGCCGTGATGCAATATCGGGCCATCTTCTTTGACACGGCGCCAACAGCCTCGGCGGGTGCGGGCGTGGTGAGTGCAAGAAGCTGGGGAAAGGAGATGAAAGGGGGTCTGTTGGGCCCGTCCAAAGCGTAAAAAGCGCGTCAACGCCGAAGCCCAGACGCTCCAGCAGGCCCCTCCCGCGACCCTGCTGACGTTTGGCCCAGTTCTGCTCCCGCTGCATCTGCAACCCAATGAATTCCTCCTCTAGCTGTTCGCTCTCTCTTCGCCCACAGCATGTATCCGTGTGTTTGCCGTTCCCGTGCCGCCCTTCCCCACGAGCCCCTTCAGGACCCCTCCGCAGCTCCTGCCAATCTACGCGAGACGGCCATGCTGTATTCGTGGGTGCAGCACCGCGTGAACCTCTATCTGGAGCAGCTGAGGAAGCACCTGCCCGCCATTACGGAGGGGGGCAACCTGGCGTCGGTCATCGAGCACTGCATGGTAAGGGAAATCTGCTAGTGCAATAGGGATGATGGGGCACGGCAAGTGAGGGGAAGAGGGCACCGGGAGGGAGTGAAATGTGCGTGTATGTGCTATGTGTGCGTGTTTTTATGTACGCCTCCTGTGGCATGGTAACAAGACTGAGGAAGTTGCTCGAAGGTGTAACTGAAGGTGTAACTCCCTACCTCACGCACTTCACCCACCCACCCTTCCTTACGTCGCTTTCTGCAAGTACCATGTGGTTGCTCTTTCCTGCGCATTACACTTCTAAATAATTGCCTGGCCCTGTTCCCACTTCCTCATCTCGCCGCGCCATCCCGCAGTACTGCGGGTCGTCGCTCAGTCGTGTGGGTCTGGATTTCCAGGCGTTGCTGTTGCCGCTGTTCGAGGCCTGCGGGCTGCAGCTGTTCGCCACACACCTATCCAGTGCTGTGGATGGGTTCAACCTGCGACTTGAGTCGCACAAGTGGGTGGCCATGCCGACCCCGGTGCTGGGCCGAGGCAGGACCGACAGGCAACACCAGCACCAGGCCACTGCAGCGACGGCCGCTGGAGAGGCTGGTGAGGCAATGTGTGCGTATTCACGGGGTCTTCGGAGGTTGCTAACCTGCTTTATAACGGAGAAATGTTCATGATTTGCCTGCTCGAGCGACGCCATCGTGATTTGTTACCACCTTGATTGCCGCTGCAGCAATGCTGTGCACGTTGCCACGCCGTGTGCAGGTGAGGGGGCAGTCGGTGAGGGCGAGGCCGGCGCTGCTGCGACGGCGAGTGCTGGAACGGCGGCAGAAGACGAGTCCGGTCCCCCGTACGTCATCATGGAGCATCTGCCGCTGGCGGTGTACGTCAATGGCGTGCTCACGGCGCTGAATGAGCTTCGGCACTGCGCCCTTCTGTCCATCAGCAAACCCTTGGCAGGGTGGGTTGGTGCTGGGGCTGTGGCTTGGGGCTCAGGGGTGTACGTCTGCCGCTTGGTTCCCCTGCGTCCTCAACCTAGTCGATTGAATTTCGTTCGGGGTGCTCAGCTGCTGCAGGGTCCCCGCAGGCCCTTTCTGTGTCCGTCGGCAGCGAGTACTGAACTGGCTGCAAGGCTTGGGTGTTGCAGATTTCCCTATTGACACAAGCACTGGCGTGAACTCACACATGCACCGGGCATAATCCCTTTCGCACACATGCACCGGGATCCACAGGCTGCTACAGACGGCACTGGAACACGCAGCTGGCAGCCTGGTGCACTATCGCCACACGCACGCGCTCAACGCCAGCGAGCTGCCCCTCTTTAAAGCTGCAACTCGCTGCATGTTGGACGTGGTGCTTCCCTTTCTGGTGGTCGCCTTCTCAAGGGTCTTCCCCGCAGCTAATGCCAAGGTGGACAGTACCGCAAGCGCCGGTCTGCTGCGACAACTGCTCGCAGAGATGTGAGCAGCACTGCCGTAATTAGCCTAACAACTCCTAGTCCGCCCTCGTCCTGCCATCGATTACGAGCTGCAATTCTGTTGCCAGTGTTTTTTGGTGGTGCCCTATGAATGAGCGAGGTGGCTTTGGGTGAATGGGTTTCGAGCACCTACTTGGGTGCTGCTATCGCGGCACAGAGCTGCGTGTGGACTATGGATCTTGCTCCTCTGTCGGGAATCGAGCAGGTCCCAGGTGTTTCTGTTGGCGGTCTGGATCATAATGGCCGCCAACCTGATGCTGTTGTGTCCTGGGGTTCCTAACGAGTAACGGTAGGCATGGTCAGGGGCACCGCCAGCGGAGTGGGCTCGGGCTGAGTCGCCACAGTCATATAATGTCGTCAACAGTCGTGCTGGTCATCCGGGTTGTCGGCCCTATAGCAACAGCGTGAAAATTAGGCCTGCTGGGCCTGCATGCCTCCTTAAAGTTGGAGGCATGTTGGCTCTAGGAATTTACCAGCAGCCTTTAAGACGTCTTCTAACTATGTCGCGGATACAACATCCGTGAGTTTTGCAAGGATGAGCTTTTGCCCACATAGTTGTGGGCCACTAGCCTCGCATTCTCGACCTAGCGCTTGCAGTCTCTATAGCGTGACAGGGGGCATTGACGAAAGATTACATTCTGTACATTACGAGATGCTTCCATTTAGCTTCAAACCCGTTCTCATGCGTTGGAGTGTAGGGTTATCGGTACTGCAAACGCTTGCCTGGGTGCACTGAGCTGCATTCTCTGTAATTGAGAAAGCATTACATAGGCCTGGATAGACCACAACTTAAAGATCTGCACATACGCTGTTTCACCCCTTGTAAGTACATGGCTAGTCACCCTGCCTGCACATGCAAAGCAGTGTCGCGCCACGAGACTCGATTTCTCCGCCCCAGCGCATACAATCTCTTACACAACGTATGCGTACTGTTTTCCAATAGGCCATTGGCATTGACATTGACCAATCAGTATGCGGCGCATGCATGTTGGAGCCGACTCCATTTCATGAAGCATCCAGAGGCCAGTGGAGAGCGAACAATGAATACAATTGTCATATCGGAGCAGTATTCTGCCAACGTAGAGCCGCAGGCAGGCAGTTCGAAAGGCACACCGGTAGCACGGGTAGGGGCTTCACTGCAGCACAGGAGGAGCTACACGTAAGCTACACTTAATATGCAATAGGCTATTGTGCCATATGGTAATGCGCCTCTGGCGTCTTCCCAAAGAGATGTTACGTGTAATTCTGTACGAAGCCAAGACCGTTTCCATGTGTTGGGAAGGGTTTCATTGACGGTGTCTACAAGGAGGGCATTTAAAACAAGCTTCTTGCTGTTCAAGAAACACAGACGAAGGAATGACATACGGCTACTTTGCTTGCAACGCGCACATTTGCGAATGTAGTAATGTACGTCACTAAGGTCAACCACTTTGACCAAGCAGGGATTACTTCAAAATCCGTGTCACTGCTCGGGGACGCATGCCGCTAAAAGGTCAAATGGACGCCCCTGCTTCACGCCTCTCCACGTGCCCTGGCCATACAACGCCGCACGTGGAAAGATAAAGCATATTAGTGTCCTTCCAAATTTACAGAAAAGCAACAGCATACTTCTCGAATAATTCTTGGACCACAGGTCCTGTAAGCCAACGTAGTTGCCAAAGTAGTGCAGCCGCGGATTTGGATAGACCAGCGGGGCGCAGATCGCAGATGAACCCGAACGCTTACATTGTTCTTTGTAGTGGGCAAATCATAGACAGAAGCTGCAATACACGTTTAGCATCAGCGGCCTTTATTCGTCTTCAGTACGTCTCAACCGCTAAGATATGCAACTCCACAGGCTGATACAGGTTCACGAATAAAAAATAATTGTTTACAATATTTGTTTAAATGTATGCGTTGCTACGGTCTGACAAGCACGGATCCTTTCGTGACGCCGGTAGTGTTGTACCAATCGTTTGAGAGTGTTAGCAGCATGAAAGTCCGTCGAAACACCAGCACTCACTGTTGTGCCAATTCCTTATCTCGTCACTGAGAGCTCTTGCCTTAGTTGTCCCACGACCGACTATTTCAAGCATTTATGCTCCTTGAAACCATTCTTCTGTATAGCAAAACATTTATTGCAAATGAGACAAACCCTGTATGCCTGCACGCAGTCAAGATGGCTGAGCAATTTGCAGGACCATGATCATATGCGAATGCAGGATCAAGAGGGATAGAAATTGCTCCTTTGCAACTTATTGACTGACTCGTGCAAAAATTCATTTATAAATGAAGGGATGTAAGTCATAGTTGCCTAATAACTCTCGACAAAACCCAGCTATAGCTGTGGTTGTCGTAATGGCGTTCTACGTGTATGTGACAGCTTCGCAGGACTGAACAAATAAATTTCAGAGGTGAGATGTGCCGCATCTGTTGGTCGGGCTAGACAGCTTCCATAGTTGATTTTAGGATTACGAGCGTCCGTACCAACGTACTACGTGTAGGAGGTTGGGCAAAGCCTTCGGGATGGCAACTGAATTGACATTTCCAATTAGAAATTAGTTGTGAGTGTAGCTCGTGTTCTGCTCTTTGCTTGCAGCTTCATAATGCAACACCAAGGCCAGGCCCATTCTGCTTGGGTGCCAGTTCCTATGCCTTACCCACCAGGTATGGAGGATAACGACTTTTAAAGACGTTGTTATGTCTTGCCGGTGTGGTGCATTTGGCCTGACACGCGTCGTTGGAGGGATTGCCCAACATAACTCTTCAATTGCTTTGTGCTCAGGGATTATCGCGCCTGGGATGATAGCTCCCGGTATGCTATTTGGACCGGCCTATGGATATCCATCGCCTGGTAAGTCCGCCGTCTGAGGTTATCGCTGGCGCGTGGGGGACTTCACAGACTAATTTTGTCTGTAGGACCTATAACGGCGATGCCAACTTCCGATGGGCTCCGAGGATATGCATTTGGGAACATGACAGCGGTGCCCCAGGAGGACGCGACCGGTAAGAGTCCGACGCTGACGAGCGACCTTACCACCACGCTGCTAAACGTTTCCGACCTCCCTGCAGCTGCGCTTGCCGAGCGGCTGAATGAACTGCAGCTGGGAGGATCTCGAGGGCGTGGGCCTCCCATGCCGGCTCACGCGTCAGGCGCCTTCGTCCGCGGTGGGGTCGCGGGGCCGGGACCTTCCCAGTCGCAATACTACTATCAAGCCCCGCCGCAGTTGCAGCAGGGTCGCGGTCGACAGGGACGGGTAAGGGCGCAGTTTGAGCCTAGCAAAGTAGCTGTCGAAGATCAGCGATGTAAGCTGCGCTTGGGCCTCCGTGTGCAGGGTGGCCGTGCGGTACCCCAGCAGCAGCCGAGCGGGCGCAGGCCGGGGCAAATGCAGAAGAAGAAGAGGCCGCAGAAGGGCTTGGAGGAGAATATCAAACGGACTGTGTACATCAGCTACGTTGATTGCACGCTGACGGAGGAGAACCTGGCGGCATTCTTCTCAGATTGCGGTCGCATTGTCGACTGCCGCATTTGTGGCGATCCCAATAGCGCGATGCGCTTTGCGTTCATTGAGTTTGCGGACGTGGAGTTCGCAACGAAGGTGCGATACTCGTGCATGCACGAGGCCTCCGTTGTTGGGACTTGCGGCGCGGCCGGCATGTGAAGGGAACGGAACGGACTTAGATCATGGCTGAGGGAATGATTTCTCCTGCCAGGCACAGCCGTGTTCTTGTACTAGCGGGTGCTGGCCCATGTCCTGACGTGCGTCACGTGGGGGGCTCGGGGTCCTCTGCGCCTGTAGCGAGTTCGCGCACACTGCATGGTCGGGCCTCAAGCTGAACGACATGTCGACGTGTGCGGTATGGTGCCCGTCTTACACGGGCTTGGGGTTCCCAAGACGCATGTGGAAAACTCATACCCGTGCATACGGCGGGCTTCATACCTGGCGTAAGTGCACCGTGAAGTATTGGCCTTGTGTGCCAGACTCCAACCCCGCGGCCTTCTCGTCCGCGTCACACAGACTCGGGGTTTTCTGATCCCCGAGCTGCGTCTCTGCAGTTCTGGGTGGTGGCTCCCGGATGACTGAAGAAATTTTGGTCGGCTGACCTTGCCCTCGCCCCATTTCGGGCCCTGCGTTCAGGCGCTGGAGAAGACGGGCAGCGTGCTGGGGAAGTCGCCGCTGCGTGTGTTGCCGTCAAAGACCGCGATTATGCCGGTCAATCAGGAGCTTATGCCGCGGTCGCCGGATGAGGTGGAGCGGTGCAGCCGCACCGTGTACGCCGCCAACATTGACAAAAAGGTCGACAAGAACGACGTGCGGGCGTTTTTCGAGTCGCTGTGCGGTGGGTCCTGTTGGTCCTTTTGCTGCTTGCGCGTCCGGTGCTTGCGGTACCATGTGTAGGATCCATGATACGATGCGTTGGCAGAATTTCCGATAAACGCGCAGATCGGCATCCGCGGGATTGCCGGACGACGACCATGCCTGCGAATCATAAATGTACGCTGTTGCATGCCATGGTTACAAAGCCATATGCTTTAAGATCGGATTGCCAAGTTGCACGGCATCGGCTTGGGAGAGGACATTTCCAGCATTGCCGTGGTCCCCTCGCCTTTTTGGCCACAGGCAAGGTCTCACGGATCCGACTGCTGGGCGACTACGCGCACTCTACGCGGATTGCGTTCGTGGAGGTGAGCTGTCTCCGGTTTCATCCAACCTCGATGCGCCTGTTCGATTTATGCCTAGCGTGCAGTCAACAGGGAGTCACAACCTGTGATCTCTTGGGGCATGTGTTGTGGTTGAGTGCCTCGAATCCTCGCGGCATGTGGCGCATAGCGACTTTCACGTCCTTTCCTGGGTCCGATGCCTTCAACTGGTGATGCAATATCTGCGAGCTTCTTAGTACGTTATATCCATTTCCTTACATCCTTGGCTGACCCCCAGTTCCAGCATGCGGAGGGTGCTCTGGCGGCGCTCAACTGCAGCGGCGCTCTCCTCGGTAGGTGGCTTGCTGGATGCTGTTGCTAGGCCGGAGAGGAGTGCGTGATGCCGTCCAGGCAGCTTGCATAATCCTATGAACGTGTGTGGACCCTAGCTACGAGTGTGCGTACTGGGCATATCCGGCATGTTTTGCTTCTGGCTTTCCCCATGCACTCCCTCGCATACAGGGTATGTTCCGCAATACCCTCACCAGCCGCCATGCATGCAGCTATACCTTTCGGTCAAGCCAACCCTCACAGCTAAATGGGTTTCCGGTGCCACATTGTCCCCCAGCGTATGCACCCGAGTACAGAAGGAATAGCGCCGAACCTTGCCCTATGAAGAGATGGGTTAGTCATATGGCCGACCTTCTGATAAGGGTGGTTACGGTTACCCTCTCCAGCCATTTCCCAACGAAGAGCATGCAAAGCGATCACCGTCCACCTACGAAATGTGCCATGCAAGTCGTACATGCAAACATGTTGGCCCCGGATACGACCGCGTAATGCATCCGCCGCAGGGTCCCTTCCCATCCGGGTTTCACCTTCCAAGACGCCGGTCAAGGTGGAGGTTGGGCGGGACAGTGATGGTCAATCCAGTTCCGCTCACTCGCAGCAGTCGGTGCCCCAGTCTCGGGCGTTGCAGCAACAACAGTCTCAACAGCAACAGCAGGTGCAGGTGCAGGAGAAGGCTACCGACTAATTCTCTTAATTACTGGAAGTTTGCGAACGTACGAACTGCTTCAGTGAGGCGCCATGGCGTGGGTTGCTGCTGCGGGAGTCGTCGCCGTTTGTTTGTTTTCCCAGTGTGTGCTGTGTGTGTGGTTATCTTTAGCCTCTTCAGTATTTACATCGTGTGGGAAGAGTGCATTCAGAAATAAAGATGTTGTGCCTATTGCGTACCGCAATAAGGTGCATCTGCTGTACAAGCAGCGCGTGCTGCAGCTAGAGCCTGCTTGTCGGAATTTTTAAAATATGCTAGCGCTTTCGACGGATAGGGACCGCAACAGACCTTTTGTCTGTCCGTTGGCAGATGTACAGGTCTGCGCGGCCTTGGCAGATCCCGTTTGATTAAGACATGTAGCTCAGCGCTCGCTTTTGGCACGGCAGGTGGCACTCCGGGGGCAACCAGCCACAGTGGATCACTAGTTCATACAGGTGGTAATCAAGGGGCCGATGTACACCAGTCGCAACATAGAGGGTTTTATAATCACGCTTCATCTTTGTATTTGGCGCATCCGTTTCCCGGGGTGGCTGGTATGCCGGGTCGCGATCGCGTGGGGCTGCTATGGGCCCAACAACAAGTTGAAAACAAGGGTCCGCCACATATCTTTAATACCAATTGGGAATGTGGGCTGATTTTGTGTACCTTTATGAGGGTTGAACATTTACGGGTAATCTATGTTATGGAAGCGGTGGTTGACGGATGGTGCATCGAATCGCACGGCCAGGCCGGGGGCCGGGGCTGCGACTTAGGAAATCGTGAGCCTTCCTTGGCCTTCCCAAGTTGGGTGCCTGCTCATGGTTCGGGGCCTGTACTGGGATACGGACATGGAAGGCAATGCGCCCTTGACTGGGGTCCTTGGGAGTGTTGCGTTTAGCGGATGCGGCATTCCATCGCGCTGCCCCATCTCCCGGGTACACTGTGCGGCGGTCGGGTCCAAGAGCGCGCTCTTGCGCACAAGACAAAACGAATGGCGTTCAATTTTCTTCCGCGCTGTGCTATTGCAGCTGCGTGGCACATTGGTGATGGTGGTAAGGTAAGGGCAGGCGTTGGAAGGCGTTGGAAGGTGGTGCGTGGATATAAGTTCACTGGTTACTTAGGTGGCGATGTTACAGAGAAAAGTCGTTGTTTTTGCGTCGTTTTCAAGAGTTGCCAGACCGCTTTTTATTGCACGTGCACACATGTTGCACGGATGGAACGCTGCGGATTTGGCTTTGGATGGGGGAATTGCTTGGAGGACGTATGTCCCTCGGTGTCGGTTGCTGGTGTGGGGTGGGCTCGTTAAGCATATATCTGGTAGGGCAAATGAATGACACGATAAATGTCAATGGCGGCGTCATTGGTTTGGTGGTCATTGGTAACGGCCGTTAAGAGGCGCACGAGTACCACGGTGGGTCTCACGATCAGATTTGACGTACGAAGTATGAGTGAGACAAGATGTGGTCTCCGCTGAGGAACTGGTAAGCCGGCGTCCAGTCCATATGTATCCCCACGGACGGTAGACGGCGCGCTTCCAGCCGAACGGGGCCACCGAGGATGATTGCTGGTTATGCACGGTTGGCAGGGGTTTTGAGAACCAATCGCGGTAAGCTCAGCTTAACCACCGTTCATCGCTTGTCGTCATTTGTTGCTGTCTCCTCTTGCTGCAAGGTTCCGTCTGGCGTACAGACACTATTTTCATGGCATGGGACGAGGTCAACGACACGCGGTAGCGTAACAGCTTGCTGGCCCATGCGGTGCGATTTATTTGTGTTTTCATTACGTTGGTGTCCGGTTCGATGTGTCTTAATTGATGGCCGTCTCGGTATTATGGCGGTATTGGTGGTGGCCTCGATGCGAAAGTGCGGAGGCTGGGCGGACAGGAAGGACATATAATTCGCCAGTCCTTGGGTGTTCAATTTGGCTTGCACCCGGGCAGGTTACATGGTAGCACGTTAGGTATCACCCGCATCGTTCTTCAGGTTTCCTGAGCATGACGATGTTGTGAAGGTTATGTGATCGACGGTTGACGTAAGGACGAGAGTTTAGGGCCGGTTCTTGTCGTGCCGTTGTCATCCCACGGAGCTGGGCGGTGAGCAGACGCTGTAGTGGTTTATGCCGATCTATACGACGATGCCTGGCACAGCTTCTCGCACCTTTCTTGAATCGCTAATTCCGCCTTTACACACATACTTGTCGTTGCTATTTGAGGTAGTTAAGGTGCGGCGTGTGAACTGTGCAGGTCAGGGGTTGCTGCTGTGAGCAGTGCTGGCTTTTTACTTGCTAAAGTGACAAGGGTGGACGCGTATTGGGAACATGCGTACCGGTGGTTCGCCTATACTAACATGCCCGTGGTGGTTGGTACGGCGCATGTGACTGTTACTGTTATTAATGGTAAACCGTGCGGGGCCGTTAAACTGCTGTTCCAACACGATTTGGAGGATGCCGGTAAGGGTACATCGGTGCGCGTATCAGCTGTAATGGCCGTCATCCTACTATATTTACGCGAGGCTCTCTATACGGTTGGGGGCATGGAACATCGTTAGTCAGTGCGGTGAATGTCCACGATACTGACAATTGTGCTTAAAATTGGATTTGTATATAACACAATATCACGAGCTACGCGCGACATTGCTATTCAACCAACAAAAAATGGCACAGTCAGACAACAGGCGAGGTACGGTCAAGCCAGGTCACGATTTATTTTAAGCCGCTAAGTTTTAGGTGGCAATTATGTTTGAATTTGAAATAAAGGCAGTTACGGCCTTGGAGACGAAACGGCAGCTAGGCGAGGGATAGGCGGCTTGGAAATCGTTACCGTATTCAGGCGGCCCGCGATGCTGAGCTTTGGTTTCAGGTAGCTCCAACAATATGTTATGTATCCAAAGCATTAAAACATGTTTTTTGATGCCTGTGATAACCCCGACTACGGGCTTTCGAAGCTTTCCGTACGGTCTAGCGAACGAGGTTGTGCAATGTCGTTGCATCGGGCTGTATGTTGGCTCCTTTGTGAGCACGTTTTTCGCTAGAGAAGCCCCGTTTAAAACTGCAGGGAAGCGCTGCAGGCGTGCCACACCGTACGGGTTGACTTTGAGAAATTACCATGCACAGGGACGGAGGTAATATTTTCTAATATAGCAGAGAATGCTTCATCCTGTTGGACGTATACCAACACCTAAGGACATTTTTGCAGTGTGTAGATTTTGTACTGCGTATGAGCTAGACAACTAGACTCAAACCAACTTCTAGGAACTACAAGCATGCAGCCAGATTCATTTTTGATAAGGCTTTTGACCTGGAGGACGCTTAGGTCCTCTTGCACGACCAGCGCAGTTTCCTACGTTTCTCCTGATGTTTCGTCGCAGAAGTCCCAGGCGAAATGATTGAACACGAATGAGTCGTAAGCGTGAAGGCCTGGTTGACCTTCTTCACTGGTCGCGAAGACCTTCAACATGCGAGCAAATTGGGCCGCGACGGGAGCGGGAAGAGCGGCCAAACACTGGCACACTACGTGGTGAGTTAGTTCTTCAGCAAACTCGTTGCAGAAGGCGTACTCGCGTGACTTTCCGGCCCGCGCGTTAGCAGGTTCAGGAAATGGTGGCACCAACGTACGCCGCCAGGCTTCGCAGCCTGTTCCCCCAGTCCGTGGGAATTTGCCACCGTTGTCACGAACTGGGTCTATGGTATACAGCCCCGCTGGTAACGGGGCCGGCGGCCCACCTGCCCCAGACCCGCCTCCGGTGGCGCTCTCCCAGTTCCAGGAAGCGCTGTATGTCAATGGGCAACCTCATAACGCAACTTCGCGCCTGCTGAGGCTGGGTGCGAGCAGCCCATTGCGCCGCAGCGTGACGGCGACTCCAGGACCTGGCGGAATGCCACCGTTGCCGACGCCGCCTCCCCGAACACAGTCCGCCTCACACAGCGCATCGGGAATGGTCACTTCTACCGAGAACGGGATTGGAAATAACCTGCTGCCGGCGCCTCCGCCGCTCACAGACATGCTCAGCTTCCGGCTGCAGCCACCAATGCAGGGGACAGGACCGCAGCAGCCACCACAAACGTCGACGCATCCGGAGCAGCTAATTAGTAGTCTCCGGCAGTCCACAGCTTGGGCTACACCTGTGGGGGGCAGCCCTCCCAGGGCGATCCCGCGGCTGGCGTCATCGAGGGAGAGCACTGCGTTGCTGGAGGAGGCCCGCAAGAAGGCACAGGAGGCTATGGAGGTGCTGTCCGGGGGCCAGGTGCGGGAAGAAGTCAAAGCACTTGCAAGGGAAGGAAGGGAGCACCGGAGGGAGCGCCGGTGAACCAGGCAGCATTTGCCAACAGGGGCCACGGGCCGGCTGAACGACGTGCTCCTGCTTGGAACGGGTGGCTGCCTGGGGCGGTGGGCAATGTCATGCCGCACACTGAGAGAGAGCCGGAGGCACGGAACGGGGAAGGTGCATGGCTAGTCCGCGAACCTCCTCGCTCAGTTGCCGTCCAGAATCTGTGGGGCTAGCTGGACATATATCAGGCCGGCAAGGGCCGGCCTGATAAGCACCCAAGGGGATGTATCACAGAGGAGCCCGCATCTCCTGCGGGCAAGGTGATGGACGGGTCCTGACGCAGTGAACACAGCTAGCACGGTGTGGCCATGAGCTTTACTTGGCACGTGGCGTGGCATGGATGCCGCACTTACGAACTTCGTGATTTTTAAGCAGAGGGGTTGCGGGCCCGCTGTATTGGTGGGGGGATTATGTGTTCCGTTGGAGGGGCATGTAGCAAGGATGGGAGCTGGGGATGGGTGCACGGGTGTTCAAGGGAGGAAAATTCAGGCGCACCAAGCATGCAAGAGGCTGCCTGCCCTGCCCAGTCGAAAGCATGAGTGCCTGTATAAGGCAGGATACCCGTGCCTTCTCGCAGGATATCTCTCCTGAAACCCGCGCCCAGGCCACAGCCGCCCTCCAGGAGCTTGAGGCGGTGCTGGGACCCCGGGAGATGAACTTGACGGCGCTGGTGACAGCCACCCGGAACCTTAGGGGGGACCTCTGCAAGGAGCTCCACAACACGGAGAAGCAGGTGGGGAAACGTGTGGAGGGAAAGGCAATCATGACGAAATGAAAAAATACTTGCGGAAGTCCAAAGCAGTTAGGGAGAAGGGCAGGAAAGGAGGGGTGCAGCCTTGGAAAGGTTGTCAAGCGAAGACACATTACAGAGGTCCAGGATTGACCATCGAGAGGGAGTGATACTATGGGAATCGGAATTTTGCTAGCTCAAGATAGCCGAGCGCGACAGGGACTGCGAGGTGGCGAAGGTGGGGAATATGTCGGGGACGGAGGGATAAGGTGAAGGTGAGAAGCGGCGAACCATGCTGGGTAGTTTTTGGTTGGAACCCGCATCAACCCTTCCCAACCCATCCGTTACTCCCCATGTGCAGGCGAGTTTCGCACGTGCCCAAATAAAGGCACTGGAGCGGCAGCACGACCTGTTGCGGCACCAGCTGCGTCTCCGACCCGAGCCTATCCTGCTGCCGCCGCCGCCGGCCGTGGCCGGGCTCTCGGACACGGGGACCCCATCCATGAGCCCCAAGAACCAAAACTACAATTTTGATGCGTTGATGGTGCCACGCAGCGGCAACGGCAGCATGTCCGCGCCGCAGTCACCCATGGCACACGGCAAGCCGCGCTTGGACGGCTCGTCACCGCTACCGCTGCGCCCTGGTTACTTCAATGCAATGGCGGCCACCGCCTCGGCTGTCGGCGGCGATCCCGCCGCCGAAGGCGGTGCGATTGGGGGTGGCGGTATCCTCGGCGCTGTTAGCGGCAGCCGCGATGGCAGCAGCCGCGACGGCGCCACCGCTGCGGCCGCAGCCGCAGCTATGTTTAATGGCGATGCGCCCGCAGGCTTTGCAGGCGCCGTCGCGGCTGCTGCTGCTGCGGCTGCGGCAGCAGCCTCTCCCACAGCCCAGCTGAGTTCCCTGTCATTCAACGAACGCAGTGGCTTAGAATATCCTGGGGGCGGCACGTCATTGCTCAGTGGCAAGTGGAGCTTGGCGGGGGCCATGGAGCGGACCTTGCGCATGCGCGCACTGAACCGGATGGAGGCAGCGCTAGCAGCACTGGCTGCGGAACAGGCGGCGCATGAGCGACCTCCGAGCCGCGGCATCGTGGAGGCGGCGCCACCGGTTGACGTGGAGGAGCTGCGGCGGCTGAAGCACACGCCGCAGGGCATAGCGGAGAACCTGGTACGAGCACCCTCGTGTGCGGCCTCTTTTACGGTTACAAACCTCTATTGTAAAAGCCTGAAACACGTGTGTACGCGTGCATCTCCTAAAAAACGTGATTTGGGATGAGCCGCTCTATCTCTATGGGGAGGGAAGAAGACCCGCAGTCGCGGTTGGATGCGTAATTGTATTGGCTTGTGCATCGAGGGTTTTCCGCGAAACCTCGGCAGCAAGCCGTCTTTGCGTTCACTTGGGAAGCGCATCCCAACCATATATACACACGCACACCTTTGCATACCGTCACTACCGTAACATTTACAGGTTCTGCACCCTCGCCCCATCGCCGCCATGCAGCCTGATACCCCGTCGTACCTTGGCGTAAACGTCCGCCGTACTCCTTCTCCGGGACCGGGGCCTCTGCTCGGCCCCGCCGACGGCCTATCTGGGGCCCCACGGCGACTGGGCGCCATCGGCGGCGGCAGCTTCGCCTTCACACCAGGCAGCACCTCCCCCGACCTAGGTGCTTCCTTGCAGTGGAACAATCGCGGCATATCCACCGCCAAGATGCACTTGCTGAAGGAAGCACTGGCGCAGTCCCCACAACTTGTGCGCCTGTGCCTGGCGGGAAACAAGATGTCCAATGAGGTACGTATTTGTCTAGCCTGCGGCGACCCCAGCCTGCACCTCCCCCTTCCTTCCCCTTCGTCAGCACATGACCAGGGCATTTAGACATGATATTGTCCTGGCATGTTTCCTAGGCTGCTTTGGTCCGTTGCTTCAGCTATCATTACTATGCTTCTGGGTGTGGGTTTGTGTCTTCCTCTGTAGTAACCGACTCCTCCTGTCAACCTACCTCTATAGGGGTCGATATGCAGCATGAATCTCCCCCTTCCCCGGACCACATACACAGGACGTGACGGAGCTGATGTCCCTCCTGTCGGACCCCGCCGGGCCCCGCATCCAAGAAATTATCCTAGACCAGAACACCAACCTCAGCTGGCGCTGCGCGCTGCCCCTAGCACTCGCGTTGGGCATGTCCCCCGATATGGCCGCCACCTCCACCGCCGCCGACTGGGCCGCCGTCGCTGCAGCCATGCCGTCCTCCGCAACGCCCGCCTCCATCGTTGCACCGCCTGCCGTACCCTCCGCCCGCGACAAGATCCACCGCTTAGACATCCGCGTCCTCAGCCTCTGCGGCGTCAAGCTGGGTGATAAAGGCGTTTCTCAGTTAGCCGAGGGATTGAGGGCTAATAACTCCCTGAGGGAGCTGGACCTGCGCCGCTGCGGCATCAGCGACGCCGGCGGCGCGGTGCTGATGGACGTGTTGGAGTCCAATGGGCAGTTACAGAGACTGGATGTTAGCTGGAATGCGCTGCGGACGGAGAGCGCCCGGGTGCTGGAGGTAGCGTTGGCGGGCAATGCTGGGCTGCGGGAGCTGAGCTTGGCACATAACGGCTTTAATGACCTGGACGGCGCGAGGGTGATCAAGGGGTTGCTCAACCACGGTGGGTGGCTGGGTGTATACGTAGGGGGTGGTGGCTCTGGACAGATAGGAAGTGAACAACCGTATCCCTTGTCCTGCCACTGCATCCTTCCTCCTCTCCTCATCCTGGTTCAACTCTGGTTCGGCCTTTCTATTCCCTTCCCCCCTCCTCTCCATCCGTAGTACCTTTCGCTCGTGCTTCCGTCCCTTCCCTGTCCCTGTCCCTGTCCCTCCAGGTCGGTGGTTGCAAGTAGACCTCTCCCACAACACTCTGGGCCCGGGTAGCTGCATGATGGCAGGGGAGCTGCTGCGGCGACTGGGAGCCGCAGCAGCCAGCATCATGGTGCAGGGCAACTATGCGGAGGGTTGGCCCAGACTGCCCACCATTGGGGGTCCAGGAGGCAGCTCCAGCCCCCACTCCCACTCCGCGGGGTGGCCCCAGCAGCAGCAGCAGCTGCTCATGCAGACCAGTCGCACCGACCCTCTGGTAGACACGCACAGTGTGGGGCGGAACGCTGTGCCGGTACCGGACCCCTCGAAGCGGCCGTATGGGATGGTGCGTGGGGGGTGCCTGTTGTGTTGTGGACGTTTGTGTGTGCTGGCCATGCGGTATGCATGCTTCAATTAAGTGCTGACGTCCTCCTTTCTCCGTCTTTTTGGCTGCCTGCAGGCGGATGATCGCTCCGCTCCCCCCAGCCCCACCACCCTGCGCCTCTCCGCAGGGCAGTTGGGCTCCCAGCTGCTCAAGGGACAGCCCTCCCTGGCGCTGGACGGGAACCCGCTGGGGAGCACTGGGTTGCGGTGAGGGCTGTTAGAGTTGGAAGAAGGGGGCGGGGGGCCGATAACAGGGCGGGTTGGGCGACAGGAGATTGGAAAATGAAACCTCCGACTGAGACAAAAGAAAGCTGAGAGGGTATGAGGGAAGATAGACAAACCCCAGCGCGCTCCCCTTCGAATGACCATCCTTCTTTGTCAGGGCACTGTGTTGCTCTCCCCAAACTTTTTATCACACATACCCCCTGACATGCTTCAACCACTCCGTGCCGCCTGCCCCTGTTCCCACGCCTTACTGGCCCACTCACATACATGATCCCCTCATTTCTCCTCCTCCAACCTCCCTTTTGTTCCTCCCCCTGTCCTGCTGTCCTTTCCCACCCTGCTGTCCCTTCTTACCCGCATTCCTCCGCCTCGCCTTGCAGTATCATCCTTGATGCCATGGAGGCCATGAGTCAGTCCCTGATGTCCGCAGCGGGATTAGGACCGCCTGACCCCTCCGACCTGGAGGACTTCGCAGGCGCAGAGGTGCCGCCTCTACCCCTGCAGATCACCATAGCAAATTGCAATGTTGCGCCACCCTCGGAAAGGTGGGGCCCCCAAGGGGATGGAGCTGTGGGCTTATACATTGCGTCCGTTGAGTTGTGTAAATGGCTTGCAATAGAGCGCGAGGGGGTAAGGGGAAGGACAGGAAACAGGATAAAACCAGACGGACTCGAACACCTTTTCAGACACCCTTTGATCACCGTTACCTGGCTCGCCGTCAGCGTGTGCTGCTGTATGCGAGCGTGTGCCATCTTCCGGTGCGTATCCATCTTAATTTCCTTAACTCAGCTCCATTACCCGCCACCAATTGCACCGCGTCGCAGGATGATTGGTGGGGACGACGAGGCCAACCCCTTCCTGCCCAGGTACCCTGCGGTTTGCTGGCATTCTCCTGTCGTACCGTTTCCGTAGCTCCATGCCATGCTGCATGGCTCGGTGTACGCCTCAGCTGCCTGTCCGCACAGCTGTCGTTCTGTCAAGGGTTGCGGACTATCCGGCATAATCGATGCATCAGAGAAGGCGTGCTAGTTTTTAGTCGTCCTTACGTGTTGAATGGGCTCAGTCAGGGGCTAGCTCCCCCGAATCCCCCTTCTTATCCTTTTCCACCACCGCATCCAAATTTCACCACCTCCCCCCCTCACTGTGTGTCTCAGTATTGCGGTGCTGTGCCGACCCCCGGGCGGCAGCGGTGGCGGCAGAGCGGGGCAGGCAGCCAAGGATGCAGCCGCCAAGAAGGCAGCAGCGGCCAAGGCCTCGTCCGCGAAAGGCAAGACCAGGATAGAGAACCGCAACGGGGAGTATGGGGATAGGGAGATGTGCAGGCCAAAGAGGAGTATGTGCCGATTGAGTCAATAAACAGTGGGCCAACGCCTCAGAAGGGCCGAATCCAACGTGCTACGGTAAAGTAGTAGAAGCTGTCGTCTTGTACATGTGACGCGAGGGACCCTTACCTTTAGGTCACAGCAGTTCACCTGACACCCTCAACCCCGCGGCCGTCACTTCCTTCCCCTTTTTTATCTCCCCGACTCCAACTCCACTCCTTACTCTGTATATACGTCGTAGCAGTTCGTTCAGCGGTCTTACCTCCTTACATCCCAAGTACTGAGCATCTTCACATAATACCACTTCAACTTTCGCACGAGTTATCCCTCTCCCCCTTCCCCATGCAGACGGCGGCTCCCGCGAAGCCCGCTCACCCACCAGCTCAAGCCCCACCCCTGGGGCGGCCCATGCCGCCCTGACCCTGCAATCGCCCCACTTGGACCTCCAGAGCCCCGCGGGTGTGTATTCCCTGGACCTCGCCCACCCCGCCACTGCCGTGCTGGTGGCCTACCTGCTGCGAATGAGGGAGCGGCTCAACGCTGCGGCGGAGGTGGGGCTGGTGGCGACGGGGGTAACGGTGTCCATTGGCAGCATATCAGTGAACGGCAAGTCAATCAAACTGGATCAGCTGTCGGCGGTGGACAGCTGGACAGAGGTAAGCTCGGATGGGGCTGGAGCGGGGCTGGATAGGTGGCACGGACGGGCCGGTAATTGAGCGCATGTGACGTAGATGATCGTCGTTCCTTTCCTTTCCAACCATCGCCCTTGTCTCCCTGCCTTTCTCTCGCACTCCGTTATCACCCGTTTCTGCGGTTCGTCTTCTCCCTCTCCGTTGTTAACCTACCGCAACGCTTTGCCTGCACACCACAGGGCACGTTACAGCTGACGGTCAAGGCCCCCGCCGTGTTGGCCCTAGAGGCGCCCCTACCCCTGACGCCCAGGGTGGCGGAGTGGCTGGCATCCCTGGTGGGGAACCTCACAGCCTCGCCCTTGTGGAAGCTGTCCGTCATACAGGCAGCCGGTAGCGTCTGCTTCTTCACCCCCGGGCAGTGCCTAGCGCTGCTGGCGGGTTTTGACCGGGATACCCAGGCGACCGAGAGCGTGGCGGCGGCGCAGATGCTGTACGCGCGCTCCGCCCAGCCACTGGCGTTTTGGGAGCACGTGCTGCCGAGGCTGCCGTCGGCTCAGCAGGCGTCACTGAGGGAGAGGTAGGTTTCTCTCCGGGGTGCCCAAGCGTTTTGGGGGTGTAGTTGGAAGACATGAAGTAACACGCGGCGATCGGCAGGACATACACGTCGTGTTTATTTGTATACTTTATAACCTTTAAGACGGTACATGCGAAATGAGCATCGCTTTAGACGGAAGACAGTAATGTGTAAATGAACGGTGCTGATCCGCGGCGGTGATGGTGGATTGGGTGTCAGTTCCTATGGAGCACTCTATACCGCTCGCGCGAAATGCTGTAAAGACCGTTATGCGCGCATCCTGTCACCAGCCTACCCTTCCGTCGTGCACTTTAATCCAATAACCCTCCCCATTTTTCGCCTTGGCGTCGCTCACGCGTGCGTGTATCTGTGTTGCCAGGGTGGGTGATCTGGTAGCCTTGGATATGACTCGACCCATGGGTCGCTACACACTCAACCTCAGCCGCCAGGTGGACCGCTTCGTAGCGCTCAGGCTGCAGCTGGCGTCTGCACTGGAAAACAGCTGGGTTGAGAACAAGTGAGAAACTGGGGCAGGGGGGGCCCCGTTGCTTTGGGAGCAACAGGCTGTGTGTGTACGTGTGTGCAAAATTGTATGGGACAGGTTCAACCTGGCTTCGTTCCGTCCGGTGTGACCAGGAACTAGCTGGGGGGTGGGTGGTTTCGGAGAATTCGGCCTCAACTGTGCGCTTGTCCTCGCCCACTGGCCGGGGGCCCAGAAAGCGGAGCATTTGGGTTGTGCTGTGATTGGTTTTGGGGACCACTAATACTGCCAGGCTGTTTTCTGTCTGTTCACCGCTGCTCACTCCGACACTCATTCCACAATCCCTCGGCAAAGGTACTACGTCAACTGGCTCAACGCATCCTTCAACGGCCAACCGCTGGACCGACCCGGTCTAACCCACATCCGCGACTACACGCTACCCGGCGCGGGAGTGTTGCGGCTGGACTATGTGTCGTACACGGTGAGTTTTACCGTCGTACAACACTTACTGTTTATCATGTGCATCACTCACGGACGAACACTTGTAACTGGGCTGCGTGCTGCGCGGGGCCCGACGCCACCCGGGAACCATCCCGGGCCGCCTGGCTGCAATGTGGGGCTGCAACGTGGGGCGCAACGACCTGTGTACGCCTTACGTCCCGAGTCCCCGCCTTCCCCTCCCCACTTTTGCATCTCGTCGCGACTGTCTCCAAAGCCTGGCCACGACACTTCGTCCCCGTCCCGGTCCTGCCTTGCGACTGGACGATTGGGTCCATGCGCACCGCCCTCCGCCTCTCACCCGCTTTGCGGCCCTTTTTTGCAGCCCGTACTGAGGCCCCTTTGGCTTTGCTCCCGCTCGGCCCTCCTCCTACCTCCGCCCGCAGAAGCCCGGCTTGGGGATGGCTCCGGCTCCTCCCGAGGAGCTGGCGGAGCTGCTGTCCCGACTGAGGAACTGCAACATGACGCACATCGCATCACTGCTGCAGGTGCGATATGGGGGAACTCGTGGAGGAGTGACTCAGGAATGGACGGCAAGAGGAGCGAGGAAAATGGGCAAACAGCATGACGGCTTCCCATTGCACTGCACTGCTGTGCATACAAATGACGATGTAAACACGGTATCACGTGCACGACCGCTTTCCTGTAGCGTTTTCTTGCGGGCATACCCCGGATGCACGGCGCATTTCCCCGCACATGCACTCATCTTAGAAGGGAGCGATATGCATTGCTCTGTGGGTCGCCTCGGAGAGCCCAGCGAGGGCGGCAAAGTCCCAGCCCACCAGCTCTGTTCGGCCCAGGTTTGTGCGCTTTGTGAGCACACTTTCCAGTACGCCTTTCCGCGTCGTCCCTGTCACCTCCCTTCGGACATAACAGTCATCCGTTCAGCAGTTCCATAACCCTTCATTTTACCTGCTGAACCTCTTTCCCTGGGCCCTCCCTCTCCCCCCTCATCCCCCATCCACCGCAGGTTCGGGCGCAGGTGACTCCCCCACCCCCTCCACCACCATCCCGGAGGGAGCACCTCAGATCCCCCATCGGGCGCCGCAAGTAAGGAGTAGCTCAGCGGCTGTGCGGAGGGGGCCCGGGGACAGCGCGGATTTAAGGGATATAGGAGAAGGAGCTGGGCTGAGCGCGTGTTTGTGTACGTATGCGTGCGCTTCATGTCCCCGAAGAATATCTTCCACATCGTCCTCTTCGCTCTCACCCCTCTCCCTTTATCCCCTCCCTGCTTCACCCCAGTCACCCCTCCATTACGTCCCTCCGTCACCCCCTGTCCCAGGCAAGCACTGCCTCCGCCGCCGCCCAAGCCCCGCCTGAACGCCTTCCAGCTCATGCACAGCTCCCTTCTGGATGTGGCTCGCTTCCTGGCCTCACCCGGACCGCCGCCGCCGCCGCCGCCGCCCAACCCCGACGGCACGGCTCCACCGCTGCCTCAGCTGCCCACAAGCTGGACTGCCACATGCGGTTTCGACACGGAGGCGCTGTTCCGCCGTGCGTCTGTCGTACCGCCGGAATGGTCGACGGCGGGATACGCAATGCCGCTGCCGCCAATAGGAGGAGAGTGTGGCCCTCCAGGATCGGGGACCGGAGCAGCCACGACAGGGACGGGACTAGGAACGGGAACGGATGCGCCGGTATTGCGGGCGCCAAGTTTGGCGACCAAGTCTATGAAGAGCATTGTCGGTGGCCGGGCCCCAGTGTTATCGGTGCAGATGCGGGCGTCAAGGCGGCGGTCGGCCAAAGGGAAAGAGGACGAGGAGGAGGAGTGGCCGGTGACGCAGGTGAGAACGAGCGTCGGGCCAGAGGATGGGGATAGAGGTGGTGAGGGCGCCAAGGGAGGAATATTATGGGTGGTATGGTACGGGAAGAAGCGTTTGGATCCGATGAGTGGAGCGATGCAGTACTGTATGTGCAGGAGTTCGTGCGGCAAGCGTTTGGATGAGCGGATGCGGATGCTGACATGGGTGTGGGTGCATATGTGAGCATGTGTGTGAGCATGTGTGTGTGTGTGTCGTATACTGAGGTCCTTATGGCACGGACACGCTCTGCCTCCCCTCTTGTTTCAGCAAGACCCCTGCCGGCACCACCTGTCTTCCACTCCACACCTCGTCCCTAAATTGCCCATGACTCCTACTCATTCCCCATGGCGTGCGTGCGCAACTCCCCGGATACCCCAAACTGGGCGCTATTTGGATCATGACTGGCCCGCATGCGCAACGCTCCCTGACGCCCTTTCCGAAAATCCCCTATCACGTAACCCCAGGCCGACTACCACGCGGCGCTCCTGGCTATGGTCCACCAAGCCAAGGACCTGCCGCTGCTCGCCTCAAAAATGGGCGCCACCCACCTCGGGGCTGCCGTCTCTGCGCTACTCCGCTACGAGGGCGGCGAGCGCGCTACCGCCGCGCTTCTGACGGCGCTGCCACCGCTCGCAGCCTCCAAGTTCCTGTATGACCAGGTCGACCCGTCACCGTGCTTGCTACCTCCGGATGTACGGCGACAGCTGCTGGCCGCTATGCCTCAGGACAAAGTGAAACTAATGGAGATGGCAGCACGCGGCGCCAGTGATGCGGCTATCGCGCGGGTACGGCAGGTCCGGACTGCGCTGCATCTGTGGGCTTCCCGACGGCTAGTGAGCTGCGAGCAGGTGGAGGCGGTGCTGGGGGCGCTGCACACGGAGGGCGACCGCGTGGCAGCCATGGTGGTGCTGTGGCCGCGGATGGTGGACGGCCGGTGGAAGAAGGCGTATTTGGCGTTGAAACAGTCGGAGCAGCGGCAGGTGCGTGGCGGGGGCCCTCGTTGCCCACTTGCGGTGGTGTTGATGAACCTGCTGACACGTGGACAGGTGGTGCTGGATGAAAAACGGGCCCAGGGGGTTCGTAGGGATGTTGAAGAGGGAAAGACAGGGGAGGGTTTGTGCGTCTGGGGTGCGTAATTCGCGTGTTGGCAGCGGAGTTGTGGCTTGGGCGGTAGAGGACGAGCATGGAAAGGAAACCTTTTGCGGCACGTTCGGCATTGACGACCATGTGCGAGCCATGCTCGCAATAATGATTGTTTTTTTGTGAGGGAGGCGGCTCTTTGCAGCCAGGGGTTGGCTTGGGGGAAATCAGGGTTTAGTTGGGCAGGCGTGACGTCGGAGAGGCAGGTTGCTACTTGGCCCCATACATATGTACGTACAGTGCCTCTGCACGTAGCTGCCGCTAACTACTACCTTGCCTTTTGCCCCTTCCATGTCGATTGCCGCTTCGCTCGTCTGTATCGCTTCTGGCCGATGCCGATGCTTCCAACGCCACCGTTCAAAACGGCCGAACGTGGCCTCCACCCGACCGCCGGCTTAACTATCCGTCCGTCGCCGGCATGTGGTGCATGGGGGGGGATGCGGCGGCACACTGGACGCCTTCACTGGTGGTGCAGGTCATGGTGGTAAGTCGCTGACAGACTGGCTTGGTAGCAATCCAGCTGCTCCTATAATGGTACCCTGTCTAACACACTCTCAACACCGTGGTGGGATGAGGTCAGCTTGCCTGAAGCCGCGGTAGCGGTATCAAGACCCCACATTGAGTGAACTTGCATCGACATCATTTGTCGCTCTGAAGCCTTTTCCACAGCTCCACGTGCTGCTACAAGCGACAGCCTGTCTCAGCGGCCCAAACCGCGCACTTCCCCGCATCCTCACCTGCCCTCAGAGCCCCTCCTCCTCCTCCGCACCACCCCAGATTCCTACACATAGGACCAACCACCTTCCCATGCAATGCCATCCTCTGACCGCCACTCCTGGCATCCCATATTTTGTTGACCCTGGCCAGTTCCCACCGCATCGTACCCATGGCGTACCCTTTTGCATGCTCTCTTCCCTGTCTTGCATGCGGTCTGACGGCCCGACCCGCGCCCTTCCCCGCAGCGGTTGGGCTTCTGGCACGTGTACACCTGCCTGGGTGACCCTCACGGCATCTTCTTCTCTCTAGACTTGGGGGAGCCAGAGCAGAGGGACATTGCACGGGAGCTGGTGCGCATGGCTGTCAAGGAGACCATGAGATCAAAGCAGGAAGCGCGGGCACGAGGAGGCTTCTACGCGGCGGTGAGAGGGCCCGGCGGCGAAGGAAGGGCGTGATGGGAGGGGTATTGGTATTGGTATTGGTGGGGATGGATCGGTATGGGCAGTATGCATGCTCGCGTGCATGTATGGTGGAGGAAATTTCCTCGACTGCTCTCTGCCTCATCTTAGGAAGGCGCTGGTTTCGGTGGATGGGAAAGGAACGGGTGGGCAAGATTGTGTACAGAGGGAGGCCTGAGATTGAAGCCTTGTGGTAGTGGTGTTTAATTTTTTATGATTTGAGAGTCCCGGGCACGACCTGCATGAGTAACCCTACCAAAGCAGGTAGTTCAGCGAGGCGGTAGAATCATCCAGCGAAAGGGCGGGCGTTGTTGAAGTTTCGAAGTAGATGATAATGATGATAGGGAGGGTTTTGCCAGACCTAGCGGAAATAAACGGGGCTGTCATGGCTACCCGGCTAACCCCGGCCCCCCGCCCGCCTCCTGTATGTCCTTCCCGACAGACGTTGCTGGACCTACACGGCAACGGCAACCCGGTGTCGATTCCCGAGGACGAGAAGCTGTGGGGCATGGCGGAGTAAGTATGGGACAACTCCATCAGCGGCCCTTCCTGTATCTGCATTGGATTTTGCGCATCGCGGCCGTAGGATGGCGGGGACACTAAGGCCATAGCCCTTGGGCCGGGACTTGTGCAATCATACAGTGTACTCAATAATATTTTGTATTACGTTTGCGGCGAAGGTATGCCGTGTTCGCCGTTTTGTGATGACACCCTTTTATCTTCCACGGCAGTTGCATACACCGCACCCTTGCATTTCCGCAGCCTTTCCCTTCCATGTCCTGTTCATGTAGTCCTTGTCACTGCCTCAGCTTATGGTTCGTTCCTATCGACCTTTGTTCACGTGTCTTTTCCCTTCCCGCCCCATCGCCAGTCATTCCCTTCAGCCCATCCGAGAACTGCCCGCTCCTCCTCTCCACTCACTCCCTCCAACTCCGCCCACCCCGTCTGCCCTTTCCCCTGCCTCGCGCAGTTCCAACTTCAAGACTATGGACTTCCTGTACTGTCCGACCTTCGAACAGAGCCTTGAGAGGGTTTCGTCCAGTGCCAGGCAGATCCAACGCTACTGGTCTGGACTGCAGGCACGACGGCAAGCCTTACTGGCCAGGGCGATGGCTTCCGAGGTAGGTTGGCGATGGCTGGGTTGGCTGGCGTACTTTTCTCTCCTCTCTCTCTCGCCCTTACTGTTCCCTTTCTTCCCCACGCTGGACGCTGACGGCACCGGTGTCTTACGCTCTGTTCCGTCTAAATTGAGACGTCTCATCTGCAGCCCGCCTGGGCCCAAACCCTGTCGTTGGCTCTTGCCCTATGAAAAGCTATAACAAATGACCCACACTGATTAACGTACTCTGGCACGAACCCATAAGGGCATCTTCTTTGTAACCCGCCAAGCCCGTCGCTGTGTGTCCGCCTGTACGCCCCGAGAGCGTGTGCTGAAGGGGCTGTCTTGTCAGTGGCTTGCTTAACCACTGCATTCTTTCAGCGCTGCCCACCCAAGAGTTAGCTTAGACCAGTCTCTCTGGCAATCGCATTTCGTAAGATCCAGCTGGACCTTTAGGACTTCCCTCATCTCTCCTCTCCTTGGCCCTCAGTCTGCTACCACGTTCTGCTATCGAACTTTGTTACCTATCAGGACCCGTCCCGTGCAAAACCTCGTTCGCGACTGCCTCAGGAGCCTCTTGGGGTGCCACCGTGAGGAGGTGCACAGTCATATAGCGCAAGGGCCTCGTTCGACACAAGGTTATGGGCTGTGTTCGAGCGTGTAGCTTGTAGGAGCTGCGAGACGAGCAAGGAGGAGGGGACGGGGCTGCACAGCTGGGGTGTGCCTCTTGCCGAAAGGGTGTGGGGCTGGGGTCCTGGCCAAGGCTTGGGAGTTAAGAAATATGTATTGCGTGCGTTCTACTGATGCGGACATTTTGCACTGTGCTTATACTAGGAATACATGATAGGAGGCGGTATAAGGGATGCTGGCTGCGGAAATGCGCGCGGAGCCAGCAATCGGCTATACGAAGTGAGTTGCGATAAGGGCCTTCGGCGCTGGGTTGTGCGCTTACGCTTCAACTGAATTTGTATTGGCACGTTGCAGCTGAAGAAGGCCGGGCGGCCGTTCTATGCCGGGGCGTGTGCTACGGTGAGGATGTGTTGTGGTCAGGCGCCGCAATGTTGGAAAAATGTCTGCACTAAAAGAGGCCCACAGTATTTTGCTTACGCCTCCGCAGTTTGGGGTTGATTGGAAACCTTAATCCTATTGAACTCATCTACCAACCGTGTGACCAATGTGCATGCTGAGGCTCGAGGGGATACGGCCTCTTGCATGTGCAGAGGCATAATCTTAGCTCCCGAGATTGGGCGTTGTTGGGTCGAGGAGTCGACGCTGTGATCATGCGCCCGGCATAGCATGACCCGTATGTTATTATACCCGCGATTATTTAGCGGCATATGCGTTTGGCGTTGGGTTGTTTCCTGTGTATCTGCCTGCTCCTTGTTTTTCTACATGCTGGTGCTATAAGAGGATTGGACCAAAGGTGCACTCTTATCACTGGCTTTTGGGGGCTTGTGACGCTTGGCGGATGTGGCTCCTGGTGGCTTTGGGTTTGGCTGGTTGGCAAAGCGGCTTGCTAAGTCTAGCGCGTTCAATTGCAGACGTGAATTTATGTTTACACACACCTTTTTGTATGGCGCAGGAGGGTTCGTCGCCCTGCTTGCTAGTCAGATGATTACGCCCAAGGGGATACCACTTTCACAACTGGACGACTGTACCTAGCGGCTTGAGTGAAAGGAAGGGACGCACCAAAGTGCGCTTCGCGACCTGCTTGTCTCAATCAATCGTTGTAACGGCAATAGTATGCACCTTATAGCCTTTGCGTGAGAAAGGGGATGAACCAACATCCTTTGAGGCACTGGAAAGCCAAGCACGTGTCTTTTCCCAACCCAAGAGTCCCGGTGCAGGTGCTGAGGAACACGGTATCCCGGTCAATTGGACTAAGCTAACCCTGTCACCTTCATGGCGACAAAAGAGATATTCGGAATTTCGGGACCATATCAGGGGGCTTCCAGCGCCACAGGGACTAGCCAGAGGGAACCGTTGTGAGACTGCATGATTTGGGCGGTAAGAGGATCGCGGCAATCCGAGTGCTTTACGTGTGTCGTGGTAAGAAACCTAGAGTACATGCATGCTTGCTGCTGTTTACAAAAACAGCCATACCTACCTGTAATCAGGTTATTACCTGATGGCTGGAAACAACAAAACGTCAAAACTTGTGACTGGCAACCAAGCGCCAAGCAATCGCGTTGCCTTCATATATTGTGTAGACACACTCATTTCACAAAACATAGCAGCAGTTGCGCATGCCGTACAATTATAGTACTCAAATGGGCCACACCGGCGTTAAGTTTACGAAACCGCGTGTTTGTAGAGTGGGTACTTTGCTGATGATTACACCTTGACATAGGATAGATTCCAATTCCGCGTCAATATGGCGCGGCTCTCGCTGGCTTTGCTGGCCACTTGCGGCCTCTTGGTCCAGTCAGCGTTTGGCTTCTACTTGCCAGGAGTGGCACCCCAGGACTTTAAGAAGGTGCGATAGGCTTATGGCGAGCTTGCATATGGAGCTGGAGGAGGGTGGCTGGCGCAACCTTGATCGCCCATTTTCGGCCACTGACCCTCGGCGCGCAGAAAGATGTGCTCTTCCTCAAGGTCAACAAGCTGTCCTCAATCAAGAATCAGCTGCCATATGAGTATTACTCGCTGCCCTACTGCCGGCCTGAGAAGATCGTTCAGTCTGCCGAAAACTTGGGCGAGGTGTTGCGAGGGGACCGTATTGAGAACTCACTTTACCAGGTCTGCATGCATGGTTTTAGATTTTGGCGACGTACAAGCTATGAACAGGGATTGCTGTATGCACGCAGATTCAAATGCGCGTAGACGAGCAGTGCAAGGTGCTCTGCCGCATCGATTCCCTGAGCAGCCTACAGGCCAAGGCCTTCAGGGCTAAGGTGGAGGATGATTACAGAGTTAACATGTGAGTGCCTATGCTGGGCTTGTTGAGCTTGGCGAAGGCTGACATGCCCGTTGCACAGGATCCTCGACAACTTGCCGGTGGCAATGGTCAAGATGCGGAAGGATGAGAGCTCCGGTTCATTGGTTAAGACTTACGAGCGTGGGTTCCCAGTCGGTTTCAAGGCGTCGCTTGAGGTGGGAGGCTTATGCGACAATTCATCGCCCCGGCAATTGCTTACCGGAATTACCCTCTCTGCAGGGCAAAACGGAGGTGAAATTCTTCCTGCACAATCACCTTCGCTTCACAATTTTATACCATAAGGACGCGACAACCGACCTAGCACGGATAGTGGGCTTTGAGGTGGAGCCCTTCAGCGTTAAGCACGATTATGAGGCGCCATGGGATAAGACCAGTCCCGTATTGAACACCTGCAACCCGGGCCGGATGATCTATGTCACACATAGCCTCGAGCCGCAGCCAATTCAGGAAGGTGTCGAGGTCATCTTCTCGTACGACGTTAAGTTTGTGGTAAGCTCTGGGGCTCTGGATTTAATGTCTTGCCCATCACGTGTGCTATTGTTAACTGTACTGGTGCATTTGCCCCATGCAGGCCAGTGAGATCCGCTGGGCATCCCGCTGGGACACGTACCTCCTCATGATGGACGACCAAATCCACTGGTTCTCTATCATCAACTCGGTCATGATTGTCTTGTTCCTGTCGGGCATGGTACGTTCGGTATCTGGGCGGGTTTTGCTGGGCAGGGTTAGTGGCATGGATCGTTCACTTATGCATGCCGTCCCCTAACAGGTCGCTATGATTATGATGCGGACGCTGGCACGTGACATTACGAAGTACAACCAGCTGGAGGCAGGCGAGGATGCTCAGGAAGAGACCGGATGGAAGCTGGTGAGCTTTGAAATGAGCAGCCTCAGCCGCCGAGGTCCCATGTGCACACGCTACCACGTCCGCAGCCCATTCTTTGAGCACTGGAAACGAACGCCAGCTTTTGGCGGGGTCAGGCGATTGTCCCTTAGTACGTTATCGGTGGGGAGCTGTCACCAACATCACATGCATACAATAATAACCGCCATGTCTGGCCTGCGTCACTGCAGGTGCACGGTGACGTGTTCCGACCGCCAACCCACTCATCGTTGCTGGCAAGCTATGTTGGCACCGGTGTGCAACTCTTTGGTATGAGCCTGGTGACCATGATCTTTGCACTTCTGGGCTTCCTGTCGCCCGCTAACCGTGGCGGCCTGATGACGGCTATGCTGATGATGTTCGTCTTTATGGGGCTGTTCGCTGGTTATTTTTCGTCACGCCTTTACAAAAGTTTCCGCGGCGAGGAGTGGAAGAAGACGACCTTGCGCACAGCTCTGATGTTCCCCGGCGTCTGCTTCTTTGTTTTCTTCTTGCTGAACCTGCTGATCTGGGGACAACGTTCATCTGGCGCTGTTCCTTTTGGCACGCTTTTTGCCTTATGCTTCCTGTGGTTCGGTATTTCCGTGCCTTTAGTGTTTGTGGGTTCGTATTTCGGGTACAAGAAGCCGGCTCCTGAGGATCCTGTGCGCACTAACAAGATTCCCCGTCAGATTCCTGAGCAGCCATGGTACATGAACCCCGTCTTCTCGTGCCTGGTGGGCGGTGTGCTGCCCTTTGGAGCCGTCTTCATTGAGCTGTTCTTCATCTTGACATCGATGTGGCTCCACCAGTTCTATTACTTGTTCGGGTTCCTGGCTCTGGTCTTTGTCATCCTCATCATCACCTGCGCGGAGATAACCATTGTCCTGTGCTACTTCCAGTTGTGCTCGGAGGATTACCACTGGTGGTGGCGCGCATTCTTCACGTCGGGATCGTCGGCCCTGTACCTGTTTGCGTACTCCGGTTTCTATTTCTACTCCAAGCTGGACATTACTAAGACAGTACCAATGCTTATGTACTTCGGGTACATGTTAATCGTGTCGTATGGTTTCTTCTGCCTTACCGGCACAATTGGCTTCTACTCGTGCTACATTTTCGTGAAAAAGATTTATTCTGCTGTGAAAATTGACTGAGGATGTGCGCGATCAGCGCCCACCCACATTAGAGTGTAGCTAGGAGGACTGCGCCTGGCGCGCAATGCTTAGTTAGTGGTGTGAAAGAGATTGTTGCGTGAGCGCATCTTACAGCCTGACGGGGAGTTTTTAAGGCAAGCTATCGGAATCATGAAAGCATGCTTTTACGTGTGGCAGTGTGGACCGGGGGTACAGCTGTGTCGCAAGTCGACCTGGGATGTGGACGACGCGCTAAGTTTGTCCTGGGGAACTGTCATTGGGTTCACTTAGGACTGCCCCTTGCTTCGGGGCATACAACGGCTTTGCACTAATGTGACTTGTTGCATTTATGCAGCGCGTACATTATGACAGGTATGATCGTGACGAGCGGAAGGATCGGTGAAACCGTGCTGGTGTACACTAGCAGGCAGGTTCTGCAAACACGGTATAACGGTCGGCTTTTTCAGCTTTTTGTTCTTTTGCTACGGGGAAGGTCCACTGTAAATCGAGTGGATTTGATTTGACTGCTGAGCCGCGACAACCTTGGTAAGGATCCTTCCTGCACGGGAGAGTACATCGTTAGTGCCATCGTCGGATTCCTTTCATATGTTCATAAGCCCAATAACGCCTTAAGTGTGACCCATTTTGCGAACCTCATCGACCCATGAACAGGGAGGCATGCGAAAGTTAGGGCCGCCAGCCTCAAGAAGTGCGATATGCTACTGCTCCCAGTTCTGCAACGAGGTGACATGCTTGCTTCGGCAACTCTGCATGTTACGATGCTGTTGTTGGGGTCGAAATGCCAGCGACGCCTAGGGGTACGTAAAGTAAATTGGGATTGTATGAGACAGCATGCTCTCGCCTGTCCAGGTTGAATGTTAGCACTAAAATAGCTGTACACATGGGCATGCCTGTAAGACAAACATCCTAACTTTGCAATCCATATCACCACGTGCAAGCATCGCCCGCCAATGCGCTGATTGGATTTCCTGGGACTGCGCGTGATGCGATCGCTGCCATCCAGCGTGTTGATGACTGGCGGATTGCTTACAAACTCGCGCCATGAGATCGAGCTGGCGGCTGCTGCCGGCAGAGTGCATCGGCGAGCTGCACCCATCCGGGTCCGAAGGAACGGTATATATGCCGCTGTGTTCGTCGCGGCACAGATTGCTGATACAGGGTTTCGCACACATAGCCCTATTTAGTGGAGATGGCCTGGAGTCGTACTGCTATTTGAGAAGGGAGCATTTCCCAACACGTGGCCCAGGGAGTCTCAGAGTTCAGGGCCAGTCGCCTACACCAGATTACACATATGACTACACATTCGGGGACGAGGGGTCTGGTGGCTGAACCGTTCATGCTGTGGAATGACCATGCTGTAACAGACAGACATGATTTCGAAGTTGCTGCGCATCCTGACAACTTGGTGAAGGGGCGGTTAATCTGTGCCTAGACCGAAACCCATCACGGAGAGACACCCTGACAGCAGCATCGTGGAGGTGGCATATATCATGGAAACAGAGATCTGAAAGGATAATTTTGTTATGATAGCGGCATGATCGGGCAGTGTTCGCAGGATAACATACTGACGGCACCATTCCTACTTTTTACCAGCACCAGTCTCGAAAACTTTGCCCAAGTATCAATGCTGCATCACCATGCAGGTGGCAGTTGCTTAGTTAACAGAACTCCAAACGGTTGGGCATGAGTAACTTAGACGGTTACCTCGTCCTAACAGCATTGTACGGTATCGTTCCTTAAGAGCGCCGCGTTTTGGGCTCTGACTCATAAAAGTATCCTGGCAGCCCAACCTGAGAACGGAACATCGGTAAGACAACCCATTGAAGGAAACAAACTAACATCTGATGTTGTACGATATAAGGCAGAAGGTTCGGAAAGTACGGGGACACAGTGTCCTTGACAAAGTCAGCCCCACATTTTTGCTGACTTGCAAGGATCTAGGCATGGCATTTCAAATTGCGTATCACTTGTGAAGTAACAATCGAAGATGTGGCGTGGGGCCACCCTCGCTGTCGCCTGTGTCGCCCTAATGACACACGCTGCGACTGCGGCGCTTATGTCTATTGACCTGGGCAGCGAGTACCTGAAAGTTTGCCTTGTGAAGCCAGGACGTACCCCTATATCAATAGCCGTAAACGAAATGAGCAAGCGCAAGTCGCCCGCGCTTGTGGGCGTCGTAAATGGCGAGCGATTGCTTGGAGAGGAAGCATTCTCGTTCGCTGTTCGGTATCCGGAGTCCATTTTTCAACGAGCTCGCGACTTCCTTGGGAAGGACCCCGACGACCCGACGATCGCTGCCATGCTTACCGAGCAAGGTCTGCCCTACAAGGTGGTTCCGCATCCTAAGCGCGGTGTAGCAAGCTTACAGCTTGCGGATGACACAATCTATTCTCCAGAAGAACTGGTGGTGAGTTACAGCTCGGGCCATGGGTAGTTCGCGTAATCCCTGTGCACCCACTTTCCGCGGAATACACATTCCCTCGACTCTGCACACTCTCTGTCGTCTAATCTCTACAACGCACGGGCTAGCTTTGTCTTTCGCTGCCCTGCCCCTGCGACCTGAAGCTCATCAGCTTTGCAACCCCCGCGTTTCACCTCTCCGCCTGGAACCATCCTTATACACATACTCAAACCGCCGCCGCTGCGTTCCTATCACACCTTTTTCACACATGTGCATACAAGTCCGCGCACCTATAGGCTTCGCATGGAAGGACGCCGCCCGAAAGAGCCTGGGTCCGAAGGTTCTGTAATCCGACCCAGATCCCGCAATCCCAGCGCACTGCCAAGCGCCCGGGGGCTCATCAGTCCTGGCATGCATCCCGGTCCCCACCTCTACTGCAGGGTTCCATCTTGTACTACGCCCGGCAGATTGCTGAGGCTCAGGCAGGGGCCCCCGTGCTGGACGCCGTGATATCCGTGCCTGCCTTCTTTGGCCAGCGCCAGCGCCAGGCCATGGCTGACGCGGCCCATCTTGCCGGCCTCAACCTTATGGGCCTAATAAACACCCACACCTCCGCTGCACTACAGTACGGCATTGAACGTGATTTTGCCAATCGCAGCCAGACTGTTATTCTGTACGATATGGGCAGTGGTACGACGGAAGTCGCACTCGTCAAGTACAGCACGTACACTGTTAAGGAGGCCGGCAAGCCGCGCACTTACAACCAGCTGGAGGTGCGAGACGTGGATTGGGACGCGTCGCTGGGCGCAAACCTGTTGGATATGGCGCTGGCGAAGCACTTTGCAGCCCAGTTTGCGGAGAAGAGCAAGCTGGATGTGGATGTCATGGCGCTGCCTAAGGCCATGGCCAAGATGCGGCGGCAGGTTCGGCGAACTAAGGAGATGCTATCAGCCAACTCAGCGGCGCCATGCACAGTGGAGGAGCTACACGATGGACGGGATTTTCAGGTACGGCATCGGCGGATGTGAGAGAAATAGGAGCTTTGAGGTGGGAGGGCGCTGGTGGTTTTCTTTGGCAGGGTGGCAGAGGTCGCGGTGTGGTTAGATGGTCCACAGACAGGGCGCAGATAGACAGGGCGCTCAGCTGAACCCAGACCATCTTAAGGGGCGGCGCTGTTTCCCAGGCTTCTACAAACACACCTTTCCCGACGACTTGGTTGGTTGAAGAGTGCTTGGACGGATGGACGTGTGTGCGTATCATGGATACTGCTGAAGGATGTGTGAGACCGTCGTGCTCAGGGGTCTCCCCTACACCAGGCTGCCCGCCCACACACGTCCATCTGTCGCTCCCACCTCCGTCATTAAGGACTTACACGTCATGCATCTTCTTTCTCAACTTGGCACTACTTAAGCCCTTTTCTTTCGTTTCCCGACAAACCCCATTGTCCCACCCGTGCAGAGCAGCATCACCCGGGAGGAGTTTGAGTCCTTGGCTGCGGACTTCTTCTCCCGGGCCACTGCACCATTGAAACGCATTCTGGAGCGCAATGGTCTGCAGCCCGAGGATATTGACGCGGTGGAGCTGCTGGGGGGAGGCTCTCGGGTGCCCCGGCTGCAGGCGGCCCTGTCGGAGGTGCTGGGAGGCCGCGGACTGGACAGGTGCGCGGTGGTGAGGCTGGGAGAGTGGCAGAGTGGGCATGGGCGAATTACAAAGAGAGGCGTTTGTTGAGCGTTAAGGAGACAGGACACGGGGCCGGTTAGCGGGCTTGGCTGGTACGCCGCATATCAGCGGGTCTGCTGCTGCTGCTGCGGAAGTTCTTGGAGGGGTAATGGGTATTTCGACGGAATGGTGGCTTGAGGGGAGTCATCTGGGAATAATGACTGTGGCGGGGGAGGGCTTCCTGCGGCGCACCCTAAATCCATCCCCTGGGCCACACCTACCCTGCGTTGCCTTCCATCCATGCTCTGCTCAGGCACCTGGACGCGGATGAGGCCATCGCCCTGGGCGCCGGCCTCTTCGCTGCCAATCTATCTACCAGCTTCCGGCTTCGAAAATTCGGCATGGTAGACATGACTATGTACGGCATCTCGCTGACGTTGGATCATGTGGTCCTGGCCGGTGGCGAGGACGAGGCGGCCGCGAGTGAGAAGCCGGCGGGCGGCGAGGTTAGTTGGGAGGGGTGTTTGTGCCGGAGCTGCGGAGGCTGATGAGGGCACCCTAAGAGTCTTTAACTTCGTTCATTTTCCCCACCTTTTAGGGAGGCCAGGCATACCTTTTGACTTCTCGCCACCGCTGCTAATCATCTGCGGGCCCTGCATCAACTGACAACTCCATCCCTCTCCGTGGACCTACTCGCAGCCCTTCCTCAAGGTGCGCAACCTGTTGCCGTACATGAAGAAGCTGCCAAACAAGCGTGTCGTGAAGCTGGAGCGACTGGCCGGCGACCCGCTCCGGTTTTCCCTGGCATACAACGCCTCCACACATCATGGCCTTCCGCCGGGAGTCCGATCACCCGAGCTGGCGGAGTTTGAGGCCACCGGCGTTGAGGAAGTCATCCAGCGGTACAATACCAGCGGCCTGGTATGGAGTTGGTGGGGGACGGGGAGGGGAGGTAGCACTGCCGGAGGAGGGTCAGAGATGTCCGGTCGCCGGATACGTGAATTGTGAAGTAATTGTGAAGTAATTGTGACGCTAAGTGAGGTCTGAGGAGAAGGGAGGGGCAGCTCCCGCGGCGCTGGTGGTGGTGGTGCGGGCCCGGGCTGGTTTTCGGATAGCGACATGTTGGGCACCACCGACAGACTCTTTGTCCCGCTGCCGCCCTGGGTTCGGTAACGCCGCCCATCACTGTCACCTCCCTGGGGTCCCATGTGCTGCGTCCCTCGACATCTGGTGACTGATCAGGTGTCGTTGCGGTTCGAGGCGGACTACAGCGGCCTGTTTCGCCTGGACAAGGTGGAGGCAGTGGTGGAGTACGAGGTGATGGAAGAGAAGATAATTGAGGTTCCAGTCAACGAGACAATCGATACGAACGTCACCGCCACCGCTGCCAGTGGAGAGCAGGGGGCGGCGGCGAACCCCGGCAGCAGCAAGGGCGATGCTGGCGCTACAGGGTCGGATTCCGAGGCAGAAAAGGTTGCGAGGGGGGCCAAGGAGAGCCCCAAGAGTGAGGCGGACTCGGACACGGACGATAACGGAGAGGGTGAGGCCGAGGAGGAAAACGACGGGAGCAATGGCAGCGGCACCAGGCCCGAGGAGGGCGAGGCGGGCAGTGAGAGCGAAGCGAGCGAGGCTGGAAGTAAGAAAGGAGCGGAAAGCGGCGGCGGTGCGGCGAAGGAAGATGCCGCCGGTCAAGAGGTAAGGTGGTAGCGAGGGGGGCCTTTCGTAAACGACATACATAGGCTAAGGCGCGGCAGAGTGTCCCTGGGAGGTTTTAGGATTTACAAAAAGCGGTACAATATTCTGTCGACCGTGAGAGGGTGGATGCAAAGCAGGGACTGCCAGGCCAGTGATCAAGGGTGAAGCTATACACCCCTACTTCACACAATCAAAGGCGGGAAAGAATTGGGACTCGTTGTATAGGCGTGTGGGGAGGGGTGCAGCAGCACACGGACCCCTCACGGGCACAGACCCCTGGTTGTGCAGCACCGTGTGGCACGTGGCATGGTAAGGGTTATGGTGCTTACATGCATAGGAGGGCTCGATTATGTGGCGTGTGTCCTGATGCTGTTGGCTGAACTGGGTACCTGAGGAGTACCACCAATGGCCCGTGATGTCCAGCGGCGAGGTGGGGACGTGGGGAAGGAAACCGGCCACATGCCATGACGCTCTGTCCACAGCACCAGGACGACCTCTTGGCCATTGGGTGTTGCGGTTCTGGACCTCCATTCAACGCCCACAGCATGCATCGTCCACGCTAATACTAAGCCACACAGTGCTTCTGAGCCCCAACCCGGGGCCGTTTGCCCCACGCTATCCATCATCTCGGGAGGGGATGAACATCTCCGAAAGGGGAGTCCCTACCCTTTCGTGGCCGCTTAGAGCGCTGTTGCTGCTTCCGCTGTCGGGAACAACGCAGGGAGTCCCCGCGAACACCACTGGTGCTGGTAGCAACGGCACCTCTAAGCCCGCCACCACCATCAAGCGGATCCAGGTCCCCAAGGTCAAGGTGGCAAAGGTGGGTTGCAGGTTCCTGGTGGGTGAAGGCATCTTCTTAAGGTGGGGGCTTCTTACGCGCTCACAGATCCTCACTTGCACCCTGCATGTGTTCATATCGAAGGGGGCCGCCGGAGAGGTGCACCTTGCCTTGTGTGTGGGTTATGCTCTCCTGTCCAACCACTTCCCCTGCATTGTCCCCGCAGGTGCCTCTCAAGGTTGGCGGGAAGGGCTGGCTGTCTCCGCCGCTGTCAGACAGCGACCTGAGCGAGGCTAAGCAGGTCCTGTCCAAGTTTGTGGCTGCCGAGGCTCGCAAGCGTGAGGTGGCTAAGGCACGGAACGATCTGGAGAGCTACATCATTGCTATGAAAGAGGCACTGGAGACCGACGAGCTTATGCAGAAGGTGCGGCAGCTGTTGGCGCGTGTGTAGAGTGGCCGCACTTAGGTGCCCCGGCCGTTGTAGCGGTGGTGGTTGTCATGGTGACACCTTTAATCCTGCGACCCGCACGACCGCGTGTGGTAGTCACATAGCGTGCCGCAGGTACGGCTGCCCCTTCGCTCGTTACGCCGCACAGCTCGCAACCTCCTCTCCTATCCCTCCCCCCCCACTCCGCTGACATCCGCCGTCTCAATCCGCCTCCCTTGCCATCTACTTCCCGCCCTTCCTCTCCCTCCTCCCGCTTCTCTTCGCACAAAGGTGAGCACGGAAGAGCAGCGAGAGTCTTTCCGGAGCCGGTTGACCGACGAGGAGGACTGGCTGTACATGGAGGCGGACGAGAATGAGGGCGCACAGCAGTTCAAGGACCGGCTGAAGCAGCTCAAAGACATCGGGGAACCCATCAAGCGCCGTGCGGAGGTGGGTGGCCGCGGGGGTAGGGTAGGGGTGGTATACTGGCTTCGTGGGGCGGTACCATTGGGCGTGTCGGGATGCAGAAAGTTCAGATCGGCGCACCGGCTGAATGGGTTCTGGCAGCATGCGGGTTTGTATGGTGAGGTGTATTGGGGAGCTGAAGGGCCGTGAGGGGCGGAAAGCTGTGTACTATTGACAGCCCGAACGTAACGGCTGAACGAAACGGCCGGCTTGGAAGGGGCCCCGGGGTAGAGGATGGATAGCCTTTGCTCGTTCCCTTGAGTTCTTACCTCCTGACCCCTTACCCCTGGAACCCACTTCATGTACGACATCCAGGACCTGGAGTTGCGTCCTAAGGTGGTGGAAGAAATCCGCAAGCGCCTGGAGCTGCAGCGTTCCGTCGTCAAGGCCTGGCCGGACACTAAGCCCTGGATTTCGGAGGTGGAAAGGGAGGACATCACTAAGCTGGTGGGTGAACTGGTCGTGTTGGGTGGCAGGGTGTTCAGGCAGCCGTGCTGTGGTGTTAAGGACGGTGGGATGGAAATGGTGCATCGTTACTGAACTGCCATGTGAGCCACCCCAGTGCTGCTCGCGAGCTATAATCTCCGCTCTCTTGTACATCCCGTTACGCCGTCAACTTTCTGTATGTTTGTGATGTCTTGGCGCAGGTGTCCGATATGGAGTCGGACCTGGAAGCTAAGGTGGCGGCCCAGTCCGCGAAGGCTGACCACGAGGAACCAGCCTTCGCCGTCTCGGATCTGCTACAGGCTTGGGAGCGGCACGAAAAGGCCTTCAACAAGGTCAACAACAAGAAGAAGCCAAAGCCGCCGCCGGAGCCCAAGCCCGCTTCCGGTTCCGAAAACGCCGACGCCGCGGGAGGTGAGAGATAAGAGCGTGTGTATGCGGGCCGTTGTGAGGGCCTGCTGCCTTGCTCAGCTTCGCTTGGTTTTGAGTAAGTTGCGATATCCCCAACCTGCGGTACATCACATTGTTAGCCTGAATTGTATGTGTTGCCTGTCTGAATGTGTTTATATCGTCCAGGTGGGGCAAGTATTGGCAGATCCGGCACTATACCAGGTGCCTAGCTCTCGAGTGCTTTGTTCTGGCGATTCCTTAGGAAGTTCTGTCCTCTCGGTAAAAAGATGTTGTGAAAACGGCGAGTACGACTGAGACCCTGGCAGGTTAACTGTTGCGCCTTACCTGGTGTACCATTACTGTATGTTTATGCACACATATATGCACGCAGGTGCAGGAGCCGGAGAGGGTGCTACGGGAGACGCACCCGGCGACGCTAAGGCAGAGCCTGAGCAGAAGCGCGCGGGCGGCCAGGGATCTGAGGAGGGCACCGCGGGCGCTGCTGGCGGTGCGGAAGACCAAGAAGCAACGAAGCGGGAGGCGAAGAAGGCTGGCAAGGCGGAGGGAGAGACGAAGGAGGCGAAGAAGGCTGGCAAGGCAGACGGGGACACGAAGGAGGCGAAGAAGGACGGCAAGACCAAGAAGGAGCAGCCAAAGAAGAACAGCAAGGGGAAAAAAGAACCAAAGAAGGACAGCAAAGCAACGGAAGACACGAAGAAGGAAAGCAAGGCAAAGCCTGACACAAGGAAGGAGTCGAGCACGAAAGGGAGCGAGAAAAAGGATCAAAAGAAGAGTTGGTCTTGGAATAAGAGAGGGGAGGAACTCTGATCAGCGAAACCCCCATTGGCAGCTGAATCAGAAGGACGGAATTCGCATGTAAAGGAACGCAACGAACGGGCTTTCTATGCATCATTTGGCACCAATAATTAATTGGTAATCCATGCCGCCAAATAGTTTTAGGGCACATGATGTTTGCGAACAGGGGTGCGTGCAGGGGTAGGGAGGAATGCTGTGTCAAGGAATGGCATCTAGTGTAATGTGTCATGGTGGCTAAAAGGACATGTCGGATGTTTCGGGATTGATTCTTGAACTCAGAGCTGACCTGAACTTTTTCGGACAATTCTTGACAATCATGTAACCAATATACTTCAAGCAGATTTCCCTCATTCCCATGTAAGAGCACGGGAGCCATGCCTTCATTGGCAGGCCTCAAGATATAGAGTACTATGGCCATCGAAGCGAGGGGTTAAGAGGCATACCTGTCCTGCTGCTTCGCATAAGTCAACGGTTACCATGTCATAGGAGCGATAAGGAATTCTATGCCCGTCAGTTTGCAAATAACTCCATTTGCACCAGGCAGGTCACAGGGAGTGCAAATATGACGGGAATGAGATTGGTACTCCTAAACGTACCGACCTGAAGTACTCATGGCCGTCCCTATTTTAGGGGTTCTTCGAAAGTCGTTATGAAACCCATACCTAAGGAGTAGCTGTTATGGTTATGCACTGCGAGTACACCTATATCAGGCAGTTTGGGGCGCCAACTAAGGGCAATTGAGGAAGGTGCGAATGTCGGTAGTATGCGCAGCCAACATATCAACTTTGTGAGCTGACCAGGAACTAAGTTGAGGCGCCGTTGATCCGCTAGATTTGGTTGGATGCTAGTGGTGAGTTGCCAAACTCAAAGAGTTCACTCTGAAGTCGGATGGGGTGAATGGATTAGGGTGCCCCTTAGGGAATTGCCTCGGGACGGAGGCCACTGGTGAAGCTTAACCACCCTGTAACAACATCAACAACATATAATTCCCCAGAGATGGTTCACCTCGTGACATCAGCGAAGCAGATTCAAGGCCTAAAGTGCAAACCTCGCTGCGCCAGCCGCCCAAATCAAGGTTCCTTCTGGTCAGGTAAGGCCGACGGATCTGTGGAAAAATCCCGTCCATTACACACACGGCTCTGCGCCGTTTATGCTGTGCTGTGGAGCATCCAGGCGCTCCATACGGAGGCACAGGGTGCCCAGTTGACATTTCACGGCATGCTCTCCGCCGCTACTCCACGCAACGCCTCCCCGCATCCCCAATGCACACTGCGTTGCGATCACGAGAGGTCCGTAGGACACCTGAAGCGCCCCTGTTTTATGTAACTGAATGCATGACTCATCCCCGCCACACACAGACACTATTACGGACAGGTCGCAACACCACGACGCTTTAAGCAAGCTTCTGCCCGTGTGCCCAAAAACCATTGCAAATGCTTACCACGCAGGGTCACAATACCTACAGTGCTTCTCGAGTCAACAGCTTGCGTTCAAAGGCGAGATCAACGTTAGCTCCTCTTCAATAGCAGAACTTGCCGGTCCTTGTAAGAAGGTCGTCAACATGCCGCATGCATTCACAAGGCAGTACAAACTCTACGAGACAACGCGGAAAAATGTCGAGTCAGCTATATCCTAAAAACGGTTCGGTCATCGTCGCAGGAGGACGGGACTTGCAAGGTCAGACCTCTCAGCACGTGTTTTGAATTTCGGGAAACCGCTGGCTGACCCACAAGTAGCCCCGCCCTGTCACCACGTGCATCCCCCTTCCAAAACTAATACATGTTTGCGTACCAGCACTTAGAAAAGCTTCCGCCAAAAACGGTTCTCGGCACAGGTCGTCACTTATTCGGTCATACAGTCGGCAGCTAAGACGTTCTCTTGGATGCCTCTCGCCAATAGCTCTCGGTCAAATGGTTGCTGACGGCCAATCCCGCAAGTTCTACGCATGGGTGAGCTGCTCCGAAGAATCTGCGCCGGAGGACTAGGCAATGGAGGCCATAAGATGCTCCAAAACCACTGGACTGGACCCAACAATTTCGACTGAAGCCGTGCTACAACGCTGTGCGCTTGCGGATCCACACAAGAGGCATGTCACTGTGAAAGCTGCATAATAGCACGGGCACACGCTCAGGTCCAAACCTTTTACGGGACAATGGTGCGATGTGATCGCCGCTACTGTCCTCAGCCGTAACACTCTAAGCCGGCGTGAGCGCATATATAGCCATTTGACTGCTCTTTGGCCGAATCAAGATTGCAAGGCTCAAAACTCCAGCTATAAACGATAGCTGCAGCCTCTAAGTAATCAGTGGTATCCGGCTGTATCCTGCGCTTATCGTTGCTGTACCACTACTACGGCTGCACAACCTACGGTTGTACGACTTGCGGCTGTACGACCGCCGGCGACGACACGCCAATGGGAACGCTCGCGCTGATGGTGGCCGTGGCCGGCGCAGCTGCAAGGACGTACTGCCCCTGCATCTGGCTCGTCACAAGCGAGGGCATTTGCCCCGTGACGAGCAGGTACTGCTGCCCCGTGTTAATTATTTGTTGGCCCAGTCCCAGCTGGGCGGGATACGGCATGGGCACAATGCCACGATGTGCCAGCGCTGCCAAGCTCTCGACCGGCGGTAGCAAGTGGTAGATGAGCGTCTGAGGACTGGCTGTCCCAGCGGACGCCTGGACAGTGCTGAGGGGTTGCGGTAGGGCTAAGGCAACCGCAGCGGGTGAAACTGACTCCGTCCCGGCTGGTCCGCCAGACGTCGTGTAGCCCGATGAAACAGCGTGCGGCTGTTGTTGCTGTTGCTGCTGCTGCTGCTGCTGTTGCTGCTGGGTATGGTTCTGTGCAGTTGCGGACTGCTGGTGCTGACTTTGCCGTTGCGACTGTTGTTGCGGTGAAGAAACTACTATCTGCTGCTGTAGCTGCAGTTGCGCCTGGTTTTGTTGCTGTTGTTGCTGCTGTTGGTCGCGATGCGGTCCTTCCTCAACGTCTTGCGCAGCCTGATCCATCTGGAGGTGCACTCGCGTCCGCAGCTCCTTAGCAGAGCGCGGATGCATAACGCTGCTCGCGGCCTGTGGCCCCGTGGGACCATCCACTTCTGCAAGCAAAGAACAAGAAGGTTAGTTCCAATATTCAATCATAGACAATCCCGAGCAACCTGCGTAATGGGGCCATACACCCATTCCATGACACGCTACAGGCTGCGCAACTCGATGCTATTGCCTGCTAACGTAGGCTCCAAGTCGAGCCACGTCGGACGGGATGCGAGGGGCTGCGCTACCAGCCATGTGTAGTCTTACGCAGACTGCATACCCAGCAAAACGCACCTACTGAGTCCGCTGGGGGTGCCAGGTGATGGGTCCCCCGAGTCTCTGTCTCGTCCATCTCCTCCATGGCTGTGGTCACTGCTCCTCGCCCGCTGGCCTTATCCTGATGGAGCGCGATGGTCAAGGGAGGGAATGATTATTTCGCAAGCAGACAGGCTTTCAGGGATGCTGCGCGTTGCTCAGTACATATCTGCAAATGCGCGCATATACTGCACGCGGTAAGGTGCCGGGGAAGCTAAAGCATTTCCATGTCCACCCCTACCACATCCATCATTTGTCCAGCAAGCTGACGTCATAGCAAATCGAGACAGCCTCGGAGAGGCGCCACCCTTCGGAGGTCCCACGATTGGGCCTGATGCGACCAACATTCCCCCAGCAACGGTTCGGCATCATGGCGCTGGCCATCTCCGGAACGGCTTACCTCCCCTCTTCGCTGCTCCGGTTGTTGTGACGGGGAGGCCGCTCCACCACCAGCGCGTGCACCCATCTGGTGCTCAGCACCGCTGAGAACGCTCTGGTGGGACGCATGCTGACCGCTTGAGAGGGCTAACGTTGGAGAAGCTGCTCCTGTATCCGACGAGGGCGCCCGGCGCTTGGCGTCTTGATCCTCCTGCTCCGCACCACACCGCTCCCCGAGCTCCGCCGCCGCCGCAGCCAAAGCCTCCAGGCCCCCGCTTCCCTTTTCGTACTTCGAATTGTCAAACTTTTCGGACAATTTTTGGTTCTCGTACTTTTGGAATGCACTGCTTGCGAGCCGGACATCCCCTGCAAAGCCGATTTCGGCGAAAGCCAATTACCATGCTCTCATTCTCGCAGGAGGCGCTCGCCTGTATCCTCTTTACAAAGACCAGCAGCGGCGTATGCGATGATCCCTTCTGGCATCCCATTGACTGATCCCGCATTCAATGCTACAGCAAGTCATGTTCCCATCAATCACTAAAACAGCCCCGCACCTGGCCGGCTGGACGCCTCCCTGCACGTTTCCTTTGTTGTAAGCACCTTGGTACCAGTGTCCGACGTCGTCGTGGGCTTAGCAACACTACCCCCTTCATGACGACCCGAAGTGGTCGGCCCCCCAGACGCCGCGGGCACGGCGGCAGCAGGCTGCTGTTGCTGCTGTGATGTTGTCGGCTGCTGTTGCTGCTGCTGTTGCGGTGACGCCTGCTGCTGCGTTTGCTGCGGTGGCGCCGGGAGCGTCTGCTGGCTGGGCTGCAGATGCTGAGGCGGTTGCTGAGGCGGTGTAAGCACCGGCGCCAGCCCGGCATAACCCTGAAGCTGATGGGATGCAACGGGCTGTTGAATGGTTGTGAGCGACGCGGCCGTCTGTGCCTGACCGGAGACTCCCGACAAAGTACCAGGTGTCCCCTGTGCCTGCTGGCCTTGTGAAGCGCTAGACTGCGGCCCTGGCGGAGCACCTCCGCGGACGCGGATGAACGACGAACAAAGAAAGGGCGCGGACACAGGTTCACCTTGGGATCGCAGTGCAGAGGGCAACCATAGGCCACAATCCAAACATCTTGCGCATTCGTTTGCAATAAGATGCGCGGCTTGAGCGCGCATGATGGTGCAGCGTTGGTGCAGACACAGAAAAATTATAATACAGTATACCTGTGCCCTGCGCAGATGCCAACAGGTCTGCTCCAACATAAAGCCTTCCCACCACACATGAGTACACTTGTCCTACACGAAGACTGCGCAATACCCTTCACGGAACCCCTGGCAGGATAGACGCAAACGCACAGCGAGGGACACGCCAGCTCCCTACCCGCTCCGGATGCCTGCTGTGCTGGCGCCTTGGCCCACCCAGCCGTGCCGCCTCCCAGCGGATGGCCTGCTGAAATGCCGTGCGAAAGGACCTGCATCACGTGACCGGCCTGCGCACCGGCCAGGCCTCCCTGCGGCAGCACCATCAACCTCGCCTTCAGCTGCGCCGCCGTATCCATGCTAGCAGCAGCAGCAGCAGCAGCAGCAGCCGCATTACCCGACGTGGACGGGCTCGGTGCCATGGCTACAAGCGCCGGCGGCCCCCCCGGTGCCGCCGCCGCCTGGGCCTGGTGGGCTGTTTGCGCAGGGTAGCCTGGGGTGACACCAGCTGGCGGTCCCACCATGGGCGCGCTCAGGCTCACCACTCCGCTGGCACCAGCGCTGGGCGTGAACCTCTCCACCACGCGGCGCACCATGTCGTGGGTTGTCTGCAGGTCACCCAGCTTGTTAGACGACGTGGTGTTGCGCTTGGACTCGGCCTCCTGTAGTACCTTGAGCGCCAGATGCCAGAGCTCCAGCTCGCTGTATTCGGAGAGGTTGATAAAATCCATGCCGCTGCTGCCGGGCTTTTTCCGCCGTTTCGGAGCTGGAGGCTGCGGGGGCCACGCCGCTGCCGCCAATCCATGGGGAGCATGCTGCGCGAAATGCCCGGCGACTTGCGTGTATACTGCCTGGCCGCCCTGCGCGCCGGCGACTTGAACCGACTGCTGCACAGGCTGGGCGTATGGGAGAAGAGGTGGACGGAGGCAGTGGCAGGTGCGGCACAGCAGCAGGGGGGCTCATAGTGGTTGGTACAGTTGACCAAGTTACAGCAGGACATCGAGCTGACACGACGACCTGTGCACCCGACGGCATATTGAATTATCAGGAGGTTCAAGGGCAAAAGCTTCCAGGCCGTCGAAAACCCGAGACTGGCTGGAAGTTATTGTACAAGGCGGCATCGAAAATATGGGTGGCAGCTTGGAAAGCAGCTAAGGAATCAACGTAACCTGCGCACTTGCCTGCACGACGTCAATCTCGCCCAAGTGACCATTGCCAAGTAACCGCTTCACTCCGGGCTGGGCGTCTACGCTGTTCAGCTGGCCGAAGTCTCCAGGCCCCGCTGCCACGGCTCCCGCTGCCACCGCAGACGCGTCCACCAGCATGAGCTGCGGCCCCACTGTAGCGGCAAGCTGCACTGGCGCCGGCGGCCGCTGGACTACCGGCGGCAGTTGCCCCGTCTCCTCATATTTTTTCTGGACTTCACGTACAGCTTCCTTCCGGAGCGGCAATGGCCAGGCTTGCGGGCACAGGCCTGGCCAGTCACACGCGATATCCGTGTTTACGGAAGGATCGGATTCACGGTATGATCAGCCCACGTTACCAACGTTCACGGAGCAATAAGTTGACGGTAGAATCGGTATACGGGATACGTCGATACGTCTAAGTAAGTTAGGCCGAAAAGCAGTGTCGAAGTTTGACCGTGTCATTACAGTATCGAAGACTCAGGGATATGGCAGAAATATGTTGATTGTATTTCGTTGCACAAGTGAGGTAATACTCACGGAGCTTCTCCAGCTCATCGTTCAGCGTCTCCCAACTTCGGCCGGGTAGGCGCCGTGCACACCGCAGCGCCTGGTCAGGCGTGATCGGCGCTCCGCGCGCCCACGTAAACAGCTCTGCAGCCGCAGATGCCGTCAAGGAATCGTGGGAATGTGCGACGGTTGTGGTGTTCGTTGCCTTCTGAGCCACAGCATGCACAGCACGCGTTTCAGCTAACCCTCACCGCTTAGATAAGCAGCCCAGCCGTTAACGAGGCCCCAATCGGGATATGGCGGCCCGTCATCGCGCAGGTCCTGGCTGCGGCCTAGGACTTTGTTCAGGTAATCCTTTATGTGCTCCTCCTTCACTCTGTTACCGCCTCCGCCTTCGTCAGGTACGGTCAAGAAACGGCTCGACTCCGGCATAAGCTTTACTAGAATCCTAACCAGCTGCCTCATCTCGTCCATAGGTCCACGCCTACTGGCCTAGGGGAAATAGGATGGGCGATGGAAAGAAGCCCAGGGAAGGGGTGTAGGCAAGCCGCTTCTAAGGAAACCGCGAACCTGAGCCGAAGAAACGGCGAGGAAACGTTTGAATGATACATCAAGCGCCGTCCAAGCGTTATTTTGGGATATGGGCGTGCCATTTGTAATCGACGTCGTTGTGAAGACACCTTACCTTGCTATTCTTGTGCTCGCCATGGCCTTTCGTCAAAGAGGGGTGCCTCGGCTGAGGGGGAGCGGTCAGGACCCCAGTTCCGGTGTCTAACAAGAAGCCATTAGGAAACAGTGGCATGGCTGTCGGCGTTAAGCCCATCCCCAAGCCCATTTGAATGGGCAAAGGCCCAGGCCCTGGCCCTGGAGGAATCACTAGTTCTGGCGGAGCAGGGAGAAGCCCTACAGTTGCTCCCATGTTGTCGAACTGCGAATCGCTCAAGAACTGCGAACCCGACTGGCCCGGGATGAGGCCCTTCTGAGATGGCTGAGACGAGCCAACACGCCATGTAGAGTTTTGTACGTCCGTTGCTGCATCGGGAGGAGACAGAGTCGGTAAACTAAATGGTGCTAGGGTGTGCGCCAAGTCCTGTTCTTCAGAGCTCATGGCTCCAAATTGATGAACAAGAACCTTGTAACGGCCAAGGTGTCAGCTCAAGTAGCAACCATGCAATCCAAGTAGTGCCATGTCTTCCGCTTGCATAGCACAGGGGCTTGCTGTGGAAAATTGAAGACTGCCGTGCTGTCCTCGGCAAAGACGTGCCGTGCTGTGTCGCCAAAAGGACAGCATTACAGTAGCCCGGCATGGCACAGCGTCCCGACCTTTGGTATTCTTTCACTTAAAGGAATTCCTTACACGGGCACTAACTTGTCCCAGCTGTCCAGCAGCTTCGGTGTAAGAGGCCCTGAGACCGGCAATCTTTCCGCCACAGCCGTGAAAATCGCGTCTAATGTATTGCGATTGGAACGACTTGGCGTAGCACGCCGCATTCCTGCCAAGCAAATAAGTACGCGAGCCACGCTCGCAGCCGTTGCACTCGCTGCACTAGTCGGCGTGTCCCCCGTATCCGAAAACTCCGCCGCCGCAGCGCCTTCCCCAAGGCCTAGGCGCTTGGACAGGAGAGCCAGCAGCGCCGTCAAGTGGCTCTGCTTTACCGGCATCTCCAACGCGCTGATGGCACCCAGCCCCTGCACCAGCGGTTCGACATCCTGGCTAAACATTAGCAGCTCCTCCAGGCTGCCCCAAAAGCCTTCAACCGCCGGCGCCAGCCACTCACTGGAGGGCCGCACCTCGAAACCAGCAAGCGTAGCAAGCAACCTCGCCAATAGGGTCGCGGGCAGCTCCCCCTGCCTGCAAGGCGCAAGCAATACCCTCCACGGAATCACTTTTCGCTGTGACAGGAAAAAAACCGTACTCCTCCCGCGATGGCAATTCCATAAGCCCCGGGAGGCCTTGCATAAGCAAGCAGGAGTAGTACTTTTCCCATACGGCTCCCTCCCCAGCCTCGCCGGCTGAAGTAATGCAATGTATGGTAAACCCCTCCCCACGCACCCACCGCCGCATGCACATCCACTACTCCCCCAGCCACGCCCATACGCCCATATACACACACCCTCCCAACGCAACACAGCGCACCCACCTTCCGACCAATGCAGCCAGCGCATCGTCCAGCCATGCATCTGTGGGTCGCACTCGCAGGTCCCATAGGCACACCAGGAGCGCCGCCACACTCACTGCGGACAGGGCCGCACGCCGAGTCCCCATGGCCCGAGTCGCCGACAGCAGTGCAGCCGCCCACTCGCGCCCCGGCGCATGACCCAGTCGCTGCAGCGCCAATGCCAGCGCAACCGCCTCCTTTGCGCCACACAGACATACGTACAGACACAGACACATCAGTCGCAGGCAAAGGGGCAGTCGGTTGCCAAACCGCACAGCTGCGTCCCGGGCTCTCAGCTCGGAAAGGAAAAGCGAGAGACGGGGGGAAAACGCAAAGGTTACTGCACAACTTTGACCACCTGTAGACAGGTGCACATGCGAAGGCATAACATGAGCTGACGAGCAACCTGGTTGCGGCTTCGCGACCAGGCGGCATGGCCAGCCAAGTGAAGATATCTCCCTTTCCTTTGTCCCCCAGCATACCCAATGTGCGGCAGCGTCGTACCTCAGCCTGGCAGCCCCGCAGCAGGGGCAAGCTGGCGGCCTCCGCAGCCCCCAGCCAGCTGGACCCCGGGGCCAGGTCCAGCGCCAGTACGGACATCAACAGCTCCAACAACTCTCCAACCTCCAACGGCCGAGACCCGCCTGTTGTTGAGCCAGCAGCAGTGCCGGACGCCGCTTCCGTCGCCTGCGACCCTGGATCTCCATACCGTGCCGCGGCACCCCCTGGAGCTCCACCATGGCCATTGCTAGGGCCGCTCCCTCCTGCTGACCTCTCGGCTGAAGCCGCCGCCGCCATTTCTTGTGCGCTGTCGCCGAAAAAGGCGGTACGGCTGGCCCGCAGAAATGCCTCGCCCCATTCTGCCAGCGGCGGCGAGGCCCACGTCACCGCCGCCTGGGCCGTCCGCAACAGCTGCCGCCGCTGCGACCACACTCCGCCCGCTAACAGCATGGCCCCCACCTGGCTCAGCTGCAGCACCGAAACCCAGTCCACCGGGGGAGCCACACGCACGACACCGCCGCCATTCTCACGCCGAAGGTGCCGCGGTGGCGGCGGCACGAGCTCACCTGCCGCCGCCGCTTCTGCCACTGGTGCCGGCGCCGGCAGCGCCGCTGCGGCCCGCGGGCCTCCTAGCAGCTCAACACATCGCGCCGCCATATGCCCCGCCCATGGCGAGACGCCCTCCGGCAGCGGCGCCGGCAGTTCGCCCGTACGGAGGACGGCCCACGTGAGGAAGCGCTGGAGGCGCGGAAGCGAGTCGGTGCCGGTGGCGGCACCGTCGAACAGCGGCGGCGCCAGGTCGGCCAGCTCATCAGCCAGCACGGAGTCTGGAGCTACCAGGGAGGGGTCTAGGAAGGGGACTTGTTCGGTCCAGTAACGCCAGAAGGGACCGACCTGTGGGTCAGTGATGCGCTCGCGAAACTCCGCCTTCAGGCGCTCCACCATTTGGAGGTCTTGGCGGCGGGACTGCGACCGGCCCGGGGAGAGGTTGGTGAGGGGTTGGTGGTGGCGGTGGTGGACGTGAAAGTGAAAGTGATGGCAGTGGTGGTGGTGATGGTGGTGGCGGAGCAGGAGGAGCGAGGGCGAGTGAGCGGGGTGGGGGCACAGAGACCAGCAAGGGGAGGTACGGAATTGGGCTGATTGCGGAGGGTGGAGGGTTAGGAAGCAGACGGGCCACATTTGGGTCGCAAGCCATGCGCCGCCGAAGCCAAATGGTAGCTGGAGGTGCGGATGTGGTCAGCAGCCGGGCTGAGGAAGTGGACAGAGACGGAGACCGGAGATCGAACATGGAGGGCAGGCACGAAGATACTCAGCGAGGGAGGGCTCACCATAGGAACAGTGCGAAACAACTCAGGGGGTTGACTCCGCTGTACAGCCAAGTAACCATGGATAGCGCAGTAGGAGGGGCTGTGGATGGGGGATACTATGAAGGGTTTCCCCTGGATGGTACTGCTCAACGACCTGGACGGACACCAAACACGGTCCCCTCGCCGCCGTCAAGGTGACAGGGACTCGCTTGGGCGCCCCTTCCCGACATCCGTTCGGATGCCAAGTCTGAGTCGGCGACTTTCCTCCTCTAAACCCTCACCCTCCCCTTCGGACGCCGTACAGTTGATCCTGTGCTCCGAGGACACGGTTTCCCCCCTTTCCCCCCTTTCCCACCCCCTCCCCGGGTCTCACCCGCCGGGCAACCGCCTCAGACATCAGCATGGCATCCGCGGACAGTTGACCGGCGCTGGCTTCCCAGAACTCAATAAGGAACAGCTCTATGGCGGGAACATCAAAATCTGGATCCGAAAGGAGCGCATCCAAGGCCGCGTCGAGATCCGAACCGTCCAAATCTGACTCAAAATCCAGATCCAGTTCCGGATTCAAATCCTCCGCGTCCGGGTCCTCATCAGCTTCCAGGTGATCCTCCCTGGAGTTCCGCCCGAAGCCAGCACCCGCTGTCTCACCCTGCTCCACTACCCCCCCATCCGCTGCTGCTGCTACTGCCTCCACCTCGCGCCCCATTTCCAGCAGTAGCACCCCCTCCAGCAGGTCTGCCAGGTCGTGTGTGTCGCACTCGTGCAGTGCCCTGGCGGCTGACAATTGTAGCGCCGTGACCCACGGGTCTTCGGGCTGGTAGCCCAGTCGAGCCAGGCCGTGCGCCAGCCGGGAGAGCTGCGGCCCGGTGAAGGCGGACAGGGAGGCGGTGCTGCCCTGCAGCAGCGCCGAGATGAAGTCGGGACCTGCATGGCGCGCCAGCCAGGGAGGGGGAATGGATGCCGAAGTACGTGCACGAGGGTGGTGATTAAGTAGGGACCGGTGCGGCCGAGGGGGAACATATCGCGGCAGCGCAGTGTGTGACGAGGAGGGGGAGGTGACGGTTGACGGGGCCTGAGGGGCAGGACAGCGGGCGGAATAAACCCAGCCTACGGAACCATTGTGTACGAAGTGCAACGATACCAGCACGCACACAAGCGGCATGATGCGGCCCGGCACCTCCTCCGCATTATCCCTACCAGTACTGAGGGCCCCCGTTGTGTTTCAAGCTTAGGGCCCCTCCTCCGGAGTTGACATCACCTCGCACCTGGGTCGTACCCCAGCGCGTTACACACGTACAGCATGTTGGCTGGAACTTGCGGAGAGGCGCTCGGGAGCAGCGGCACACTGGCCGCCACCAGCTGGTCCAACCAGCCGCCGGGAGCTTTAAACACATAGCTGCCCGCACCAACACCGGCACCAGCACTGCCACTGCCATCACCAGCGCTGCTGCCGCCACTGCTCACAGCACAGCCACTTTCAGCACCGGTGCCCTCATCGCCAGGTCCACCAGCGGCACTGCTGCGGCGGTACCAAATTGCCTGGGCCCATAATAGCTGCTCTAACGCCTGACCCTTCCCGCTGCTGCCGCTGCCGCTGCCACGGGCCATCCGCTCCCCCGTAGCCGCCATCAGCAGCTGGTGCCATTCCGGTGTGGGCATCACCCACGCCTGTGCCATGGCGTGGGCCAGCGCCGCCTGGTCGGTCAGGGCGGTGGCCGGGTTGCGCAGCAGCGGCATCGTAGCGGCGCACAGAGCCGCAGACCAGGCGGGCTCCGGCCGCAGCATCAGCCGCGACAGACCCGTCAGCGCTGCCAGCAGGTCACCAAGTCGCGCTCCAGAGAACGCCGTGCGCTGCAGATAGCCCAGCAGCGGCAGCGCGGAGGTGCCCACGATAGCGGCGAGGGGCGGCTCCGTCACCAGCACCGCCAGCCGCGGTAGTAGCCGACAGACGTCGCTGCACGACACCCCTGGCACCGGCGGTGGTGGTGATGGTGCGGCGGCGGCTGCAGTGGTTGCCGCCGCAGTCGTCGCCTCGTTGATGCCGTCGACGCTGTGTGCTACAGCAGCCGGCTGCTGCTGCTGCTGCTGCAGTAGCAGCGCGGCACCGAGCCGCTCTAGCACCGGCAGTACCGGCAGCATAATGCCGTCCTGGTCCGGTCCTGCAGCCGCCTTGAGCTCTACACAGCCCCGCAGCAACTCCAGAGCCGACACAGAGTCCAGCGCTGCCAGGCCACCCGCCAGTGGCGCCGGCGCCGGCGGGGGCGCCAGCAAGACTTGCGTCAGCGCCTCCATCCACTCATCGCACAGCGGCGCCACCGCCGCTAGACGTGCTGCCGCCGTCACCATCGCCGCCAGCTCTCGTGCCGTCAGGCGTCGCGCCGTCGCCGCCACCGCACGCTGTGCCACGTGCCAGTCCGCAGGGCCCGGCCCCATAGCCGCCGCCGCTGCCGCCACTGAACCCCCCCTGGCAGCGCTGCTTTTCTGTGGCGATGACGGCGACGGCGGCCCTCCAGTCACAGCGCCGGCGGAGCCGTCGTCGCCGATGCCTCCACCACCGCCGCCGTTGTCGCTTTCCCTAGCATCCGACATCAGCTGTACCGCCTCGTGGAGGTCTGCGAGCTGTGTGAACGCAGCCACGGCCTGCGACGGGCGCATTGCCGGCCACACAGGTCGCAGCGCATTAAGGAGCTGTAGCAATGTCACCGGTGTGAGAGCTACAGCCCTGCTCTCACCTGCACCTAGCCCGGCGGCGGCTGGCGAGCTCGGGAGCAGCGCTGGCGGCGCCGCAAGTGCATGTGCCGCCTGAGCGATAGCAGCCAGCGCATCACACCACTGGTCCGTGGACAGCTCCGCGCCGGCGGCAGTGCGCCTGGGCGCGTCCATGAACCCCGGCTGCGACTCCGGAGATGCCAAGTCCAGCAGCCGCGACAGCGCAGCCGACAGGGCGACAGCGGCAATGAGATCCGCAGGCAGATGATGCCGCGACTCCCGCCGACGCTGCGGCGGCTGCAGCGGCTCCCGCTGCTCCGCCAACCGGCACGCGTCGAAGTGCGCTTGCCGTCGTGCCGCTGCGCAGAGTACGGCCACCAGTGACTCCGGCCGCAGCGATTGTACGACCTCTGGCAGCACCGCCAATATCGATGCTGCATACTGCTGCTGCGGCGGCGGCGGTGGCGGCAAGGGGGGGAAGCGCCGTGGGCCGCCAGCACGCGACGGAGCAGCAGGTTGTGGCGGCGACGGCGACGCCAGCGGTGACTCCACGAGTGCAAGTACGATATCGCGCCGCGCCGCCTCTGAGAAGAGCCTGCTGGTCTGAGGTTGCTGTGAGGCTGCCGCCAGGTGCAGCAGCTGGGTCAGACTTAGTTGTCGTACCCCTCCCAGGACTGCCGCAATGACGCGGGCCGCCAGGCCTCGTCCCCCCGTTCCCCGGGCACTTTCATATCCGCTTGCCGCGGCCGGCCCTGGCTCCACCACCGCGCCTCCCACCGCCTCTTCTTGCACATCAACTTGCTGCTGCTGCTTGCTTTGCAGAAGCTGCCGCAGCAGCGGCAACCGCGGCAAGAGCTCCTCCTCCAGCGCCACCAATGACGCCTCCAACGGCAGGAGCCACGCCAGGCCCTCCGGTCCCAGCGCGCCGCCGCCGCCGCCGCCTCCGGACCCCATCACCCTCCTGCCAATGCCTTCTTCCTCGCCCTTAAGTCGGCCCCCCACTGCGCAGCGAAGCACCTCCGGCGGCACCTCCAGGAGGAGGGAAGCCAGGGCCGCAGCGGCCGGCGGTGCAGGCGACGGCGCCGCCGGGTCTGTGGTTCCATCCTGACTAGCTGCCGTACGCGACGCTCGCGCCGTCGCCGTCCCTCCCGGCGGCGGTGGCGTTCCCGATGTGACGAGCCTAGCCAGCGCTGTGACGCAGGCGCCGAGCTGCGGCAGGGTGAGCCTGTGCGAGCGGACGTGTCGTAGCAGGGCCCGAGCAGCCGGTTCCAATATGAGGTGGGTGGAGCCCCTGGGGGCCGCTTGCTGCTGGTGCTGGTGCTTGTCCAGGCCGTCTTGGACACCAGCGGCACTATCAACCTGGGCCTTGGGGGCCGAGGGCGAGGGCGAGGTGTATTGGAGCTGCACCGCTGCGGTAGCGACGCAGCCATACTCATGCAGCGTCGCGGCGGCGGTCATCGCAGCCGCCAGGTGGTCTGGGCTGCATCCTGCCAGCTGGGGCGGCAAATAATGAAATAGAGTCGCTGTCAACTGCCGTACACGCCCAACGCCTGTCGCCACACCGCCTGCTCGCTCCTGCTGCGCGTGCGGCCGTGTCCCCCCCCCGACCTCCACGTACCAGGTCAGCTCCAGGAGGGCACCCACACACCCCGCCGAGTCCAACGAGGCCGCCTTGCCCATCACCTCCGCCCACAGCATCCCCACCCACTCGGCCGCCAGCCAGCAGCCCTCGCCTTCTCCGGCCCTCTCCCCTTTCCCCCCCACCTCAACCCTCTCCCCCTGAGCGCCCCACCCCTCTCCCCCTGGCCAAACCACCATCTGCTCGTCCTGCTCGTACGGCTGCTGCTGCCCTCGAGACTCCGGCTCCGAGCGGGGGCCGAGCGGCAGTAGCGGCGGCGCAGGGGCTGGCAGCAGCAGCTGCTCCAGGGATGATAGGATCACGGCGCCCTGGGGTGCGGTCAACAGAAACAGCTGGTTCCGGAGCTCAGATCGCAACATAACCAGCCAGGCCGAGGGGGGCGTGTATCCACAGGCGGCGGCGGCCGCAGCACACAGGGCCAGCTCCCCCGGGGTGGGCGGCGGCACGACCACCTCAACCGGGGGCAGTGCCACAGCAACACCACTACCGCCACCACCCGTACGGCTTTCCAGCACAGCCGCCAAAACCTGGTGCGTGAGCGGCTGGAGCATGCGGCTACTGCCGTCGGTGTTGTTGCTGCTACTGCTGTAGCTGTTGCTGCCGGAGTTCTTGTTTTTCTTAGCTTTGTCCCGGGCACTGGTAATGGTCCTGTCATGTCGCTGGCGGTGACGGTGCCGAAGGTCAGGGCAGAGCTGGTGCAGCGGCGGCAGCGCCGCCACCACCGCCAGCAGCTCCGAGGGTCCCCACTGCGATGTGGAGGACGCAGACGTGGCGACAGCTGCGAGAAAGGGCTCTGCAAGCTGCCACATCGCGTCCTCATCGTCCCCACCGCCGCCACCCCGCCCGCGGACGGAGGTCCTCTCATCCACCTGGGGCCCCCCCACGGCCCGGGTCCAGTGGGCCAGCAGCTCCAGGGCCGCCACCAGAGACCGCGGGCTCATCCCGGGCGCCAGCTGCCGAGCCGCCGCAGACACGGCCGCCAGGCACCTCTGCCGCGCCACGCTGCTGCCCGTCAGGGCGGCCGGCGGCGGCGGCGGCAGCACCGCTGCCGTGGGGGCCCTGGGGCTCCGAAACCCGGAGGGCAGCAGAGAGTCATCCTCGGAGGACTCCCGGCCCCGGCGAGCTCCTTCCCCGTTGCGGGGCCCCCAGCCCCCTGTCGTAAGGCCCCCGGTCAGCGGATCCATCAGGCCGTACGTCGGGCCCGACTTGAACGGGGAGAAAGGGGAAGGCGCAAGCCACTGGAGTCCCGCCGCGGCCCCTGGCCACAGTTGCTGCGACTGTAAACCCGTGGACATGGACGGCAGGGCGGAGGGCGGCGGCGGCGGCAGCAGCGGCGGTGGCAGAAGCCCGGGTCGGGCCACTCCGGATCTCAGGCTCTGCTGCGGCTGCGGCTGCTGCTGCCACATTCCGCCCGGCCGTAGCACCCCACTGCAAACCAGTCGCCACAACACCAGCAGCAGATCTGACTCAGAGAGCTGGCAGCGGCGCCCCGACTCTGGCGGCCCTGGCGGATTCCCCCCTGCTGCCGCTGCCGCAGCGGTGGTGTCCTGTTGGATAGTGCCCTGGCCCTTCCCTAGTGTGCTGGCGGGAGAGAGATCCTCACCATCAGGTCCGGCAGCAGCGTCAGAGGCATTGCTGGGGACGGCGGCGGCGGCGGCCCGATCCGAAGGCGTCTGGACTGGGGCCAGCGACTGGATCACCAGGTCCGTCAACTGGCGCCATTCCGCAGCGGCGAGGATCTTCGAGGCGAGGCCGGCGCCGGTGCCGCCGGTGGCGGTGGCAGTGGCGTTAGCAGAACCCTTGCTACCGCTCCGGCTGCTGGGTCCGGCAGGCCCCCCTGGGCGTGGCGACGAGGGAAACGGGCGGCGATACCTGGGTGTATCTGATACGGATGCCTGTTGCCGTGGGCCGGCTGGAGCTCCGCGGGGCTCTGCATCGGGGCGCTTCTGTGGCGCGTTTTCCTTCGGCTGCGGTGGACGGCCACGCTTGGAACCTCCGAAGCCCTAAGATTGGTTTGCGTGGAAGAAATTTAGGGAGTTGTTAAATCCATGGCAGTAGTCAATGAATTGGGTGCACGATTATTGTGCGTGTGGGAATGAAGCGCTGTGGTGAGGGTTCGGGTGTAGTGAATGTGAACCACGGGACGGTGCTGCCGCTGTGGCTCTGCGGCGCATGTGGGTAGTCCAGTAGACTGCGGAGCTCAAATTGTGTTCGGTGCGGTTGCAATGCAATGTAGGGGAGCGGCTTTTTAGGGAAACCCCGTTCGAATGCTCACCTTTCCAGGTCCGTAATTGCTGGCAAGCCCATGCTCGTCAACAATCGCCTTTAGACGGGCAGCCTGACGGTATTTCCATGTGTGGCGGGCTTGGGAAGCCTTAGAATTCCGGCAGGGTGTTCTCAGACTGAGTGTCCCCGAATGTACACGACCGCTAGCGATATGCCTCATGTGGTAAACATCTAGGTTACGCAATACCGGCAATGCGGTGTGAATTCGCAATCGGGGTAATAGGATAACCCGAAAGCCGGAGCCGTAGACTATAATACGGCACTTCGTACATCTGAGGATGGAAATCCATAACTCCAGCGTGTTTCAAAATTGTTTGGATATAGCTGGGCAATAGGACCAAGTAAGGTGACCTCTCACAGCTGGTTGCGCCATTTGTAATAATGCACGCACAGCTGAAAGCAAACCGCGCGGGCGGCGCACGCCGCGCGTTTGCGCCTGCGGGACGTCGCCTTAGCGTCAAGGTGATGAACGCGAACGTCTTGATTGCCAACACCAAGGGCGGGGGACACGCGTTCATCGGACTGTATCTTGCTAAGGAGCTGTTAAAAAAGGGCCACAAGGTCACTATCATGAATGATGGTGATGAGGTAAGGACTGCCTGTGTGAGCGATCGCGCTGATCAGCATGTTATTGGTGGGATAAGATAAGTTTGCGACAGGTGCAACTGTGCACAAATCAATTTATATCCACGCCCAAGTATGTTCGCTAAATTGAAAATATTTCGTCGACTTGCCTGGGTCAGCGTTAATATCACTGCGCTTGATGGAAAGGTCCAAATGTTTGTGATGGCGTTACATGCAAGCAAGGAGCGCTTCGCTAACGTTGCAACGAGCATCTCTATTTCCTCCCGTCGACTTGTAACGTATATGAAATCTCCAGAGCAAGCTGACGAAGAAGACTCCCTTCAGCAAGTACTCTGAGCTGGCTCGCGACGGTGCGACCATCGCGTGGGGAGACCCCACCAAGCCCAGCACCTACCCACGCGGCAGCTTTGATGTGGTGTACGACAACAACGGCAAGGATCTGTCTAGCTGCCAGCCCATGATCGACCATTTCAAGGTTGGTCTGCTCCCGGCGCGTGGGACACTGACTTGCTGCGGTACCCTTTCATGAGAGGGACAAAGGACAAAATAACGTGAGGGAGATTTTTTTATAGAAAAAGGGAGCGAAGCGGGTCTCGGTGCCAGAACAGTTCTCCCATGCTCCCTCACCGCCATCACGCTTGGATGCAGCCAGGTCTTTTCCTTGGGCCCTACCGGAACCCCAAACACTCCGCACTACCGCAACCCCACACACCCCTCACTCCCGAATCACGCAGCACAAGGTGGACCACTACGTGTTCGTGTCCTCCGCGGGCGCCTACAAGGCTGACTCCATCGAGCCCATGCATGTGGAGGGCGACGCGCGCAAGTCCACTGCGGGGCATGTGGAGGTGGAGGCCTACCTGGAGAAGGCACGTGTGCCGTACACCGTATTCCAGCCGCTGTACATTTACGGCCCCAACACCGCTAAGGACTGCGAGCAGTGGTTCGTGGACCGCATCATCAGGTGAGGGCATCATCGGGGCGGTGCCGGGGTGGTAGGCAGGGCCGGACACGTTCTGTGTGTGAAGAATGAAGAATACAAGGCAAACGCTAAGCATTTGGGACTGGAACCAGCTTGTAGACGACAAAAATTTCGAATTTGAATTTGGAGGCTTGCCTCTCACCTTTTAATTATAGCTACCGCAAGCCACTTCATTCTTCGTTTGAAAACGCTGAAACATAGGCTGGGTATGAAAAGGTATCTCTTCCCTCCCTGCCTGCGGGTGCTAGCGCAGGCCTGGCTGACCCCGGAGGTGGTGGGTTACAGGGGGGTGGGGGTGGGGCCGTGTGGTGCCAGCTGGGGCCAGGGGAACTTGGTCCATGGATACGGAGTATTGGTGGGACCAGCCGCTAAGGCGACCTGCAACCTGGGTAAGGAACAGCAGCAGCAGCTGGAGGAGGTGGAGTTCCCTAGCACCACCGCCACTGACGTCACTTAGGGTTCAGTCACCGACCTCCGCACTCCACATGGGACCCTCCTTCCCTCCCTCTCCCCTCACGGCCCTGCAGGGACCGCCCTGTCCCCATCCCCTCCCCCGGCATTCAGCTCACCTCCCTGACCCACGTGGAGGATGTGGCCGCCATGCTGGCCCTGGTGCCCGGGAACCGCGAGGCCATTGGGCAGATGTACAACGTGTGCTCGGACCGCTGCATCAGCTTCGTAGGTGGGTCGGGTCTCTCTCCTACACACGCGCGACTCCCCCCTGGTGCCCGTCCCGTCCTGTTCACCGCTCCAGACCGGGGTGTGTGGGCAGCAATAGCACCGAGGTGGTTAAGTAGGGAGTAGGCACTGATCTCCGGCTCCCCCCTACCCGCAGGCATCTGCAAATCCGTGGCCAAGGCTCTGGGCAAGGAAGCCAACATTGTGTTGTACAGTCCGGAGAAGGTCGGCACCGGCAAGAGTGGCAAGGCGGAGGGATTCCCCTTCCGGTGAGGACCTGCGGATGCACGTACATACATACGTGTGTGGGTGCCTGAGCCCCGTGTATGCATACTTTTACATTGTTGCTGTTGTTGTTTTGGTGGCGGGGTGCATTCGCTTACTCCTGGAGGGGTGGAGACAGCTGGACAGGTGGACTGAGGTGGGGTGCATGCGACCACTGCCCGCTGCGGCCCTTTCTACACCCCGCTATCCACCCGCCCATGTACATGTACACACTGGTGTAACGCAGCGGTTGCAACCTCCCCTCTCACCGCCGTCATGCAACACAACCGTCCTTCCTGCTCATCCCCTCCAATATCCCCTTCTTCTTCCTTCCCTTTCCTACTGGCTCCCCTTCCGCGGGACCCCCAGGACGGTGCACTTCTTCGCCTCCTCGGACAAAGCCAAGAGGGAGCTGGGTTGGAAGCCCAAGCACGACTTCCAGAAGGACGTGGCAGCCCTGGTGGCGGACTACAAGGCGCAGGTGGGTGGGGTCCCGGAGCAGGGGGGGGGTGTAACCTAAAAGAAGATTGGAGGAGGTCCCGACGGACCAAGGGGGGATGGGATGTAGCCAGGAGCTGAGGTGACCGGGGACTCGGGAGTACCACCCTCATGACCCGATGAGTTGCGAGGACCCTGTTACCCCTCGATGGACGGGACGGGCAGCGGAAGCCACTCAGTGACGCCATCGGGCCAGCCACCTGTCACGGGCTATGGGATAACACCTCCCCATTCTCGTGTTTATTTCCTAACCCCCATCCCCCGCTCCCCACTCCTTCAGGGTCGGGATAAGAAGGATGTGGACTTCTCTATCGACGACAAGATTCTGGAGGCGCTGGGCAAGCCCTTCAAGCCCGCCGCCGTCGATAGCAGCAGCAGCAGCAACGGCTTCACCCGTATCAGCTCCTCTGCGTCCCCCTCCCCCTCTCCCGCGCAGCGCCGGTCGTCGTTCAGTCCTCGTCGGGATCTGAAGATCCAGCGCACCGTGCTGCCACCCAACTGGAGGGAGTCGTTGGATGGGGGGGAGGCGGTGTCCGCAACCCCCTCGGCCGCTCCCCGCCCCGCCCGCAGCAGCTCCGTTCCCCGGGACTGGCGCTCCTCTCTGTGAAGGGGAGAAGCCGAGGGAGCCAGTGTGAGCTCTGTGAGCTCAATGTCGGTGTGTGTGTATGTGTTGATGGTTGCACTGGAATGTCAGCCGTGGGGCTAGGGGGAAAGGCGCGGATCTGTTTGGCCGCTTCACCCGTTGTGAGGAGGGGGAACGACTAAGGCAACGGGCGGCAACAACGGAAGGTGTTCGGGGAAGCCTTAGCTGGTTGAGGGCTACAGCTGCCTTTGCTGCTTCTACTGCTGAGGACCTTTTGCTGCGGAGAGGTGTAGCCCTCCCTCCCAGGGGGGTGATCGCTGGCAGGTGCCTGGGGGAAATTGGGGCGAAGAGCCGGGTGTGTGGGTCGTGCTCACCCATTCGTAGCGCTTCGAATTTTGTGTCCCGTCGCCACCAGATGACATGGGAGGCGCTGGTGGGGGCAGCTGCAGCGGCTCCAGTGTAGATGGTCGCGATATCCGTGCGGGTATCCAGGTGAAACGAGGCATTTGTCAAGACAAAAACCGGCAAGTGTCACTCTTTTCCGTTGGGCCTTACCTTATCAACTAGAGCCTTGTGGAGATTGCGGTAGGCCGGTCGGTTTGCAACGCTGTGCGCACGGAGGTGCACTAGCGCTTGCAGCGATGCAATTTTGTTCGTGTCGTGCGTGAGAGCGAAGTGAGGGACGTCGGTGTGTTTTGCAGGCTTTCTTGCAACCCGTGTGAAGATTGAGCGTGATTACAAGCGCAGTGGATGATGGAGGAGGGGATTCGGAAAAGACTCCGAGGCCGAACTTGAGCTGCGTTGTGGTACACATGCATATTTTAGTGAAACTCGGAGCCCAATCCCGAATCAGCAATGTCTGTAAACGTCTAGAAGGCGAACTTTCTAACTTCACACAATGAAATATGATATTGAGGAATTCTTCAACTTGTTGACCGACACGAGAAACGTCTAAAGCCCTTGTCCGACATTTCTGGTCCCGGTGGCAGCAATGCAAGGGAACCTAAGTCTCTCCGCACCAACTAACACAAACACAGCATTGACAGAAGCAAAAGCAGTTCAGCGCTCAAACGGAAAATTCCCCAAGGAAGTGCCTCACGAAAATGAACAACGCGCATGTGCTGCGTGCCTGTTTAAGCGCTCGCGATTCGCCGTGGGCGTGTACAGTACACATTCAGTTTGTAGGATTCAACGAGATCAGACTTAACGGAATCATCTTCCCAATAGGCTAAATCACATATACATGCGTGCACAGATACAGTTGCGAGCTTGTGCGAGGAAAACCTCAAAGCGGTCTTCGGGCATAGCTTTGCAGCCCTCAGGTACGGCCCGTACTTTCCCCGTACGGCTGGGAGACAAGGAAAGGGCACATCCATGATGGCGACACAGGCACCGAAGACCTCGAGAGCTGGTTTACGCAGGAGACATCACACGCTTGAAAGTCAACACTTTGTCCGTCTGGCCCCGTATCCGGACAGTGCATGGCTGCTGCTGCGATGCCTGCTGTTGTTGTTGTTGTTGTTGTTGTTGTTGTTGTTGTTGTTGTTGTTGTTGTTGTTGTTGTTGTTGTTGTTGTTGTTGTGCACGCGACGGCGTCTGTGGCTGCTGCCGTCGCGGAGCTTCCCCCCCGGGCTCCTGCTGTTGCTCCTGTCCGGATGCCGCCTCCCCCGTGCCAGGCTCCTGTGTTTCTTGCTGGGTCGCGGCAGCCGCAATTTCCTTATCCAGGAGGAGGATATCCCCCAGGTGCTCCTCGTATTTGCCTTGCAGCACGATACCGTTCTGGAGCCTAATGACTGGTGCATCACTATCCAACGCCTACAAAGATATGGAAGGATTCAGTTGCAAGCTGTAGGGCCCCTTGTGGCACCCCAACCGGTTCAGCTCACCTGGATGACGAGCTTTTCACCCGGGTTCAGCCAAACGGCCACGTCCCGAGGAAGGTCCAGCAACACGTACTGAACTTCTTCGTCGCCTGGAGGGTTCCATGCCGTCAGTGATTGTGTGAACCCTTTAGGAAGCTGAAAGCGTCAGTTAGCAATTGCTGTCGGCCCTACCCTCTGTGAGAACGATCTCCGGTGGACCATCTACACACGCCATGAGTTTATGTATAAAATTATGTCGATGTTGGCATTGCGGCGCACAGAACAGGTAAAAGGCGTTGTTGCGTTCGCGCCACGCCCGATTCTACCGTACGAGTTGTTTTTCCTTGCATACCCATCGGAAGCATTTTTGATTTCTTTACTATGTTTGTAACTATAACGGAGTTGCCTCTGCTCTGCTCCCTGCCCGTCTTGTGTCGCCATCGGTAGGGTTCACTATCGTAGATTCGAGGTGATATCCAATTAGCTCATACACAATTTTTTATTCAACCGATACCGATAATTAATATGATGGCAGCAACGGCGGAGGCGACTTCAAGCATGCAAGAGGGTGCCGATAGTGCCTACGTCTCGCCGCATGCTCGAAACAAGATTGTCCTTAAGCTGGCACGGATTGGTGAAGAAAGATGCAAGCTTCTCATCGAGGATTTTAATATGTGCTGTAAAGGGCGCAGTATAGGGCAAATTTTCTGCAAGGGGAAATACAACGCCTCGCAAGAATGCATGCACAGATAGTAAGTGCGGTCAAGATTGCTGAGACGGTGGGGGGATTTATACGCCCCTTTGCAATTTGCCTTGCCGCTCTTGACCCCCTTGGGCCCTAGGCTTACTGGTTCCACAAGTAACTTCCCCTGCCCACCTGCGAAGTTGCAAACGGGAGCACGACCCCTTGGTCCCGTTAACCAAACCACCAAGCACCGCAACCCGTCCCCATATTTCCTACTCCCGTTCATCCTCCTCACCTGCTGGCAGTATGAACGAGGCCAACCTGGAGCTGGTGGCGCGGAGGTGGATCAGTTTGGGCCGACCCCGCAAGCCCGATTGGAGTGTACTGCTGGCGGGCGTGCAGGAGGAGGGAGACCGACTAGGGGGTCTGGGGACGGCAGGGACCGGTAATGGCCCCACGGCTGCAACAAAGTCCTAAACATGAACCGTCGCAGATGAGATGATGATAGGCAGAAGGGCTATGTGTGCATGTTCGAATTGTCCTGAAGCCATGGAGACATACGTGGGGAGTACGTGTGGATAACAGAGGGGGTTGTTGGAACGGACACGCGCAAGGCGTGGCAGGCGGTGGGAAGACCGCTGGATGAGCGGTTGGGGGGGAGGGGAGATGGTGCTTGCTGCTGCGTTCTGAATGGGCATTGGAACGGGCCAATTGATTTCGCGTGTGTGTGTGCGTCTGTTTATTAGTTAGGATGTCTCTGGGTGGTGGTAGGAACGGACTCCAGGGCCGGCCGAAGCAGACCGTTACCCGTGGGGACTGAGACGGCCGTGCCCGAGCCCTCAATCATTTTCACGATTCCTCGCCGGCGAACGCGGCGCCGGATAGAACGGAGGCTGGTTTATGTTAGTCGGCCATCCGCCAACGTCATAGGTTGTACGGGACTAGACATCAATGCGCGCGCTTCTGTGCAGGACGCGTGTGGGTAATGTGCGTGGGTACTGGGAAGCCTAACGCCGGTTCTGGTGCCGCAACCTGGGCCGGACTCTTGCTATCTGTGCGAGGGGGGGGAGCCAGGGAGCCATGTGTAGCAGCTCGGCGTGGATAGGTTGTGGAGGGGTTGAGTGACGACCTGCCTTAAGCCACAACCCATAGGGCAGCTATGTACGAGGGGCGAGAATGGTTATGTCCACAGCCCCACCCGCTTGTGCGCTCTGCCTCGGAGGATATCCGCCCCGGGGGAGTTCGGGGTCAGGCGAGGCTGGACGTTGCCAATAATCTGTACACAGTTTCGTTTGACAATAGGACATGGCCATGTCGTTAAGCTGTATGTATGTTGTGCGGAGGTATGCGGGAGTTGTTGTGCTCAACCACTTCACTGACCACCACGTAGCCACCACCCGGCTGGGGGACATTTTGGAGCCTTCCCCCACAGGACTGTCAGCACCAACACCAACACCAGCACCTGCACCAGCACCCGCAGCAGCTCGCCGCTGCCAGTTGTTGCGACCAGGCAGCTACTCCCCCAGGCGCATATATCGTATACAAGCCCCAGGCTGTGGAGGCCACGGTCGGCACGCTATCGGCCCCAGCAGCTCAGCTACTTGCCCGCTAGAGGCAGACGCCACCTCGGTGCCCCTGATAGCGCAGAGGGTGTTCGCAGCGGGGGTATCCAACAGGGCTCCCGTTCGGTCCCACCCGGCCCGGCAGTTGTGCCCGCACCAGCAACGAACGCAAGCGAGAGCTACTTCCGAAACACACATTCATCAGTCCGTTTATGCATACAAGCTTACTACTATGCAGTGCCTCTCTTCGTGTGATTGCCGTTTCCGGATTGCTGCTGGCGGCCACCCCCACCGCTGGGTCCTCGTCCCGCACACCGCCCCATCCCCTCAATCAATAAAGGACCCACTGACGGCCGCCAGGGGAGTGAGGCGGCTCCCAAACTCCCCTACCGCCTGATGCGGTCGTGACGCAGTACAGACAGACAGACAGACAGAGAGGTGGATGTGCTCTCGCGCACATGCAGATGCGGGCACGTGCAGAGACATCTGTGTATATTATTCGTGCATTGTTTTGCTCTTTGGACTCCAAATGCCTTTTTTTCGGCACTGGCTGTTACGCGCACAAACAGGCACACAATTGGTAAATTGTTTTGGAGCGGCAGACGGCCCCCAGGTCATGGCGATGGTCGGGTGTGAGTGCTAGTTGCAGCACCACCAGCATTTTTTGTTGTGTGCCGTGCGAACCGGGTCCTCCACCAGCTCCGGATGGTGGCTACAATGCCCGCCATCGGTACCCCTATATCAACAGCACCATCGAACTGGGCAGTCATCGTTCCACATCCAAATTAGATCACAGCCCCAAGAACCCCCTGCCGCCGGCCTCCCCGACCTCCTCCTCCCAGCTCAAACAACCTGAGCACTAGGGCGAGGTGGGCCTAGAGCGGCCCGACCGCCTGGAAGACGTGTCCCCGTCGTCACCCGCCCTGGCACGTTCGGAACCAGACCCACCCAAACCCCAGCCTCCCCCGCCCGCGCCTGCCGTCCGGCCGCTCTTGGGCCTCGGCCCCTGCGGCGACGCCGGCAGTCCCGTGAGCACATCCGCCAACCTGTCCACCATCGTCAGTGTGGGCTGATGCGTGTAGCCCGTCAGCCGGGCGTTCAGCTCCTCAAGCATCGCAGCAGCCAACACGTTGGCGCGCCGCATCTGCAGACCGCGCTCGCGGCCGGGGGTCTCCGGCGGCGGCGGAGCGGGTGGCGGCGGCGGCAGCAGCCCGTACCGACGCTCGACCTTGAGCTTGCGCGGCGCCAACGTCCTGTCGTACACGCCTCCGCGGAACGCACGCATCGGCCCGGGCACCTCCTCTGCCGCGTTCTGGCGCGACGCGGCTCCTGCGGGGCCGGCGGCGGTGCTGGCGGCGGGCCCGCTGCGGACACCGCCGCCGCCGCCGGCTCCGCCGCGGCGGTGCCCACCCGCATCACCCGCGCCTGCGCCGCCAGAACCACGCTGCACCACCACCACACCCTCCGGCACATGCGAATGTACGGCACCTGTGGCGTGCGCCGCGATGTCGGCCTTGAGCGCCTCGTACGTCGCCACCACCTCCGGGTGGGCCTTATGGAGCCCCCCTCCCAGGTAATCCATATCGTGACGGCTGCGGAAGTACTTGACGCCGTTGCGACCCCGGGAGTACGACGCACTGCCGGTAGCCGCCTCCGACGAGATCAGCATGCCGTAAGCATCGCCTGATGTGCCACTGGCTCTGCCTCCGCCGCCATGCACTCTCAGCTGGAACGCCGCCAGCCGCTCCTTGGCGGGCATCTTGAGCGGCTCCAGCCGACGTGGGACGAGCATGGCTGCAGCAGCGGCCGCTGCCGCCAGGGCTGCGTTGGCTTGCTCCCTGCGCGCCACCAGCCTCGGCGCGCTGAGGGTGTAGAGGCTGTC